ATTAATAGCCTCTTTTTGTCCGTTTGTGTCAATTTATGCATCAATGTTACAACTAATGTGTTTTTTGAGTGTTTTAAGCAACAAACCATTGGAAGTTAACTCCAAATCATTGAAATTAACTCATTTTTCACGTTTATATGCAAATAACTTGGTCAATGATCCTTTGATAACATCTAAAATATATCACCCACTACCAATTAGTCCTGAATCTTGCGAACTTCGTTTTTTGTTGTGAATAGCCGCTGTGATAATCAATATTTCCCTTTACTTTTAGAGACAATTTTACGTCAACCCGAGCTAAAGCCAAACAAAGTAATGGTCGCTATAAAAGCCAATTGCCACTATTAGATTAGCGTTTATGATTAAGCGGGGAACAAGGCTATCGACTAGCCAGTCAGATGGATCTTTATGGTCACTCGAACTGTTTAATATTCAAGGACCAAATCATTGGTGATGGCATAATTCCTGATCAGTCCAGAGTCTTACGTACTTGGAAAATCGGTATCAATGGTCCTGTCTGCGTAACTAATAGTATTGTCGATCAGACTTATGATGCCGGACTGTTTTTCTGTACGTGTTTGCTTATTCAATGTCGTAGTTTAGAGATTTAAGTATATAACTAACGATCTTGTAATTCCTCAACAGAGAAGAAGAAGTTCTCTTGGCCGACATTTATTCTTTGATCTCTCGAGACAATTACATGCTCAAGACCACAACCTTAATCAACGAAAGTGACAAATTCAAATCGCTTGAAGACTGGAAAACAAGTGCTAAGAATCAAACTAAGCCAAAGTAAGTCTATTGACAAAATCTCAACCCATTTAAACCAGTAAATAAACCAATTTTCTGGTTAAACTTACAAATGCAATGCAAAGATGACTGCCAAAGACTCCAACATTTGAGAAAAGAGTTGAGACTCGGAAGCTTTTCAGGGACATAAAAACTGAGTCCATTGGTGCTATTAAATAATTCATAAAATGGACAGTTCAAGAGAAAATCGAGCTCGAAGTCAAAACTTCGATCGCGTTTTGTTCCCTTATGGAAAAAGACAATACCATGAAACTCAGTTTGCTGGTGTAACTTTTCATGATCTACCAAAAAATACCATTATTTTTAGGAAACAATTTTTCTTTTTCTGTAAAACTTCGATTCTTCGATTTTCAGTTAAACCTTCTTTATTCTTTATTCTGTGAGTTAGAGAGCTTAAACTTATTATTTATCCATAAAAATTGTTGATGCACATCAAGGATTCACTATTTTTGTAAATTAAGCAACAGTTCTCTTGCTTTTGGCCATTGGCCTCAAAACTTTGAACATCAATATTTCGATAACGGTGGCATCTACAATCATCATTCTTTGACCAAACATTAGCTTTTATTATAGACTTTAATATAATATCACTAAATATTGTAAATATCATTTCTAATTCATTTAATACTGAATATCTTTTTAATACATCATAAGATTTGCGATGAACATTCACCATTTTATGAATAAATATCAAAATGGTATAACGTTTTTTGTAGCATCTTGAAGTATCTGAAATTCCACTATATTATAGTCCGTCATTCCACCTAATATTTGGTCAAAAAATGGTGATTGTAAATACTATCATTCTCGAAAGATTGAGGACTAAAATTTTAAGGTCAATGTTCAAAATCAAGAGAACTGTTGATATATTGAAAAAAGTAATCAATTCTTGATGTGTGCCTATGATTTTTATCGACGGATGATAAGTTTTAGTTCTCTAACTCATGCGTTCACAGAATAAAGAAGGTTTAACTGAAAATCTACGAATCGAAGTTGTACAGAAAAAGAAAACATTATTTCTCAAAATAAAGGCATTTTCTGATAGATCATCAAAAGTTACATAAGGAAACTGAGTTTCATGATATTGTCTTTTTCCATAATTGAACAAAACGCGATCGAAGTTTCAGATTTGAGCACGATTTGCTCGAAAACTATTAGCCTGAGAAACTTTTTAAAAGCACTATACGTGCATGCTCTGGTAGAGCATGAAAAGTTATATCATGAAAATGAGTCACATGGAATAATCTGCTTTCATAATTACACAAAAAGTGACCAAAGTTTCAGATTGGATGCGATTCTCTGAAGAAAAAAGGTCGATCTGAGAAATTTTCATTTTATAAATGGACTTCATTTTTATTTCCTACAATTCTGCATCTTAAAATCCTTAGCTTTTAAGGAAAAGCTATTGCTAATATCTTTTTATACTTTTTTTTAATAAAAAAATCACATTCTGTTATTTCGAGTTGATTCATGGAAAGATTGAGAAACCAAGAACCAAAGACGAGACGAAAATAATAATATTATTATCTGTTGATAGATGGCGTTGGTTGCGCGCTTAGCTTGTTAGTGTTGAAGTTTAGTGTGTTTGTTGACTAGCTGCACAGCTGTATACAAAATAGCTTTTCCTTAATCAAAGATGACGGATTTTGATAATGTTCAGGACGAAGATGCCAAATTGTGTCCATTTTTTCAACAGCAGAAAGAAGAGTGCTATAAATTCTTCGATGAATGGACCGATCCAGAGCAAACGGACTTCATCCAATCATGCCTAGCCAAAATGTCTCACCACCAGCACAGTCAAATCAACACCTATCTTAGACCCATGTTGAAACGAGATTTTATTTCTCTTCTACCAAGTAAGTTTTTGGTCTTTTGCCTATGATCTTGTTTTCATATCATCTGCAGTACTCAACAAAAGCCTTGAACTCACAAAAACTAATTTATTTTCTTCCTACAGAGAGAGGTCTAGATCATGTTGCAGAGACTATTTTATCCTATCTTGATGTTGGTTCACTTAGATGTGCTGAACTAGTTTGCCGCGAATGGTATCGTGTTATAACAGATGGAATGCTATGGAAAAAGTTAATAGAAAGGAAGGTTAAAGCATATCCTATATTTGCAGGCCTGGCAAAACGTAGAGGATGGTATGTGTCATTTGTTAGCATTTATGTGAAGCAGTACTAATTTTAAAATGTTACTAACTAATTCATATCATTTTTTACAGGATTCGGTACCTTTTCAAGCCAGCTCCCGGTGAGCAACATCCCAATCATCTTTTCTACCGTAGATTGTTTCCTAAAATAGTTAGAGACATCGAAAATACCGAAAGAAATTGGAGAGGAGGAAGACATAATTTACAACGTATTAACTGCAGTAGTGAAAGTAGCAGAGGAGTTTACTGTTCACAATACGATGACCAAAAAATTGTCAGTGGTCTTCGTGATAATACAATAAAAATATGGGACCGAAATACACTTGAGTGCACAAATGTAATGTTCTACTAAATAATCCAACTTTATTGATTCTAATATTTTATTCTTAATCTTATTTTAGGTTCTAACGGGACATACTGGCTCAGTTTTGTGTCTACAGTTTGATGATAAAGTAATTGTAAGTGGATCTAGTGATGCTACTGTCAGAGTGTGGAACGTCGAAGGAGGTCAACCAGTCAACACATTAATACATCATTGTGAAGCCGTTCTTCATCTACGTTTCAACAATGGACTTATGGTCACTTGTTCTAAAGACAGATCTATTGCTGTTTGGGAAATGGTATCACCAAGTGATATAACTTTAAAAAGAGTATTAGTAGGTCATAGAGCAGCTGTTAATGTTGTTGACTTTGATGAGAAATATATCGTTTCTGCTTCTGGAGACCGAACTATTAAAATTTGGAACACTTCTGATTGTGATTTCGTAAGAACTCTAATTGGACACAAAAGAGGAATAGCTTGTCTACAATATAAAGGCAATTTAATTGTTTCTGGTAGTTCTGACAACACCATACGGTTAGTACATTAGTGTTGCTTTGCTTTCGTGTTCAGACCATCATTGACCAATTTTATATTTACTTTTCAGCTTATGGGATATCGAATCAGGTACATCATTACGTGTTTTAGAAGGCCATGAAGAGCTTGTTAGATGTATTAGATTTGACCATAAAAGAATAGTCAGTGGAGCTTATGATGGGTAAGTCTATATTTTGTTTGATCTATCTCCGTGCCCGTTTGATATTCACTAACTAATGAAAATCACCTTTTTCTTTAAAAGTAAAATCAAAGTATGGGATTTAGTCGCTGCATTGGATCCTCGAAAACCTGATTCATCTTTATGCCTCCAAACTCTGAGTAAGCACACAGGCAGAGTATTCCGTCTACAGTTCGATGAATTCCAAATAGTTAGCAGCTCTCATGATGACACAATTCTCATCTGGGACTTTCTTGGGCCTGATGATGCTTCGTAAGTAACATTGTAGACCAAAAAATGTATTTTTACTGTATTTACTTAATAATAATCAATAAAGCAAAGGATTTAATTTTGTTAAATCTTTAACAAAACTATATAACTCTTTCCTCTTCTTTCACTTTCTTAATTTACAGGCAAGAGACGGTGCAGTATAAAATTATGGAAAACATTCACTGATTTTTAACTGTTTACCTATTGCCGCCATCATTGACAAGTAAATATTCTGTTGTCATGGAGGTGAGTAAATTATAACGTCTTTTACTATTAATAAATCAACTTTTCCATTATATCTGGTTGACGTGATCGTATAGTTATTTACGCCAATGTATTTCATACTCATGTGGAAGAAAAAGTGCAAAAATCTTGTTAGTGTCAAACCTTTAATAAGTCATAGAAATCGTCGAGATAAAAAATTTAGTTAAATTAAGTTTTGCGATTAAATTTTGCGAAGTTTATGTTTTCAATTCGGTATATTGAACGAATCGTTTAGTTAAAAATCAGAGTTTTAAAATTAAAATAAAAAGGTCATTTCGTCTAAATATCATAAAAAATTGTCGCAATGCTAATCCTACGTATGAAGTGACATTATTGATAACTTATTAAATAAATGCTTTACTCTTTTTTTATTATGTGATCAACTATATCTTGAAACAATGATTTTTCCGGATGGGCTGAAAATGATAGAGGAGTTACATTTACATTTGGAGCTGATTTTGTTAGCAAATTTTTGAATAGACATCAAATATTATAAGAAGGTTACGACGATTATTAATTTTGCGATTTTTTGCGCTATTTACTGCTCCTAACTATTGTTTGATAATGCTGATGGAATGATGTCAGTCGAGGAAACACTTATGTGCTCTTTTCAGGTACGTTTATTCAAATAAAAAACGTCAACTTACCTGAAAATTTATTTTTATTTTTTTATTTCTTTGGATTCAATATCGTTTTCACCTGGCAAAAAAATTAAAGATTTTGAAACCCTCGGAAAAAAAGCAAAGTATCAATATGGCGGATTAACTACGGGTAGACCAGTGACACCTCCTCGAGGACCAGCTAAAAAGAAATGATTTAAAATTGAAATATAACAGTACATTATAAAATCATGAGAGATGTTTTATTTATCTCAAGACTATTCTCAGTCACACAATATTAATGATTGTTTTCCCCTCCTCTATCATTTGCTTACCTCTCACCTTTTTCGAGCATTTATTTTTTACAAGCATTTTTCTTGATCATTTTTCGCTTCTTTGCCCCTTTGCCTCTCATCCTCATATTCACCAGCCTAATCTTAGGCAGAAATTTGTTGATACTTTTATTAAACGAATTTAGAGCCAAAAATCACTTGTTTTGTATCAAAAATTAACTAAAAAAGGTTACTTCACAAAGCTCACAATTACGGCACAATAGTTACCTGAAAGTTATGTTCATCCTGAATGCATGTGGGAGTAATCAAGGTTGTTCAAACAATTTAATAGTTTAAGGCAAAAATGAAAATAAGAAACCGTCTACTAAGATGGTTAATAAATGAGTAAATCGAGAAACTTGAAATGTTGAAATTAAATTAAATTTGTTTCATTATTTTATTATTTTATAAAATCATGCTCATAATTATGACTAATTAACATGGAAATAAAGCAAAATATACAACTATCATATTAATGAAATCATAACAATCATAATAAATTCAAAACAAATTGAATTTCAAGCTCTTGATCAACCCCCATCCAACTTACAATTCTAATCGAGAAGTTTCGTCTCATTGTAAATTCAGATTTCGTCAATTCATAATTAGTACATTTAATTATTTCACACAATTCACAATAAGTCACGAAAACTGGAGCTAGTCTCAACATCGGTGTTTGGAAAATGTAAGATTTTCCTTTTAAATTTTCTTTAACTGCAACATGGTAAAGATCCTTAACTGGTGATATCTTTCCTCATTTGCAAATTCATCCCTGTTATTGGATTGGCGGATTTACTCGTTAAATGAAAAATAATTTAAAATAGCAAAAAAATTAATTGCTGATCACATAGCTTATTAGAGCGAGCGGTTGATAGTTTACTGCATTTAGTTAACTCATTAAATGTTAAATGCTAACATGTTCGTTCTGTATCGAGAGAGTTAAATGTTTAGTAGGTTCAGACTTTGGCCACAAAAGTTACTAGACTTACTATTGATAACAGGGAAGTCTGAGTGTGCGTTGTGTTTCGGTAAAAGACGATTTGTTTTGTTGAATTTGAAAATTCATCGCCAAAAGTACATCAATATACTATTATATATTATATACAACACAATATAATATAATATTATCAGAATGCTGGAAATAAAATAAAAAAAAACTCTTCTTTTTGATAGCGAACTTGATTAAAACGTTGCACTCATATTAGATCTATATAATAGATGGCGTTGTGTAACTGTCAGCTTGTGTTATAGTTTAGTTTGCTGAGTTTCTTATTGAGTATACTGGATGAATTTTGTAAGATTTTTCCATAATTAAGTTTTTTTTGATTCTCCGATTAGTTTCTGGGTAACCTTAATATAATATTCTTTATTAGTAGTAATTTATCAACTAATTATTTGTGCTTCACATCCGATAGAGCTTGGGAAACTAAGGTATGTTATTACTCTTGTGAGACAGTTTTTAGTAAACAAATGCGACTCTGACAACCTACTAATCTTCACAACTCTATTTTCCCTTTAAATCAAAGATGACGGATATTGATACCGTTAAGGACGAGGATAGCAAAGTACGTCCATTTTTTCAACAGCAGAAAGAGGATTGTTATAAATTCTTCGAGGCTTGGACCGATCCAGAACAAACAGACTTCATTCAATCTTTATTAGCCAAAATGTCTCACCACCAGCACAGTCAAATCAACACCTATCTTAGACCCATGTTAAAACGAGATTTTATTTCTCTTCTACCAAGTAAGTTTTTGATCTTGTTTCCATGTCATCTCCAGTACTCAATGAAAGACTTGAACTCATGTAAACCTAATTTATTTACTTTTTACAGAGAAAGGTCTTGATCATGTTGCAGAGACTATTTTATCTTATCTTGATGCTGATTCACTTAGATGTGCTGAACTAGTTTGCCGGGAATGGTATCGTGTTATATCAGAAGGAATGCTATGGAGAAAATTAATAGAAAACAAAGTTAAAACGGATCCTTTATGGAAAGGCCTGGCTAGACGTAGAGGATGGTATGTGTCACAAAAAATTAAATTTGTCCATCGCTCGTTCTGCCACCTATCAAAATATATCAACGAAATGATTTTGTTGGGTTAAATTATTATTATTGATGTTCGTTGTTAACAATATTCGTCAATAATAACCCCACATGATGAAATAGGCATCTGAGATTTGTTGTCAATACAATTTTCCTGTCACCATGTTTTAGAAGCAACACTAATTCATATCTTTTTTTACAGGATCCGGTACCTTTTCAAGCCAGCTCCCGGTGAACAACATCCTAATCATCTTTTCTACCATAGACTGTTTCCTAATATAATTAGAGACATCGAAAATACTGAAAGCAATTGGAGGGGAGGGAGACATAATTTACAACGTATTAACTGCCGTAGTGAAAGCAGTAAAGGAGTTTACTGTTTACAATATGATGACCAAAAAATTGTCAGTGGTCTTCGTGATAATACAATAAAAATATGGGACCGAAATACACTTGAGTGTACAAATGTAATGTTCTACTAAATAATCTGCTAAATAATCTAACAATATTATTAATAATATTTCATTCTTAATTTGTTTTAGGTTCTAACGGGACATACAGGCTCAGTTTTGTGTCTACAGTTTGATGATAAAGTAATTGTTAGTGGATCTAGTGATGCTACTGTCAGAGTGTGGAACGTCGAAGGAGGTCAACCAGTCAACACATTAATACATCATTGTGAAGCCGTTCTTCATCTACGTTTCAACAATGGACTTATGGTCACTTGTTCTAAAGACAGATCTATTGCTGTTTGGGAAATGGTATCACCAAGTGATATAACTTTAAAAAGAGTATTAGTAGGTCATCGAGCAGCTGTTAATGTTGTTGACTTTGATGAAAAATATATTGTTTCTGCTTCTGGAGACCGAACTATTAAAATTTGGAATACTTCTAACTGTGAATTTGTAAGAACTCTCAGTGGACATAAGAGAGGAATAGCTTGTCTACAATACAGAGAGAATTTAGTTGTTTCTGGTAGTTCTGACAACACTATACGGTTAGTATATTTTTATTAATGCTACTTTGACTTGCATTTTCCAAATCATGACTCAACAATTTTATATTTTCTTTTTAGTTTATGGGACATCGAATCAGGTACATCATTGCGTGTTTTAGAAGGCCATGAAGAGCTTGTTAGATGTATTAGATTTGATAATAAAAGGATAGTGAGTGGAGCTTATGATGGGTAAGTCTGAACTTTGTTCGATCTACTTTCATTTCGTGTGTATAATAATGTATTATGTGATCTAATATTTCTTTTGTTTCTTTCTGCAACAGTAAAATCAAAGTATGGGATTTAGCGGCTGCATTGGATCCTCGAACACCTAATGCATCTTTATGCTTACAAACTCTAATCAAGCACACAGGAAGAGTATTCCGTCTACAGTTCGATGAATTCCAAATAGTGAGCAGTTCTCATGATGACACAATTCTCATCTGGGACTTTCTTGGACCTGAAGTTCCAATCAATCATTCATCTCAACAAAACTCATCAAATTTATCATCTTCTAGATCATGCATTTATCCCGACGCTCCTGCATCTAATCCATCTCAATCTTCACCATCCCGTTCGTTTTTGAACTCGTTCTTAACTCCATCTATTTCTCGTGTATCGCCTTCAAGATCTATCTCGATGTGTCCAGCTTCTAGACCTGTAAACTCTATCAATTGTGGTTATTCTCCTCAAGATGAACAATGAATCAAATCATCATTTTTCCATTATTTAATATTGGATACAAAGTATCTTTTGTGCCCTTTTCCATTCTATTACTTGTTCCTTCTGTTTCTGGATGACTTATTTAAATTGGCAATTCCAATGACAACCATTATGATAATTTTGAGCCTCAAAGAGAAGCAGCTTGTTGAATTAATTGTAACTCCTTAATCCTTTTAGCTCTATGGATCACAGAAGTTTTCAGTCAAACTTCAATTAATCTTGGTTAATATTGATTGCAATTTCCACCTCCCGTCTATAGTGTCATAACTTTTAGGAGCATGTAAATTTATTCATAATTTGTTATGTTGACAGATTACCCAGTGGCTGTCAATCTTGCACCAGTATCTCGTCTCGCGCCCTAACCTTCATCATAATGAGCTATCACATTCACACAATCATAAACTTCGCGCATCTATCTGAAATCATTGTTTAAGCCTAACTCGGTTTTGCGTCTCATTCTCTATTCATGTACAGCAGTAAACACCTTTACTACAATCACTTTTGTTCTTTACCTTATTCATTATCCACAATCATATTTAAGATAATATACCTTTTATTGTAAAACCTGTCCAATAACCTGTTTTACGGAATTAAAAGTTGACCGCAGGAAGTACCTGTTCAAATGCTCAAGATGTTTTTAAATATTTAATCTCTTTCTATCCGAAAAACTTTACACTCTAAAGCTGACCAGTAAACCCTCTCAGATTGTCATGGGATTAGCATTTTGGCTATTTTCCTTTGATATTTCGGTGAAATAATCCTTTTACTGATTTGATTTCGAGATTTTTATGTTTAATTTGATAATTCGTGTATTGAACCGAATTAAAAAGACCGTATCAAACCGTAAATCATGTACAAAAATTAACAATATTTTAGTTAAGGCCACGCGTTAAAATCAAGATAACTGTCAATAAATCGGAATATTGTTGAAATAGACACATAGGTCAATGTATCAGATCAACTTGTGATCTAAAATTTTCAAGCTCGCTGGTGTTTAACTAATTAGCTTCAACAAATCTTGAAATGACGCAAAAGAAATAAAAACAAGTTGTAAACATTAAATTAACTTTAAATTGTGTTTTAATATGGTTGATTTAGCTAAACCAAGTTGCTCACCTTCAAAGTAATTATCAAGTGATTATTTAATCATTGAAATAATGACTTCGTAAAATTGGTGCTCATTTCGTTTGGCTTATAAAATTTGTAACTTAAATGAATACACTGTTTTAAATTGGATTAAGGCCATTCAAATGAAGACCATTCAACGCAGTGTATTCATTCATTGAATAAGAGATAAAATAAAATTAGAAATCTTGACATTTCAATTAAAAAATTTATTAAAAAGGATTAAAATCAACCGACAATTGTCGCTAGCATCACAGTGGGTTAAAATTATAAATTAATTGTCACGTTTCTCTGTTGCATTAAGTGCATTGATCTGAACAATATTTTGCTCAATTCATGTACCAATACATGTTTTCATGTAAGATCGTATTATCAAATTAAAAATCTTGCTAAAAAAGTAATTCTTTGAAATAATTAAGTTATGCAAATTGAGATGAATGAACCTTTCAATTCACAAAGTTGTATTCTCATACATTGGCATCAATGATCAAGAAGATTTGCTCTTGAATGTGTCCATCATTTGATTTGATCGAGCCACTGAACAAAGATGGTAAAATGATTTGAGTGGAAGTGTGTGTCTCAACCAAATTAAAAAGTAAAATACTTTAGGTAACACTAAGACGGATTGGTTGGTTCGAAGAGCGATCACAATTTTGTCAGCAACATAATCAGATTTCAAGATGGGGAATAGGAATCCTCTGACACCATCAAACATACCCGTATCAATGAAAAATGGACAGATAACCGTAAAATTGATTCCATCATAGCCTGCAGCATTGAGTTCACACGCCAAGCATTCCTGGAGCATATTAACAGCGGCTTTGGATGCATTATAATCAGCCATACGAGTAGTTCCGATGAAAGAGGCCACCGAAGCCAATGTTACGATATGCCCATGATTTATTGACATCATATCAGGTAAGAATGCTTGATTGATCCAGTAATTGGCAAAAACATTCACACCATATGTTCGATTAACATCTTCTGGAGTCAGGGAAAAGAATGATTTACCTGAAACAACACCAGCATTGTTGATTAAAATAGTAACAGAGCCAACATCTTGTTTCACTTGTTGAGCTACTTTCTTGATTGCTGCATAATCGGAGACATCAGTAACATAAGTGAAAATATTGGTTGATCCATCAGATCGGGTTTTAGCAATAGAAGCAGTTTGTTCCAAAGCATCAGAATTGATATCGATTAGTACCAAAGAGGCAACCTTGTTGACCAGTTTTAGCGCTATAAGACGACCCAATCCATTTCCGGCACCTGTTATAAGGACAACTTCCTCGGAAATATCTTTAAGGCGCCATGAAGACGGTATGAAGAAGAGAACAATTCCAAGTAAAAGTTGATAAAGTGTACAATATACATTTCGGAATGCATCAGCTAGAGTCCAATTTGATGGACGATGAGTGTGGTTGTTATTATTGTTGTTGTTCATTTTGCAAACAGGCTGATAAACACACCAAGCTATAATAACAGAGTAAAACTAAATTTCCATAAAAATTTGTTTAATAAACAGATTAAAAGCAATTTCTGGATAAGGACGGATGTTGTAGACAGAGGAATGATCACATTAAAACCAAGAGAATTAAAACACAACAAGATATATCCGTTAATCAGTTACAGTAACTTGAAATTAGATCAAGAGTGAACACTCTCAAAGATGGTGATACTTAATTGTAAATAACTGAGAAGCAGCTATGTAAGCCGTGATACGTGAGAAGAGGCACAAAAAAGGAGGGAATGAAAACAAGAAGACAGGCCTAGGAATGAGATAAGCAGTAAAATGAGGAGTCAGAGTTTAAAAAAAGGGTTCAAGGGTTAAGTTTAAGAAAAACCAGTAAACAAATATTTAAGCTTAAACAAGTTGAAACCTTTCCATTAGCCTAGTCAGCAGAAGTGGTAAAAATGATCATGTTAACATGACTGACACAATCATTGATTTTCATTTTTCAACCAATTTAGCCATCAGCAATTGAATTCATAGTCATTTAGCTAATATGTTTTTAATTTACTTTCAACAAGCTCTTACAAAAGTGATATTAAAAAAAAGCAAAGACAAGTGAGAAAAGAAAGGAAAAAACGAGTGAATGGATGATAGGGTTTAGAGCGAGCAAAAAACCATTCAAGCTGCTCTTTGAAGACAAATCCTTGAAAAAATATAATCGACAAATTGTCTCGTTTCATTTCAAGAGAACCTGATTAAAAGTGAATAATTTCAGTCTTCAGTTATCTGTAAATTGTCCTTCTTTCACACACTTTTAATTCATTGCTCCTGCCAATCATTTCAAGTTACATTCAATTCTAAGGCCATAATCATCGTTTTATACAATGTTGCCTTTTCTATCCAAATAATGATTCAATTTTTCCCAGAGTTGATCAATAAATTTTAATGCAATAATCAATTTTGAATGCTTCTGTTAACAATCATTATTTCATCCCTTCATTGTGCCAAGCTTACAATGGCTTTGCTCAAACAAGTATTTAATCAAACATGAAGCTCTGTTAAGCCTCGTAATTTCGATAAAGAGGATCTGCAAATGAACAGGGAAAATCGCATGTTGAAATTTCTACTGTTAGGAACTTTTTCAGGTATTTTCAGAGATTCCAGGTTCATTGAGATGTACATTCAGTCGTGTTTTTTGCATATCGAAGAAGCTAACTAAGCCTAGCTATTGTAAGCTAGCTGTTGGATTAAAAATAACAAATGCAATTAATATAGTTAAACACAATAAGTAATCAAACAAAATTCAAATCGGTTCCAGTAATTACGATTACTTCCTAAGTTTACTGTCACAAATATCTATCCGAAAGAAAAGTTTATTTTGATTTTGAAGTTTGAAAATGAAATCTCTTGATCTACTTTTTTTATTAATTATGCTAAAGGCACTCAAGTTTAGGGACTTCAAGGTTACTTACAGAGCATAATCAGAAACTCTGTTTAACTCACTGTTAGTTTTAAATGAAATGTAACATGTGAGATTTATTTTGTTAATATAGAGACTGAAATCCTCAGACATGATGACAGTTTTATTAATTGAATTGTGTGTTCACCTTTTAACAAATCTTCCGGTTGCTAAATCAAAGGTTCATTGTTTGTGAATATGTCTTCTCCCCTTCTTCCTTTCTTTCTTTTTAACTCCCCTCCAAACCTCTACCTTGGTTTTACTGTGAAATATACTGTGGATTACTGTGTAAATTCAATTTTTAGATCATGTATATTTCAAGGTATATTTAATACACTAAACTGATTAAGTGTGTGATAATTTACATCTTGGATTAATTTTAAGCTTTTAGCGCTCCAACTAAATCAGCAATTAACTCCTCCCTATCCGTGTTTTCCTACAGAATCTCATCTCTTTTACAACACTTTAGACATGGTTTACCTGGTTTACTGTTTAGTAAACAGTGTTTACTTTTATTCCTTTTATTCAAGTTGTAATATCTAATCTTTTTTTCTCTTGTTTTATATTCTTCATCATAATTTTATTCAATTCATCAATTGTCCAACTCAATATGCATAATAAATCAACTACCAAACCAAAGTGTTTAGTGAAAAGGCTTTGTGTTTTCCTTTAGTTGGAATTGCTCAGCTTACTGGAAATCTCAAAAAATAGTCTTCTTGTGTTAAACATAAACTTAAAGAATGGCTAACCTTGGATTTGTGATCATTTAATTGTGTGTATTGGTCCTGATTATCTATTGCTAGTAAATCCACTTCTCTTACATACACCAATTAGATAATTTGGATCTCAAAGTGTCAGTGAAAACAATCATTCCAGGTTACAAAGAAACCTAATAATTGTCTTTCAAAGCTTGTTTCAACTATGTCAACTGGTAATAGTACTGGTATAGGAGACTCTAATAGTGATGTCAAAGAAGACAAACTGGAAAAATCTCCATCTCTTGGTTCTAATCAATCATTTGGTCGCCAATCTGTTATTGGTAATTTAAACAATTGGATCAATGATCTCAGCTCAGGTGCTTTATTCCAAGGGTTAAGTTTTCTTAATTTTCGACGACGAGGATCTCGTGGTTCTACCAGCTCATCATCAACGTTGTCACCTTTTTTTGCTCGATCTGCATCTTATTCGGCTAACACCTCAGGAAGTGCACCAACTGATAATGTAATTGACGGCAGAAAACAAGAAGTAAGACTAGGCTGGTCTTCTGAGGAAGAAGTGGATGGTTTCATGGGAAAAACTTCTGCTAAATTTTTGAATGGAACATTGATTCCTACTCTTAAAACCAAAGAAATAATCGAGCTAGATAACTTTGGAGTTGTCGAGGTTGAAAATCTAGAGTTAGGAGTAGGTCATAAATTTGAGGTGAGAACTGAATTATTTTTTAATCATTTTAATATCTTGAATTAATGCTTGATACTCAATGAATGGTCTTATTTTTATTTAAATGTGTTTTTTCCTTTTATATACAGCTTTATGAACTAAAAGCTCCAACCTGGTGTGACAGCTGTTCACAATTTATTTGGACTCCTGTTGTGTATGACTCTAAAAATACATCCATACGGATCGTTTCTCCCTTCTCAAAGACCATCCAATGTACTAATTGTAAATATACTTGTCATATCAGATGTCGATCTCTAGTTAGAATAGACTGCAAAGGTAATGCTGAGTCTCCAGCCACAGATATTTCTCCTGTATCTACTCCGGATGAAACGAAAAGCAATATCTGTGATGATCCTAAAATTGAAGAAACTGAACAAAGTAATAAAGAATCACCTACAAAAGAAATGCAAGAAGAAACAGTTTGCCCCATTAAAGACGAACCTGCATCCGAGGAGCCTTGTAAACCTGAAACAGAATCAAATGACTCGGAATCACTTGAAGATCAAGCAAAACTTGTGCAAGAATTATCCCAAAAAATAATTGAATACAATGAGAGATTGAAAAAACTTGGCTCTGGTTTAGGCCTAACATTGCTAGATGGGAAATCATTTCGTGGTTTTCTTCGTGTTCATTTAAATTTAACCAGACCTATCAATGTAGTTGCTGGAACTCGCCCTCCTTCCATTTATGATATAATTAATGAAGAAGAACAAGTATGTCGACGAACGCTCACTTCATTTTACATGCCTCGGAATACTGTGAAAAATATACACATTACCAGTGAATATACTAGCTTGGACGTAATAAAAGCGATGTTAAAAAAGTTCAAAGTTGTCGATAACCCACAGAAGTTTGCTCTCTACCGCCGATATCCTGATGAAAGAGGTGAATCCGTCTTGAAAAGAATTGGTGATAATGATTATCCACTTCGAATAGCCCTTGATTGGTGTGATTGGCAGGAAAGACAAGTTGTTCTGCAAGAAAACGACACTGCTGATATTGTTTGGGACGCTTTCCTTTTACCAGAACTAAATAATTTTCTAATCATGTTAGATCGAGAAGAGCAAGAACATCTCAGCCAATTACGCCTAAAATATGATTGCCTTCGATCAGAATTAAATCGCTATATTCAGCTCCAAGAAATTCAAGAACAAGGAATTCTGGTTTAAAAGATTTTGATCAACTACACAACAATTAACAAGCAGGTTTTGTGAAAACTTCCAATTCGTCGAAAGGAAAATTGTTCATCGATTTTGACTTATAATTCAACTATTCATATCAAAAATCAACTTTAATTTCATTTACATCTCATTTACAATTGTATATTTACAATATCTAGCTATTTAGGTATTCAAAGGAAAACTTAGATAATTTTATAAACATAGCTAAATTTACATTTGGATAAATTAAGTCAGGGACTCGACCTGACACAGCTCAGCCTATTTGTTTTAATATGAAACAATATTTAATAAATACATTTAAAAAAATTCAATTGTTTTTGTTTGTCCTTAATCAGAATGGGTTTAGTTTATTCCTCTGGTAAACTCACATAACCTTTCCTGCTAATTCAGCGAAAGGAAATTTATGAAGAAACATCCTTTCCCATTAAGGATTTCAAATAAAAAATGATAAACTAAACGATTTAGAGCCACTTTTTACCATCAAAAACCAGGAAGTATCTTGGTGAAGGTAAAATTTCATGTTTAATATAGCGAGCATCATATTCTTGATTTCCTTCAATTAACTTGAAATAATTTGTAATGGTAATCAAGGAGCTGAAATTATTCAGTATTCCAATAAGGCATAGCCAATAAAATGTGACACCAGACTCAAATTGATTCAGACTTATAGAAAATTAAGATTTAATTATTTAATTTTGAAAGAAGGATAAAAGACAATGTCAGGCTGACCCACAAATTTTGACCCTACTATCGTTCACCAGTAAGCGGTGTCAATCCATGCCTCAACAATCTTCTTGATAAAAAAATACCCGTACTAACAGGGTGCTTTGGGTAATATCCAAAAAATAACAGTTTATTTAATTAATTTCTGAATAAACTTGAGACACTTGATTCCCGTTGTCTCACACAATAATAAGTTATTAAGGACAGAGTCAGAGTTTTATTACAGACCACAGAGTCACCTACTTCAGAAAAGAAAAACACAAAAAATCAGCTGATTGATTCGTAGACTATTTTAAATCAAAATTGTGATTATTTTTCAATATGTTCAATTGTTGGTTTTGAATTTAAATTTTGATTTGTGAAATTTGTTTTGCTTCTCGAGAAAGATCCTTCAGTGACACTCAACTAGGAAGTTTATTTTAGAAAATCTTATCAGATGTTTATCTTTCTTGCAAGATAATTTTATCTAATTATTTTACAAATGTCCACAAAAGTTACTCAAAGAAAAAAGGAAAAAAGGAATTCGCCTGCTATCGAAGAGAAGGCTAAAAAGCGAGGGAATCAAAGTTCATTAAAATGGCTTTATGTTGTTGTGACATCGTTATGTTTACTCGGACTTTACTACGTTAACCGATCGTCTCATAATGACACTAAGAGATTAAGTGGACTGAATTTCTCTAAAAGATGGGGTACTTTTAGAAGTGGTGTTTATTTTGGCCTTAAACGTAATGAACCATCTTCGGTGGTCTCTGGGATGATGTGGTTCAAAAATGTTCTTAATGATGATAACTCAGTCCCATTGAGACACTGGTGTTCAAAGTTTGACCCGGTAACTTATTATTGGAAAAAGCATGACTTTGACTCATTTGGAGTTCAAGAGATTAAGGACAGTGAACTTATCCTTAAGCAAGAAGTACTTTTTCGAGAGGATGGATGGATAGCCAGAATTAACTTGAACACGTCAACGGGATCATTTGATGAATATGTTTCAGTGATTCTTTATCTGGCAACCGAAGCTGATGGTGATTTAATAACATTAACAACTCCAAAATCAGCTCTAAAACGAAGCAAAAAAATCGATTTTGAAGGCAACTTAATTAATCTAGAGAATTTTCTATCTCGTATAGAATTTTCAGACTCAAAAGCAATAGTACATATCGAAGATTTCAGGGTTCATATGCATCCGCCACTAATGTTCTTCCAAGAGCACATATTACAGAATCTTGGAATAATCAGAGCCCCAGATGGAGGTCGTCTCATCGTTCTTCGTGACCCAAAGGCTAAACAAAAAGGAGAACCTAATTTTGTTGCTGTTCAACTAGTCATTAGTAAACCAGTCGAATTGTTTTTCTATTTAAGGGAAAACTCTGATCCATATTTATTTGACTCATGGAAAAATCGATTCGATGGTGATTTACTCGAAAAAATCTATCACTTTGATGCTGATTTCGCTGATGTATTTCAACTTCGTCAAAAAAATTATAATGATGCTCAAATCGATTTTGCTAAATCAATTTTAAGTAATATGCTTGGCTCAATCGGCTATTTCTATGGTCACTCATTTATAAAAAACGGGTCCTCTAAGCCAGAACCTTATGGTCCTCTTGAATTGGTTTCTGCTGTTCCATCTCGATCATATTTCCCGAGAGGATTTCTATGGGATGAAGGATTTCACCAACTCTTGATTGCTAAAATAAAACCTGAACTAAGTCGGGCTATGATCAAGAACTGGCTCAATTTGATGGACAAAAATGGTTGGATTCCTAGGGAAGTTATCTTAGGATTTGAGGCCATGTCTCGTGTTCCTAATGAATTCATTGTCCAGGATATTTCAAATGCAAATCCTCCTAGTCTATTTCTACCTTTAGAGTTTCTATTTGACTCGGGAAAACTAGAGAAAGGTTATTTAAAATCAATTTATCCATTACTGGAAAGGTGGTATGGATGGTTCAATACTTCACAAGTTGGATATAAGCCGGGTACTTATCGTTGGAGAGGTCGTGATCCCAAAATAATTGATAAACTTAATCCTTTAACATTAACTTCAGGTCTAGATGATTATCCTCGAGCTTCGCATCCTAGTGACAAAGAAATTCATCTTGATCTCCGATGTTGGATGACTTTAGCAAGTCGTATTTTGTACAAGATTGGTAAATTTATTGAGGCACCGTCAGCAATTAAATATGAACAAGCATACAACTTTCTAAGAGACAATAGACTTCTAGACGAAACTCATTGGTCTGAAGAAAATGAAATGTACTGTGATTTTGGTTTACATTCCAACAGAGTTGAGCTCGAAAAAGTAAATGGTTTACCGAAAAGAATTGTTCTTGAAAAGCCGATATATCAATGTGTTCCTGAACTTGGATACATCAGTTTATTTCCAATGTTGCTTAATTTACTAGATCCAGATAATCCTAGACTTGATGCTATTTTGTCAGCAGTCGAAAACACAGATCATCTATGGAGTCCTTTTGGTCTTCGTTCTATCTCAACTAAGAGTCGTTACTACCTCAAGTGGAATACTTTTACGGACCCACCTTATTGGAGAGGTCCTATTTGGATCAATATAAACTTTTTGGCTTTGAAATCTCTCAAATACTATTCACAAGTTGACGGTCCATACAAAGAACGTGCCAAATCTTTACACGACAAATTGAGAGATAATCTAGTTAACAATATTTTTCGCGAATTTGAACGAACTAATTTTATTTGGGAACATTATAATGACACTTCTGGAGAAGGTGGAGGTGTTCACCCCTTCACTGGATGGTCTGCTTTAGTAATTTTGATAATGTCTGATAGGTATTGATCTTATTTCAGACAATACCTGTTTTGTATAACAATAAAAATGTATTTTGTTGATAAATTTAAACAAATGGGGAAAAAATTTAATTACAGTTTTGACCTAACAAATTTATTAAGTTTAACCAGCTGAAAATATTAATATATAATATGGATAAGTTCATAAATTTCCAACCCAGGGAGAATGGAAGAGGTATTTTAATAGCTCTATACGATTCACACTTGGGTCTTGATAAACGATAATATATATACATCCAAAAATTGCATTGAATATCCTATTTTCTGTATGTTTCTAGAATTCTTAGGAGTTGAGGAGAATCATGAGATGCATTTGTCAACAAAGATCCAACATAAAGCTTGGTTCCTAACTTGTGATGAGAAATAACTTGGCATTTACCATTTGTTTCTAGAGTAAAACCTAGTTGATGATAACGTACAGCAACCTCGATCAACATCGAACTGTTTGGTCTCCTCATCTGAGACCAATCAACTGAAGGATCGATAAAATCAGCCCAATAGCCTGCTCTCTTTAAACGACGGCAAATCAAATCAGCAAGATTTACAAAATCATCGACTAGGTTTAGGTTATCCTTTTTGTTAGATTGCAAAACATCATCTGTTCGTCGATTAAATGTGATAAGCGTCAATTCACGTCCAAATACATTGTAAGGGAACACTTTCTGTAAATCATTTTCGATCAGCTGTGGACACTTGTGAACAATGATATCCAAGTCTGGGATATTAGGCAAATCTGGAGTATCAGTAGATTGTAAATTAACTGATTCTTTGAGATATTTTAAGATCTGCTCCTCTTCAGCGATTTCTCTTATTGTGATGGTCTTTTTATTAACAACCATCCTGGGCTCATCCCGAATAGGTGGGACTAGTCCTACACTTCCAGGTAAGGGTGTTCTTGCATCAGGTCGATCGAACAGATTAATCTCTCTGTTAGTTATCTTTTCTTCTGATGATGTTTTATCTCGTCTCTTTGATTTCTTTGAGCTATTAGATCGTCCATTATGAAGGCATGCACTCATACTGCTTTCAATACCTTGGCGTTGAAGTATCACACGGCGACTGAGTCTTAGCATTTCTCAAACACGAAAATATGACAACAATTTTACTAATAAAGATTAAAATTTACACTTGACTATGGGATTGACTTACAAAATAAATAATTTATCGCAGTTAGCTCTTTATCTTATTATGAAGCCCATAAATTTGCGTGTTGTTCAAGCGCTTTGAGAAGCTCATAAAATATGAGAAAAATCACAATCACAATCAAATAAATCAAAATTAAAAGCCAATTAATCGTTATCTAGTCTATTACTTTTACTTCTACAGCTGGTAAACAAAAACACGAAAGGCCTAACATTTTCTGATAAACGCCATCTACCTGGATTTAATTCATCCAACAAAATTTCAATAAAAATCCAGATTTGAGTTTGACTAAAAACCCACAACTTCAACATTGTTATTAAAACCATTTACCCTGGATTAATTTTTCTAATTAAACGTATTTTAATGTACGCTAAACACTTATTAGCACCATGTTTATTTCCCTCGTTGGCCAGGCGTTTTTTAGTTTACATCTGACTGATTCTCTTTCAGACTACTCATGTCTACATTAGTCGACTTGATTTTTTTCTGCCTCTTTTTTCCTCTATCTGTTTCTCTTTTCACTCTTTCTATCAGCCAATTTTCTTGATTACGTCTGATTGTCAGACCAATTATTGGAAAATCTATTCAGTTTCCATAACAAAGCGTAAAGATTTTCAACAATTACATGATACGTTGAAAAAACAGCGTTCTTTAATATGACAATCAAAAGATATCAACGTGATAACATCTACTAAAAAGAGTTGAATCATAATGACGTTTGACCAATATTGAGTTCTATTTATAAAATTAAGTATTAAGTATAATTTCTGTCAGTTGATTAACGATTCAAATAAAGTTCAAAGTCTAAATCAATATTATAATGGTTTGAATAACCCCGCAAAGCTGAATGAAAAATAAAACTAGATAAGGTTAATATGCCTCAATAAGAAGAGAAAATGTCTCTCGAATTAAAAAAAGTGTTCATAAAAGATGAAAATGATCTTAACAATTGAACTATTGATCCCAATTTGAGTATTAAACATAATTGAAAATATTAAATAATTCAAGGACTAGACCAATAAATGGATGGTTAACTCCATTAACAGGTAAAACGAGGGAAAAAAGAAAGACATAAAAAGACCGTTTGAAGGAGACAAAAGAAAACCAGATTAATTTTAACTGATTAGGATAACCAGATTAAAGATGGCGCCGTATTTTTGGTTAGGGTTGAGAAGGAAATCTTCAAAGTAAAACCAAACGTCCCTCGAAAAAATGGGAAAGACCTAAAAATTAAGACGCTTGGTATGACTTAAAGAAGCTAAACCACCTCAAAATGATCACATGAAATCTGGTTAAAATATTTCAGACTGTAATCTCCATGTTACAAGGTACAATTATTGTGTAGTCACAGTAACAACAATCCGAGAAAGGTCAATTAAGTTTATCAATGCAGTGGAGGAATGGGAATCTAAAGATAATAACTAATACGTTAATATAAACTTTTTTGAATTCAAATCAATAAAATGTTGACTATAAATTTGTACACAGGTGGAGCCTCTAATCTGGACTCGGAAAGATTTTTATATTTACTTTTTCCCCTTGCGCACTGAGCGTACTTTACTCTTACTCATCGCATTTTAATTATAGTAAAGCGCATTTATATCCAACCTCTTTACTATAGGGGAGTAAGTTGTATGAATTCCGGTTCCGCTGTTCTGGCTTGGACGCCATCTTGTCAGTTCTGGATACCAGCTTCAGTACATAGTTACACCTAAATCTTGTCTCTCTCATCCTTCTCTCTCTCTCTCCTTCTGTCACTATCACTTTTGTGCTCTCTCCATCTTTCTCTCTCATTCTCTCATTCTTACTCTACTCTCTTACCTTTTTATCTTGTATCTCTCTTTCTCTCTCGCTTTTGTGTGTGTTTTTGTTTACCATCGTTTTTTTTCTTGATTGTGATTAGTCATCACCAATAATCAAATTTGGATCATCTTTAATTATTATATTATCAACTATAAAATAAAACTGACCAGTTGAATATCAAATTTGGATTTACCAACTTACATTTTTTTTGGATATCACTACATACTCATCTTTTCCCTTTGTCTCACCTTATAAGCTATGGCTCGTACCAAGCAGACTGCCCGTAAATCAACTGGAGGTAAGGCTCCCCGTAAACAACTTGCTACCAAAGCCGCACGTAAAAGTGCCCCATCAACCGGAGGTGTGAAAAAGCCCCATCGTTATCGACCTGGTACTGTCGCTCTGAGAGAAATTCGTCGTTACCAGAAGTCTACAGAATTGTTGATCAGGAAATTACCATTCCAACGGTTGGTGCGTGAAATTGCCCAAGATTTCAAGACGGATCTGCGTTTCCAATCTGCAGCTATCGGAGCTCTTCAAGAAGCGTCAGAAGCTTACCTTGTCGGTCTGTTCGAAGATACCAACCTTTGTGCTATCCACGCTAAGAGGGTAACTATTATGCCCAAAGACATCCAATTGGCTCGTCGTATCAGAGGAGAACGTGCTTAAGCAAGGCTCTTCGATTCATTCATTGCTTAAATATCTGTATCATCAACTATTCCTATATATTCATGATTCTATTTCCATCAATATCTATTCACGATTCTTTATCCATCAATTTCTGTCTATTTATGGTTAGACCACTTTGCTCCTCAAGGATCCTATGTCTAATTCTTAAATACTTGATGTAGTAATCTAACTCTTGCATAGAAGTTTACCGATCATAAATTAAATAAATTGAAAACAAAATTTGTCTTGCAGATAAATTCAATTTTTATTATAAAAGATTTGATATTTTTAAAATAATTGTTTACAAAAAAATTAGGTAATTTATACACACTAAAATGAAATGGGTTGACAGAAAAATTTATAGCTTGATTTGTAAGTTAAGATGGTTCTTTCCTTTGTGTGTGTGCGGATTCATAGTTTGCATTTTTCATCTATTTGATGTTGGCTTTAACTTTGTATTGGATGAGATTAGAGTTATGATGCGATGAAGGAACACTCGATTTCCATTTAACAATTAATTAGAGAAGGTCACACATCCATTTCAGAGCTAAAAGAATAATGGAGAAAAATCGGGAATAAATTAATTTGTATAAAATACGTTATTTCACATCAGTTGTGACCCAAATATTGGTTATTTGAAAATGAAAACACTCACATGTGACTCTGAGGTCTTGCGTTTGCTTGTTTTTTTCTTTGACTACGTCTAACAGCATCTTCCCGTCTGTAAGGTTCATTTTTAAGACCTAGTAAATGATGGGAAAAAAATATAGAAATTAAGTAAAAGTGAATGAAAAACAGATAAAAAGGAAGAAAGGAAAAAGAAAGGGAGAAAGAAAGACTAGGTGAGAGCATTGCTCTGTAAACAGTAACAATGATAAAGACATCTTATGCAATGATGATATAATTAATCGGTCATGGAGTTAAGAGAGTATATCTTTAGATTTGAATTTTGAGCAATTCAGATGGGATTATAAATATTATCAAGTGAGGAAAAGTTCAACTTTTAATTGTTCGGGTTAATTTCAATACTTACTCAACAGAATGTCTTCTAAAGCTCCATTGTATACTTCATCCTGTTTTAATAATCTTTTATCTCTTACTTTAGTCTCTTGCGAGGAAACTTCCTTTTCTGGTGAAGTTTTATTCTGGTTTTGATGTTCTTGAATTTTGGCTTGTATCAAGGCTTCAAGTTTCTTTTTCTGATTAATCTTAATATCACGAAGACACTGTTTATAATGTTTTAAAAATTTGGCAAATATGTTGAAGAATGCAGACGACGATTCCAATAATTTACTGTTTTCACCAAAATATTCTACACAATTACTATATTCACTTTGAGATCGTCGTAAGTCCTCCTTTAAATTGGACAATTCAGTTGATTTGGAAGCAACAAAATTTTGTAAACGTTGAGTAGCGGGATCTTTTTGCGAAGATCTTAATTGTAACTCCCGCTTAACTAATTCCATTCCTTTTTCTAATTCAAAAACTTCAGATGCACAGGTTTCCAGTGTAGCATTGGTTGCCACACTTTCAAGAAGATTTAATAATGTTTCCAAATCAAAGGGTAATTTGATTGATTCAATGGAAACATCAAGACCAGAGAGAAGACTATTAGGACCGGCAAACTTTTTAGTGGCCGTTGTTGGAGATAAAGTGGCTAATGTTTTGTACAATCTTTCCTCTTCACTCAAACCAGATTCACCTTCAACATTACGTTGTATACATTCAGCTACATAATGAAGTAAACATCGAGATCGATCCGCTGATGACTTGGTTTCAACAATTAGTTCCAAATTTTGTAATTTAAATCCATATGCTTGACCAGCAGCAGCCATAGCTCGGGTTGCCGAGTTGAGATAATTACCAAAAACTAGAATATATTCAAGAACAGTCCGAATGCCTGTTGATGTTCTTAAAGCTCGAGCTGCCTCTGTAATTGCAATGATACGAGTTCGCCAAACTTTTATTACATTAAGGGTAACACCAAATGATGGTTTACCAGATATTCCTGGAGTAGGCTCTGGTTTCATCAAGGTTTCCATGTAGGACATAATTTTTAATTTTTGTTCAAGTCTTTCTATTTTAGAAATTTTGAAAAGGAACTTGTCTTCATCCGTCATTTCATCAATACTTCGACCAGATCGTTCAAATTCTCGGTAAGCTTGGATCTCTTGAGGATTTGGTATCATTCGTAACAATATTTCAATATACTCTAATGTGAGCGTATCAATGTCGAACGAGTTAATTGCTTTAATGACTGTTTCCGTATCAATATTGACTTTACGGAGTGATATGGCCATGTTTCGAAGTCTGTTATGCTCCAATAGAGATGTTTTCTCATTTGTCTTGAACTTTTTCTGAGCAGCAACTTGAGGATTTGAACCTTTTCGAGCAAGTTCAGGCTTAGGACCCAGTTTAAATTGCTCTTCAAATTCTTCGAAATTGATTGAATTGATGATTCGGTCCTCAGCATGAAATTCTTGGAAAATTGTTCCTTTGACTTGAGCTGGCTTCAAGGCATTCCAATTCAGTGTCGGAAGTTTGTAACGAGTGGCAAAAGATTGTTTTATGGTCATCATTCCAGGATTTTGAGCATTCATTGGAGGTGGAGGTGGTGGCGGAGGTGCTACACTCCTTGAAGGTGGGGGAGGAGGAGGTGGTGGCGGCGGCGGAGGCGGTGGTGGTGGAGGTGGTGGTGGTGGAGCAGCTACTGCGGCAGGTGTTTTCACTCCACTCTCTGGTGGTGTCATAGGGGAAGTTGCTGTAGTTTTCATGGGAGCTTTCTCTGAATCATCTTTGGGTGAAGTTTGTCCTAGTAATTAAAATTAAAGAAAATATTAATATTACAAGATCAAGTTATTTCAAATAAAGCCAATTTTGTTTAAATTGTAATTACCGTTCATTGTCCTGGACTCTAATTGCATAATCTTTGATTCTAAAAGAGATTGTCTCCGTCTGGACTCTTCTTCTCTCATTTGAATAGTTTTTCTTAAAGTTGATAGTTCTTCAGATAAATGGTGATTTTCTTCACTGGCTGATTTATAATCTTGTTCCAAAACAGAATATTGTAGCACCAGTTCGTTGTATTTAGTTTCTAATTCTTTAGCTATTTCATTAGAATGAGATAATTGCAAGGCTAAAGTTTGAGCTCTATCAGTAGCTAAATTTTTTTGCTCAGCATCCTCCATGAGAGCACCAACGTCAAAAAAGTTATCCAAATAAGCTTGAATTTGAACAGATAAATCCTCAGATTCGGTATTACGTAGCTTATTCTCTAAATAATCGTCTAATCCTAGTTGAGTAAATTCGAATTGAAGGTGAACTCGAAAGTTCATATCTTCAACTGAATGAACAATAATATTTATAAATTGCATACAGGCTACCATAAAATCTATGTTGAATACTTCAGGTTTAGTAAAATAGTTCATTAAAGTTTGAAAACGTCTTGATTCTCCCATGACTTCTTTAAAGTTATCAAACGCGTTCAATATTAATTGATGCCCTCCATTGACCAGACAAATGGCTGCCAAAAGCTCCAAGACCAATGATTTAGTCCTTAAACTTTGGTGATTTAAGCTCAATGCAATTGAATTAATTGCATAGGGGTGTTCCATAATCATATTGAAACCATTCTTATTGTTCATTATGGCCCTCATACACATTATAGAAACATGGACATCACCATCAACATTTCCTAATTTGCTTTTATTGAAAGAGCGGAATAAAGAGGGTCTCCTGTAAAAATCCATAGAGAGTAAAAATTAAAATTTCATCAAACAATCATTTTTGCACAAATCACGTCAAATAAAGGAAATAATGTTGAATCATAATATCTTTTGAATCTATGCATTCTACTTTTCAATAGATTTCGGGATCATGATTAAACTATACATGCAACAGTATAAAGAGCAACAAATGCAGAAAAAAATGCGCTGTTTGATGTTATTATTGTGAAACCCTATTTATGGTTATCCACCCAGACTACTTTATTAAAAGTGTTTTTCATTTTGAATTTTTCATATTCACTTACCGGAATAAATTCTGCGTTGGGCGGATGGTCTGAGAAGAATTAAGGGTTGAAGTTAGATTTTTCAAATTAGATTCTGACAAGTTATCACCGTTTCCCCCATCAGGAGATCGATTGTTGGCTGATTGAGCAAGTTTTTGTTGCTGCTGTTGAGTAGTTAATCTGAAGGTTAAATAGTCGATGAGAACATCCAAGCCTCTGTTTCGCTCGGATAAAAATTCGCGAACCCATTCGATATTATTAGTTCTCAATGAGATTTCTAAATCACGAAGAACTTGAGTTGATGTTGAATCACCGACAATCCGTCGTTTCTTTGAACTCCGACTCGCTTTTGGATCCAAATAGGCTCGCAGTTTTCTCAAATAAAATTCTGGCGATTCTTTGGCTGTAACTTTTTCTTGGTCTCTGATCATCTCCCATTTTCTCTCGATATCATAGGATCGAAGCGCTTTGGCCTTGTCTGGAGGTAAATCCATTAATGCTATGACTAAAGTGTCGTGGAAAGAAAAGGAGAAAGAATAGAGGATAAAGATAATGGAAGACTATATGTATTGTAAAAAAAAGTTGAATGATTACCTTCATTAAATCTCGCATTAACTTCATCTCGATCCGGCATTTGATCGCTTTTATCATCACTAGCTGTCTCATTTGGCGGAATTTCGATTGAAATGGTTTTGTGGGCATTGTCCCGAGTATCTGCTCCATCAGCAGAGAGTGTTTGCCCCATTATTGAATCTCATCGATGTACGATCAAAACAAAAACACTCATTTAATTCACTATGAAAATAAAAGTGTCACAGCCCAAACATCCATTGAGTTATCATTATGGCAAAAAAGAAATACAGTCAAGCCTAAAGTTTGTTGGATCGGGTGAAAACTTGATTCGGTTATTTTTAAAGATCCAGATAATATTCGTTTCCATACTTTGGTTACTGTAAATTAAATTATAATTTTAATCTGATAACAATTAAATAAGCGTCTTTTGAATTAATCATCTTAGAGTCAACTTTGAGTAGACTACGGTATAGCAAATTTAATGAACTAAATGATTCAAATTCAATTTGAAAGATACTTTTCTGAAAACATTTCTCAACCAAAGCTTGGATAAGAAACAACTTTTAAGAAATTTCAATGTTGCAAAGTTTTTTTAATCTTAAATGCATTTTGATAATTCAGTTCATTATGATTTATAGATTAAAATCACAATTAATTATTCGTAATTAGAGATTATTGTTTAAGTGCAAACAGTCAACAAGTTTTGTCTGTTTTTTAAATTTACAGTAACCAAAGTAAAGAGTCGAATACTTTTCGGTTATCCGAATCAAGTTTTTTACCGGATCCCAACAGCTCTTTAGCAATGAGACTCCATCTTGGTGACCAAAACCAATAGGGAAGTATAGTCAGTGAAGAGTACTGTAGGTTTACAAAATGAAGAAGAGATAAAGGTTTCTTATTTCAGTGTTTATCAACATAAGAAAATATTGTGATTTACAACCAACAATTTATAAATTATGATCAGTTGATAATATGTTGGAATTGGTTTTACATTCGCCTGCTAATGGCGACCCTTGTGTTTACTACTGGCCGATGGATGAGAAGGCCAAGGGTGAAGGTGCGGTCGAAATTATTGAGACCATCAAGTGGGTCTGTGATGATTTCCCGGAAATGAAACTAGCCCTTGACAATTGTATACTTTCTGGATGTGATTTGAAGAGCTATGAGAGTATGAAAATTGTCTGTGATCGTTATAATCGGGTAATTGACTCAGTTCGCCAAATGAGAGCTGGGACCTCACTGCCAGTTGCAGTACCTACTCGTCCGTCACAAGGCCTTCTGCGCCACATTATCCAAAAGGCTTACAATCATGCAGTAATTGATCCAGATAAATTGAACAATTACGAGCCTTTCTCACCTGAAGTATACGGGGAAACCTCTTTTGAGTTTATATCTCAAATGATAAGCCAGATACCAATTACCGAGAATGATGTGTTCATTGACCTCGGCTCTGGTGTTGGTCAAGTTGTCCTGCAAGTTGCTGCCTCTACCAAAGCCAAAAAGTGCATTGGAATTGAAAGAGCTGAAGTACCCGCCAGGTACGCTCGTGAATTAGAGAAATCATTTCAATTTTGGATGCGCTGGTATGGAAAAATCTATGGAGAATATGAATTGTTAAAAGGAAATTTTTTTGAAGAGCAACATAAAGAACTAATCACCAACGCATCGTTCATTTTTGTTAATAACTTTGCCTTCGGTCCTAATGTTGATCATATGTTGAAATTACGTTTTGCTGATCTTAAAGATGGTGCCCGGATTGTTTCATCAAAATCATTCTGTCCATTAAACTTCCGAATAACCGATCGTAATCTAAGTGGTATGCATCATGAATGTTTACATTTTTTTCATTCAAATTCTAGCTTCCTTGTTTATCCTTATTCTTTCTTGCTCATTGACTCTCTTGGCATCTATCTCTTATATTATATGTTTGAGCATGTCGATGTCCTCACCCCCTCCTCTTCATAAATATCAAAAAACGAAAGAAAGAGAAGCAAAATATAGACCACGTGATATCGTCCAAGATAATATCGATCCAATCTATCTTGAACTCTTTCTATATTTCTCAGCCTCTGTCTCTATTGGTGTCAATTCTTTGCTCTCATTTTCTAACCCCCGTTCTTATCCCTTTCTTTTTCTTCTCTTTCTTCTATACCTGGATCATGATGCGTAGATATTGCAACTATTATGCATGTTCGAGAAATTCAGCCCAATATCAAAGGTTCAGTTTCTTGGACTGGTAAGCCCGTGTCTTACTATCATCATACGATTGATCGTCGTAAATTGGAGGATTATTTCTTAAATATGAGAGGAGGCAAGAAGGTGAGTAATCTTTATCTTTTTATGTATATTCTTTTGCGTCATTTCTCAATCCTTGAGTCAATCATAAATTTGTCAACGAAAACAATACAACATTTTCATATCTCAACTAACTGTTAACTTCATTGTCTTTACGTTCTTCTTTTGCGGTTATTTACACTATTTTCATCGTCATCTTCACCTGTTACAGTATAATAATAATAGTAATTCAAACAGTAACAGCACCACCAATAATAAGGATAACACTACCAACATCAGTAATACCAATAACAATGCGAACAACTGTCTTCGTCCAGCGAAAGTAAACAATTCCAATACAAACTCTAACGATTCCAGCTCATCTGATGACTCAAAGGATGATAAGATAAAAGACGAAAATTATTTTGGACCAACAACTCGCAAAGCTTGGTCTGAATGGTGTAATAGCAGGTATCGAGAAAATTCTAATTCAAACAGCAACCAATCTTCAAATGGAAATACTCAACTGACTAGCTCTTCTGAAACTGGTTATCATTCTGAGTCTAATGTTCGATCTCAAGCTAATGGTAATGGGGCCAATAAGCCTGGACGACCACGAAAATATGCTCCTGGTGTGTCAGCCGTTGTTCGTCGTGCAACTAAAAATAAAGCTGGCTCTAGTGGACGTCGTCGTCCCGGCAGACCACGCAAAGAAGGATTGGAGATTAAAAAGTCAAAGAAGGCTGTCAACTTCAATGGTTTAGATCTTCTTCATGCGCAAACAGTATTGAGTATTTCAAATTCTGCTGGTGTAAGGACGGAGCCTGCACCTGGATGTATCGATCAAAAACTTGATACTGTCAAAAGATCTGATGTCCCGCCACAATCTAGCATTAATAAGAGTTTTAGCCTTGGATTTGGTCAAATGAACAATTCATTTATGGATGCTGTTAAAAGCTTTGGTAATAGTAATGCTGATAATAAATCAGCTCCCACTGACCTTGATACCAAAGCAAATGTACTAAAATCTCCTCTGATAACGGCATCAGAATCTACCCTGGATAAAAAAGATTACCAAAAACAAGGAAACCCTGATTTTAAAATTGAAGAAAATGAGAATAAACCTTTAAATACCTTTCATAACTTTGAAGACTATCAGTATCTAATGGAATCTGTTTCATCATCTTTGGACGTGCTTTTCGATGATTATAAGCGGCAGTATATGAGTTTACTTTTGTATATGCAAACTCCTAAATACAAGAATGAGTTGGTTGCTAAAGTCGATGTGGAAAAGGTATGTTGTTAATTCATTTACATATTATTTTAACATATGTTTATCGTCTCGTTAATTGTTGGGTTTATTTTTTTTCTCTCTAGCGAAAACATTCTAATCTGCTGGCTCAGGTTGACCTACTGGAACGCACAGTTAACAATCTTAGAGATAAAGGAGTTAGTCTTCTTAAATCTAGATTGAGTGAGTTAGATATTGTTGCTTCAACCTCTGAAGAGCTAGTCACCAAAGCTAAAGAAATAGTTTGCCGTAACAAAGAACTTCAAGAGCAGGTTTACATGTATCAAGAGCAAGTTAACTATTTGGATAACCTGAACAATGCTCTTGCAAAACATAAAAGCTACGATACACTGATGAACGTTAACCAAATAAAACCCAAAAATGAAACACAATTTTCAAAGCCTGTTAATGTTAATTTGACAAAGAAAAGTGTACCCTTGGAGACTGCCGATCGAATGGAAATTAATATGACTGCCGCTGAACAAGTCGCTCGAAATCCTATTGCGACTAAAAATGATAACCGAATTCCACCAATAACGCAACAAAGTCCGTTGCAAACACCTCCTTCTAATGGTTACCAGTGCAATAGTAATAGTAATAATAATAGTAATACTCTTGACTCGTGTCGCTTGATTAATATAGAGGAGCGAATGAAAAAGATGATAGTCGCTGCGCTCAATGACAAATCTGGAGCCAATCAGGCAAATAAACCAGTGAAAAAGGAAAGCCGAAAGAGGTCAAGTTCAAAAGTATCAAATAATGTTAAAGTGATGAAAACAACTTCTCGTTGTGATGGTGTTTATGATTTCGATGACGATGAACCGCCTAATGTCAGACCTGAAACGGATTATCCTAGCAGATTAAAAGACTCTTCCAAACTTGTTTCCATTAAAGATGTAACAATAACTTCTTCAACTACTGGACAAAGTACAAAAGGAACTGAAGCTCGTTCTACGAATAAAGTTTCAAACGCCTCTAATAACCCACCTCATGAAGATAAAAAACCAATTTTATTAACATTCAAGATTGATCGACGAGATAATAGCGCAATCGTTACTTCACCTGCCATATCACCAGAGAAATCTCCATCAAAATCACCAAAAGATTCTGAATCAAGTTCTAAAAGGAAACAAATTTCACCAGAAAGAGTTAAAAAATCAAGGTAAGTATCGTATGCTCGTTACTTTTGCATATTATTTTTTTTTAACTAACAAGGAAAGTTACCCAAGTGTCACACACCGATTTTTATGTTTGATGAGTCATTTGATTGAGCTAAGAGTGTAGATGAATAGCCTTTTGGGTTTTGCCTGCGAATTGAGTGGTTCCCAGGATATTTGGGTTTGAAATTTGGGCATTTTTATGAAAATCATTTTTAAAGGCTGTATAATTGTTTAAATTGGTATTGTCCAGTTGGTAAAAGCTTGGAGATTTTGGGTTCGAATCCTGCTAACTTTTTATTTTGAGTTAATGTATGTGATTTAGTATTTTTTAATCAATTTTTGTTGATTAAATTATTTGAAATAATTGTTATAGTTTAACACAAAAATACCCAAATTTCAAACCCAAATAGGAACCACTCAACTCGCAGGTAAAACCCAAAAGACTATTCATCTAATAGGCTATCGAATAGGCCGTCAAACATAAAAATCAATCAGTAACTTCCCATGTAAATCAACATTATATAAAAAATTAACGAATTTTACGTTTTTTTTAATCTGTCAGATCTCCAAAGTATAGCTCTATCGTACCTGAGACAACTGGCTCTGAAAATCGCACATCATTAATCATCAAGCTAAATCATTCATCTTGTGAATCATGTTTTTCCCACCATTCACTTCTTCCTCTTTCCCTTTGATCATCAATTGCTTTTTAATTACAGTTAAACGTAGAGAGATATATCGACATTTTACAACTAAGGATCAGAGACGAATTTGGGCAAAAATGACTGGAAATTTAACTTTTCCGATTTCCACTGCCATTTATTTATTTCTCAAGCTCAAGAATCAATGCATCTTTTTTTCTTGTTTGCTTATTTATCAAATTGCAAATCACCAAGATTATTATTAAAAAAGCAAGAATAAGCAAACAAAATAACTAATTTATTGTTTAATTAGACATGTCAAAAGAAACCAAAACCATTCTTCTTCCACCCGCCATCAAATTGTAATTTCATCCTAAATTAAACAAAAATTATTCCAAACTTGTTATTTTTGTGTTAATTTAGTTTTTTAATTCCAACAAAAAAAGACAATTTTACATTGCATTGAAACGTTTAGCTTATAATTGATAATTATGTGATGATTGTAAAATCATTTAATAAAATGTAAGAATATAAAACTTTGAATAAAAATAACATTAACAATTAGTCAAGTTTGGTGTAAAAAACTTAGAATTCAAATGAGTTAACTTAGTAAATGAAAGAAATTTACAGAAATTATTACAATTTATCTTTAGCTTGTTTTATAATTTCTCGAGCGATAACCATTCTTTGAATTTCTACCGTTCCACCATAAATATGAAATAACTTAGCATCTCTCATTAATTTTTCAACTGGATATTCGGAATTGAACCCAGCTCCACCGAAAACTTGAACAGCCTCTGCAGCACTCTGATTAGCCACATCAGCAGCCAATGTTTTAGCAATCGATGCTAGCAAAGTTATCTGCTCGTTATTTTGATAAGCCCAACCGGCTTTTAAATAGGTTAAACGAGCTGATTCAATTCCTATTGCCATATTAGCTAATTTAAATTGAATTGCCTGATAGTTGGAAATTGGTTGTCCAAAAGCTTTTCTTTCTAATGAATACTTTACAGCTTCATCAAGAGCTCTTTGAGCTAAACCAACAGAGTTACATGCCAATATTGGACGTTGATAATCAAAAGCTCCCATGGTCATTTTAAACCCTTCACCAACTTTACCTAAAACGGATTCAGAGGTTAACTTGACATTTTCGAAACTGATGGATCTAGTATCGGCACAACGTTGGCCTAGATTTTCTTCTTTTTTCCCAATTTTTAATCCTGGTGTTCCTTTGTCAACCAAAAACATGGTAAAAGCTTTTGCAGGCTTCGTTTCTGGTGAATGATCTGAGCGAGCCAACACACAATAAACATTGGCAGTTGATCCATTGCTAATCCAAGCCTTTTCACCATTCAAGATCCATTCATTGGTCGATGTTCGATCTGCCCTTGTTTTAAGACCAGCTACATCAGATCCTGCTCCTGGTTCAGTAACACAAAAAGCAGTAAACGATGGTTTATTGGCTAAATGAGTTAAATATTTATCTTTCTGTGCCGCACTACCGTAATTAACCAGTGATATTCCTGCTAATCCATTAAGAGCCATTGCCATACTGATCGCAGTGCAACCATATCCCAATTGTTCTTGTATCAATAGGCTATCCACATAATCTACACCGACACCTCCGTATTCAGTTGGGATGAAAAAATTCATGAGTCCAAGAGAGTGAGTTTTGTTAATAATCTCCACGGGAAAGTCACCACTTTGATCATATTTTGAAGCTACTGGAATTATATTATCTCGTGTAAAGTTTCGGGCTAGGTCAACCATTTCTTGAGTCTCAGGTGATGGTTTAAAATCAAACGAAGTACTGAATGAGCGTTGTTGTTTAAAAATAAAATGAGAAGCACAATGTTGGTACCATTTGTTGATGCATTGGTCTGATGATTTGGATGTACCTAGATGGAAAAAGTGGGATCTGAATCCGTTGAAAACAGAGCGAGATAATGCGAAAGACATGATGGACCAAAAACCGAATCAGATTAAAAGTAGTTGTGTTGGAACAAAAGAGAAAATAATATACGAAAGCAAGCTTCCTTGCTATTCCAATTCCGATACAAGGCACATTAATGACAAGTTGTGAATGTCACGGTGAAGGCTGTAAACATTAACAAGAGAATAAGAAAATTAGCTATTTAGAATGATTTAGATATTCAAGTCAGGATAATTACCATCTCTTAAATGCCTTTCAACGTTATTTATAAAAGGGGAAATATTGGAGATGATAACATTGCTGATCATCTGATTGAGAAAAGGTTTCCCATAGCGTTATCACATATTTTCAAGTAAATTCCGAATGATATATGATGAGTTCAATGAAAAACTATTCTTGTGAAGGTCTATTTACTAGATCAATTCAATCACATCTCTATCGATGACTGAAAACGAGGTAAATATGAATCGTTAAACAATTCATTCAAAACATCAACATTAGGAAAATCTCCTACATTACAGCGTTTAAAATACTAGAGCCACCTATTGTAATCAGTCAGAAAGCACCTGATGTTACTTTAAACTTTATTAGAGTGATTATGCGGTCCTTTAAATAAACATGAAACTCTTTTTTGTACATTTTTGGCATTTCAAGCATAATTTTTTCTCTAGATAATACTTCATAATTTATTGAATTTATTACACACTAACGTCACGATACGAGTTTACAATTGGTGAATGATTAGAGTTGGTTTGAATCATGGTTAACATAATTGAGCTGCTTTTAAGCTTCTTTCAATAAATTTACATGTTTCGACTATTTTCATTCAGGGTTGGTTAAAAGTTTAGCACCGGCATGAGCCTCGCATAATTCTTTGACTGAATAATACCATGGACCAATGTTTACATTTTTTAAAAGATCTCGAAAAGCTTCGCACCCTTCGAAAGAGCTGAGAGCACCGAAAACAGCTAAATCAGCGAGATTTGGTTTATCACCTCCCATAAATTTCCTATTTTTACCGATTGCTTTCACCCAAAGTTGGCAAGTGTCATAGAGAGACGTACGCACATCTTCCTTCAATCCATGTCTTTTTTTCAGACGTTTGCTAACGAAATACATTCCAATGGCTCCAATATAAATACAAATATATCTTTCCCATGCTGGAAAATATTTATCCCATTGCCCTACTTTGGAAAAGTAATTGAAAGAATCGAAAGATTCTGACAAAGTTCGATAGACATTAGGAGAAATGACATGTACCAAATAATTATCAGTCCACTCTCTCCAGTATCTTTCCTCGTGCAATCGATTTTCATTGTCTTTCAACTTTTTTGGCGTCCAGCTTTCCCCAATCATCAAGAAATATTTGTTTATCACATCAGTTTCTAAGTTTCGACTGTCATCCTGTAGAGAATAAATGAGAAGAGCATTCATTTTTTAATGTTAGTATGCATTTCAGTAGATGAATAATTTTTTATCATTTACCAGATTCTGATAGTAGTCCATAATTCGTTGTACGCTTTCTCCTTCCTTGTTATACATTAAATAGGTAGCAATAATGGAGATGATCAGAGATGAATCAGTTAATTGAACGTATTTAGATGAATCTTTTCCATCCTTGGTTTTCTCATCGACAAGCATTATTGGTACTTTACGATACTTTGAAAATTTCAACTGTTGTCTAAGGACAGGATCGACTTCGACAACATTGTAAGGCAAACCATAATAATCCATGAATGATCGCACTTTACAACAAAAGGGACAGGTTTGATACTGAAACAACGAGAAAGTGACTCCATTCAGCTCGTAAGGACCACCGACTTCTCGAGAAACTGGAATACTGGGTAACTTTTCTTTTGGGATGACATAACCAGCAACAGTTCCTTTAGGCTTATTCTTTACTGAACAAAATGAAAGTATGATAATAAAATAAAACATAGAAATGAGAAAATTTCATACAAATGTAATTTAAACACACAAATGATTTGAGAAACGAGATTTTGTTCTTTGATGCTGGAAAACAAGCAAATACAGTAAGCGGTAAACATTTCAATATAAGAAATAACAACTTGTATTCAGGGATGGCGATGAATTTTAGTAACAAATATCACTCATACAATGACTACTCGTAATTAAAGTATTTTATGGTTGAATTATGATCTAGACATGATTGAAAATTAAGATTGATGGGGAATGTACTGGATCAATGTTCGAACTAACCTGTCCTCAAATAACTATCCCATTCAAGATGATTCTCATTAGACTTTCCATGATCACCAGCAAATTTACCTGGCTTATTCCAATATTGACTGACTCCTTCCATTGCTGCATAGGTCGCACAAAAAGTTAATCCACCAACCAAGAAGATCTTCTTTTTGGATGGCTTGGAAGAAATGGTCGAATCGGCAGAAATCTTACGAAAGCATTGATGAACACCAACATATTTATTACAATTTAAAACTTCTCCAGGACTTCTGAAGTACTCTACATTAAATTTAACTGATCGACTAAAAGAAATAAATCGTCTTGATAACATTATTAATGATTATAATGTGCTAATAATAACATTCAATAAAAACATGAAAACCACGAGAAAATATAAACAGATGATTGTCTTCTGTGTTAATATACCAACAGATGGCTCTAGCTATGGGAAATCACATTTATTTTTGAATTTTTCCCTTAAATTAAATTAAATTAAATTAAATTAACCGTTCCTAATCAACCCAAGCAAATAATAAAAACTTATTGTATAATGTGCAATTCAAAATTGAACTGACTGTCATGAAAACACCTAATCACGAGGCGACATAAACAAAGGTGACATTTTTTCGTCTCATGGTTTCAAGTTTGGTATTCAAGTACAAGTCACATATAAATGTAATCAAATAATATCTAATGACACTAAAACCTTTAAATTATTTCAATATGTTTGAATCAAGGTTTAGATGAATATAATATACAAACGTGATTTACATTCCTGATGATTGAAAATGTTGAAACTGAGTTTCAAGAGATTTGTCTTTCAACTAAAGATTCAGCTAATTATGCTATGAAACACTTTTATTATTTTAATACAAACCATAAAAATGTTAATAAATAGATCTGGACCAGGATAAATAATAAAGGGGTTAAGTAGTCTAATGTTTCAAGTAATCCAGCTTTTATTGATTTCTTGTCGTGATTTGTTGACAACTTTCAATGATCATTTTTTAAGTTAAAACCAAATGAATAGATTTCAAATTAGGTTAATCAGTATTCATAAATTGATTGTTGAAAATCAATATACCTTCTGACAAAAACAATAAACTAAATTGTTCGTTTAGTTTTCTTGGGTTACTTGACTAACTAGTTTGAAAGCTGTTGATCATTTATTGTCAAAGAGTTGATTCTTTAATTTACAGTTGATTGAAGATGAAACAATCAACACAACGAAATGTTTTGAAGAGGATTCGCCAATCCCTGATATTCACCAATGATCAACTCATTCCGTTTGTCATCTGTTTTATCGGTACAGTGATTGAAATTACCGATTTGCTGACAATTTACTTTACTTTCCAGACAATGACATCGGTCGAAGTGTACAGTCCAGATAATGTCATTTTACCTGCAATTTCCATCTGTCATAAATACGATCTCGATGAAGACCTAATCAGGGAAAAAATACCTCGCTTTAATGGTTCCTTTGAATTGAACAAAGAGGATATCAGATTCAATTTAACCATAAATGAGTTGAATGAAGTCACATCCAAACCAAAAGATTTCATTCACTCGTGTAAAGTAGCCAATACTTCCTTCACAAATGATAAGCCTGACTTTGTTGATTGTTTTCAGGTTGAACCAGTTCAAATCAACCTGGATGCTCATCGGAAATGTTTCACCCTCTTCTTTGGCGAGCAATCGTCATTCACTTATTCAAGGGTTTTATTCACCGATATTTTTATCGTTAAATTGCAACTCAATACCACAGTCACAAATCATCCTTATTTCCAGATGATTGTCCATGACCATGATCAAGAAGTTACCAGTAATCGCGGCAGTCCTGAAACAGTTTTACTGGATACTCATCGGTTTTCTGACTTTGTGTTGACTTATTATACCGAGCAAATAATAGCAATGGGCAAACCTTATTCCAATTGTATCGATTATTTCGCTCTTTATGGACAAACTAAACATGATTTGATCAAGAAGTGCATCTTCAACTCTATCTATGAAGACTACGGTGCCTTGGACGATGAAATACTGGTCAGGTTGCCATTGGAGCATAATGACACTAATTTCATACGAGGTGTAAGGACAAGTAGATACAGATCGGCATGTGAACGAAATCACACTGAACTCGAATGTACAACCAAATCATTCCAATTGATTCTATTGAGATCTTTACAAGGTGCTGAAAAAGCGCCTGGTGGCGGTATTATTTCAATAGAGCTTGGTTATCCAATCGGTATGCAAACAACGGTCACAATGGTTCCGAAACAAGATCGAGTTGAATACTTTTGTTACATGGCTAGTATGATCAATTTGTGGCTTGAAATCTCAGTTGTTGGTGTTGTTTCATTTACATTTAAAAAGGTCCGCCAAATGGCGATGAAACTAATAGTAATTGTGAGGAAAAAAATTGATCAATAATTGTACATTAATCTAAAATCAGTCAACAAATAAAACAAATGTAAAAATTGTTACAATTGTAAAACTCTGGTAATTATTGGGTTGTCTCAAGCTAAACCAGAATTCATTGAGATTTGTAAATTGACTCAATTTCAATCTTAATTTGAGCTAAATAAATTAAAAAAGCTTTACAAAATTAATACAATTAGAGTCTTTTCAGTTAATCACTACAATTCATCACTATACAAGAGATTTACTTGAATCCGCTCCAAGGGATTTTACATGTTAAGGTTTTAGGCTTTCACACAGATTTACACTCAATTCAATTCCAAACATTTTGTAAACACCTTTAACAATTAATTAAATAAAAAAAAAGCTATTAAATAAAGTCAATAATTGAAAATTGAAGTTATTATAATATTATAATATTGGTCAGTTAATGTTTATTTGGACCTTGAAGGAATCCTTTAAAGGCGTTGTTAATGGTGCTTCAAGTTGATATCACTAATTAAATATCACTTATTAATTGTTATGAATCTTTTCAGCTGGTTAATGGTACATTAAATTGTGCTTTATTACAATAATCAATGTATCGTTATAATGAGTTGAAAGGTTAAATGGTTAACAGGATTTAGACAAATTCATCTTAATGCATATTCGGGTTGATCTCTTATTTGGTAATGAAGATAGAGTTGAAAATAGATTGAAATGGTCCTACAATTGTTGGCTCAATAAGGCAACAATTAAAGCAAAAGTATGGTTGAAGCAATTGTTATAATCATTTCAACATTCACTTGAATAGTCTAACAATAGTAATGAGAGACTGAATAACTAATAAATCGGAAACTGAATGTCCAGAATGAAAACAGATTGATTATTGATTACAATTAAAGTCAACCCAATGTATAATCTTTCATTATGTTTATCATCATCTTTAGCTTCTCTTTCCAAGTCTGACATCAATTCCCAACCATTAAGATCAATCCAAGACGATGAGTCAACATTATCATCATGAGTAACTCCCTTCAGTCATCCACGTAATCATCTTCATTCCCTTTTCATCTTCCCAGTTCAAATATAACATAACATAACATAAAATAAAAGCTTTCCTTTCCAATTGAAGCTTTGTTCAGGCTCAAAATAAATATTAACAACAGAAACCATTTACCAGAATTTGATTAACTAAACAAAACATTTCAGCAATCATGTTAATCAACAACAACTCTGCTAGTCAATAATTTGTTGATCAATAGTAAATTTAAATTTTAAAATGAACCTGTTTTAGGCAAAAATCACTTACAAATAACTGGTTAGACTAAAAAAAGAAGCGTCAAAATTATTTCATTATGTGTTGTTATAACAGGGATGGAGAGATGATAAAGATGATGATGATGATGATGGGAGAAAGAAAAGATGAAATTGGTAAAAAACGAAAGAAGGTTGAGGATGAAAAGAAGAGGAAGAAAGAGTGAAAACTGGGAGTAAAAATGCTGAAATATAATCTGTTTGATGCATCGCAATTCCTCCTCATCAGCATCTAAATAATACCTTTACAGGGAGAGGAAGAGAGAGAGAGAGAGATGACGAAGAGGATGACGAGAAGTGCATGACCATTTGATGATAAATAACAAAGGGAAATACCAGAAGAGGATAATGATGATGAAGATGGTGAAGCAGCAGCAAACGGATCGATATTTGACTGTAGAGTCCACAGATGAGGAAGAGAGGAAACAGTCATGATGATGGGATGATGTGGATGATGGTGAAGATGACGATGGCGAGGATGACGATGATAAAGGATGATTAAAAATAGAGAAGAGAAAGGCACAGAAAAATTGAACCCGCGAAGTTAAATGAAATTTCAATCAATAATCTGGTTTACAGTTACCATAGTAATGGTGTCTTTAAAGAGGGAAGCTTGAAGACTTGAATTACGGTTTACTTTCTTGTTTTTTCCCTTTCTTTCGCTCTTTTTGTCTTTCTCTTTCTCTTTCCATCTTCATACAGAATCATGTCGACAGAGGAGATCGAAACTGATACTTTGGCCATTGAAAGAGTAACTGAATTATTCCCTGTCATGCCCTTTTCATTCAAGAACTAATCTTAACCTTTTTGTGTTTTGTGTATATTGTTTGCGTCCCAATATCATCTAATTTTTATGTAAAACAAACCATGAAACAATTAATTTAATCCTATCTCGATACCATTTACTAATTGTGTGTTAACCATTATTGTGACCAGTAAATAGGATCATTGTTTGGGCTTGCTGGGTTCAATTGTTTAACTTAACAATCGCCAATCCATACCGTTAACATCAAATCATCTCAACACCAATAACCCTCATCTTGTTTACCTTTTACCCTAACCCTACAAATTTTACACTAATTTTGCTCTTCCTTTAAAATTACAATTGTGTTTATTTATCATCATATTTAGTTGAAAATTAAAACTGTGAAATCAAAATTAATTTTGATATTGATTTGTTTTCCTCCCAATGATCAGTCTTTGCTGATCAAGTTTACTTTCAAGCGGCTTCACTTGCTTTTCAATTTTCCAATCAATCATCTTTACCTTCAATTCAACAATTAAAGGACGATAAAAGGTTTACTATTTCATTTGTTAAACAAAATCAATTTGATGATCTCAACATGAATTAATGTTCATACAGCAACATTGTACATTCACAGTATTATTGGTAACCTATCAATTGTTTCCTTGTTTTAATACCCTAACAACTAATGATTTCAAGCAACAATAACTTGATCATAATTGGAAACGAGCCGGTAAACATTTGATTTAACATTTGAAGTAACCTTTCCAATTTTACTTTTCAACGCGCAAACCAATTTTTGGCACAAAGTCGGGTTACATTTGGATCTTGGTGAGCCACTGATTTTGTTCAATCATGGGAATGATAATGAGCATTTCCCGAGACCGTAAAATGGTTGTTTATGCTGATGGTAACGGGACTGGACCAGTGGCTGGATTTGATTTGAACAACTACAACTTTGCCGATCCCCATTCAGGCAAGATTAAACTGACCAAAGGACTGATTGGTTCAGCATCAGGTCCAACTGAAAACAACAAGACTAAACATAATCATTCAAATCATCCAAAGAAACACTCTATTTTCATTTCAGCACTCAATTTAGGTAAACATTTAAGTGTAGCAACCAAAAAGAAAGCTGAAAAAGCAGCCAAACATGATAAAAATGAGAAGGAAAAGGTGGACAAAAAGGGTTCAAATAAATTGTATAATAGCAACAATAATAACAATCAACAGCAATCATCACTAACCAATAACAACAATAATAGAGTTTATTTGAACTCAAGTACCAAAGATGCTAACCTGAATAACATTAATGCCAACAACAATAAAGACAGTTCAATTGGTGGTCCATTGGAGTGTGTTGATAATTTGAATGCCGATTCCTTGGTAAATAATGCTAGAAATAATCAAATGTCAAAATCATTGTCTTGTTACAATTTGAAGTCTGGATTGATCACAAATAACATTGAGATTGTGAAAAATTGTTCAAAAGACATTGAAAATCAAAGGCCATTCAAGAAACGAAACCCATTTTTATCATCATCAACAACATCATCATCAACCACAACAACAACAGCAACAACAACATCACTGGGAGCTCCACTAATTAACTCATCAAACTTAAATACAACAACCGTTTCTACTGGATTAACCTCATCCACATCTTCATGTTCATCCAACAATACAACTTCAAGCTCATCAAGCTGTTCAGCCTCATCGATAATAACCAATAAATTAGCTACAATTAACAATAACAATAACCATCGCAATGACGTTATCATGTCTAACATTTCCTTGGGTCGTTCAATGGGTCCAGCTTTACCTCCCAAGCCAACAATCTTACTGTCCAAAAACTCAATACGACCCAGCTGTAACAGTTACATACCCAATCCAGCGATAGGCCTAAGGAATGGTATCACATTAACCAACAACAATATAATCAACTCTAATGCCAACAACAATATTAACCACAGTAATCATAATAATCATGAATCAAATCGTATTAGTCCAAGAAACCATCTCAGGAAAACAGTGATTCAAGTAAGTAAACATTTCAACCCAAGCTAATTCAAACGTAAACCCAAATCCAAGCCTGAACCAGAATCTTTACCTTAAACCCAAAACAATTTTTACTTTGTCTCTTTCAATTGCTGCTAAGCTTAATTTATATCAACATGATTAACTAACCAAGAGGCTAATTAGAGAATCTGATAGATAATCTGAGAACAATTAAACTGGTTACTTGATGATGAGTTAGATTGTTAGTTTTGATCAATTGCTTTAAATTTAGTTGATATTTACCCAATTATTAAATATGTAAACAGAGTCTCTTTGTTTTTCATTGCTCGCCTTGTAAATGTTACTTGCCAAGAGAAATGTCTTCATAGGAATTCATTTTTCTCCTCTCAATCTACAATCGATATTATTTCGGTTCTAATTTGTAGTTCTTTACGAGTGGGAATTCAGTTCATCTGCGCATCTGTTCATCATGTATTATCGTCAATGTATTCAACATTGGCAAGGGTTCATCACTTGCCAATATATTTAACATACTGAATCATATCATTTTGAAAGCCTCTTAAATATATCACTTTCTTACACGAATATCAACATCACCAACAAATGATCATCATAACAATATTTTCATCCTATTATTTGCAAATATTATCATGAGATTTATGCATTTCTCAAATCACCGTATTAAATGGCTACCGCCTTGGGCGAGATGATAACAATTGAACTGATCAGATTTTATGATAATTTTTACTCCATCTTATTCAAATCTAATAGACTTTCTAATTGTATTTACCTTGACTATTAAGACTCTGTACTCCTTTGCTACCATCCATTAGTCAATGTTGATCAATTATGATGATCATTCTTAGGTGGGTTGAAATTTTGACTCATCTTTCAAAAGGTAGAGACAGTTATTATGTTTGATATTACATTTGCTCCCCAATCAACACATTTAGTCAATTATTATAATTATTAGGATGAACAAATTGCAAGCATTTGACCTTAAACATCCTTTACTTGTTAATAGCTCTGTCTTTGTTGTTAGGCCCATTGATAATATTTGCTGATGGTTATGATGGTTGGTTGAAAGATGATGACAATGATTGAAATTGCGTGACACCCAAATGATCTTGAAATTGTATCTATTATTATACATAGTTATTCAGCTCAAGGTTACAATTTAATATGTATCACTGAAAAATCACAAAATAAAAAGCCAGGTAATTCATAATTGAACAGCAAAATTGAGATGATTAACGATGAACTTGGTTCAAAAAACGGAACAAAAAACAGATGAATTCAGATGTCATAATGATGTATTGAAAGGTGAATTAATTAATCACTTAGTGGGTACAATAGTCTAACCTGATTACATTTAACCTTTTCAAAAATTAAAAAATAATCTTGCCTATTGAATTTTAATGCCTTCTAAGCCATACAATGCCTTATAGCATTAATCACTAAAAGCCGTTACAATAAGGTTACATTTTTTTTGAAATGTTAACACTTTTTTGACTTGATCAACAATTTTATTTTATTAAGTCTTCAAATAAACCAATTTTGATAAAATAATCCAAATTATCTACCAGCCGTTGCAATAAGCATAATTGTAACAATAAAAAAGCATAATGGCTGGGCAGCACAATCAGCTTGGCTTAGGTTTTTTTTGAAAGAGTCAAGTTAAAACGCAGGGTTTAACCGTTTATACTTGTTTTTTGATTTAGTTTTGATATTGATTATAATTTAATCTAATTATGTGTCTCTTTTGTTAATTAAGGCTTCAACTTCTGAATTACTTCGATGTCTTGGTGATTTCCTATCAAAAAGGTGTCCAAAGCTGAAAACATTCCAATCCGGAGATGCAGTAATGTGGCTACGAGCTGTTGATCGATCACTTCTTTTACAAGGATGGCAGGTAAATAAGATTTATTATTTCTTTTGTTGTATCTTTTTGTTTTATTTTTTGATTAATTGTTTTAATCAAGGTATCTAATCTTCTCACTTGTTTTAATTTTATATAGGATATTGCATTTATCAATCCGGCCAATGTTGTATTCCTTTATATGTTACTCAAAGAATTGATCAAAGAAGATATAGACTCGGAGTGTGAGCTTCAGGCAACTGTATTAACCTGCCTTTACCTTTCCTACGCATACATGGGAAATGAAATATCCTACCCATTGAAACCATTTCTCATGGAAACAGATAATAAGGATAAATTCTGGGATCGTTGTCTACTTATAATCAATATGCTCAGTGGTAAAATGCTTCGGATAAACAGTGAACCAGGCTTTTTTACCGAAATCTTTACGGAACTTAAAGGATGCCAATACTCAAATGGACATATACTCAATGGATCTAATACTTTATTCAATTAGATAGTGGGAAATCTCTTCAACCTTTTTAATAATGTGAAATCATACGTAAAAGAGGAAAAATCAGCAAACATCGATCTAAGATCTGGCAGTCCAGAACTGAACTCAATGTAGATATCAGTGTTTAAAGATCACTTTTCCCAAAAGCTTGCAATCCCTTTCATTTTCCTCATACAATCACTCTAAATAAGCATAAAATGCATTGCATATCCCATTGCAAACACTCACTAAGCAATTATACTCATTACCATTTACCTACATTCCAAATACTCCAATTTTATTTAGGGCCACCATTTTGTAAACTATCATTCCTCAACTTTTATTTAACCTCTCATCTTCCCGATTAGCTTGCTTACTCACATATGTTTGCTGTCTTTAATCTTTTACACTTGAATACTGATGAAAGTGATAAAGATGAAATTAAACAAACAATAAGGCCGATCCGTGCAACAATTAGATATATTTATCACTTTCTTAACCAGAAATGATTTCTTGTTTTTGGATTGTAGTCATTGACTGTGAAAGGTTCAAGTAAAATGTGTTTTGTCTTGTTCAGATTGATTCAATGAAGCTAGTCAGGCCAGTATCTCAAGAATAATTTGTTTATTTCTGTGCCATTTTTGTGTATTCATGTACATTTTATAAATCAGTCTACAAAACATCAACAAGCACACATTTAACTTAACTTTCAATACCATTTGATTACATTGTGATTAAATCGTCATTCAACTTACTACAAATTTTGTCCACCAAACAAAAAGCCAAAGAATCAAGCCGTTAAAAGGATTCGAATCATCAAAACAAGAAGCCAACAATCAATAGGAGTCTATTATTGATGATTTTTTTTCTGAGATAATTAAGTGAACCCTTTAAAACCAGACAAAACAATTTGCTCAGTCAACAAAGAATACAATTATATTATTATCTACTGATAGACTTAAAAAGCCAAAGAAATGAAATCTCAAGAAAGGAAAATTAAAATTGTAAAATGACAGAGTTAAGTTTGTTTCATTATTATCATGATAATTTAATAGTCTCCATAATCAGCAATTTGAACCGTTGATTATCATGACAATTATTGATTAATCGAAACATAATAATCAAAATTGTAAAAAATTAAGTGTAATTTACGTTTGAAGGCAAAGGATTTTAAAGATGATGGTATACAATGGATGGTGTATTAGCTAACTGCGTAAAGGGTTACTAATGAAAAATCCCAAACTGAATCTCTTGTGAATAATGTAAATTGAATTGTTCAAATCATTGATTTGGGATCTGATAAATTGTAAAGGGATAAAAGACAATTTGTCAAATTGAAACAATCAACAATGAAAATGAAGACAATACAAGAGTAAATCAACAAATCATCAGAATCAACCAAAAAGTGATTTGTACAATAATGTCAAAAAAGTCGATTGTTGTCGATTTAAATCAATTTCAGTTTCTTTTGTTTCCTCACCAATCAACAATTAACTAAATCATTATTGTAAACAAACCTCATCTAAAACCAAGAAGACAACCAACTAATCGTCTTATGTAAACCCAACCCTCTCTAGTCCTGTAAATTGACAATTTAAGTTAGTAAATATAACTTCAATTGATTCAGTTTCATCTCCACTATTCCCTCCTTCAATTTGCTGTTACCATATGACGATTACTCCCAACAAATGAAAACAAACAATAATGTTTAAATCAATTTTAGACTCAATTTGATTGTCACTCCTAACTAAATAAACTACACTGGTTGTACTTACACTAGAAAAACATGTTTCATTTTTTCATTCAAATTCTCGGAACTTAAACAAACAAACAGTTTTGATTAGAATCGACTAAATGTTGATTCTAATAAGCTATAGTGACTGTATAACTGGCACAAATGAGCAAAATCGGGTGAAAATAATTTCGTTAAAATTTAGACTCTATGGGTCATTTTGTCAAAATATAGAAAGCTGCAAAAGATATTGCTTCCATTTTGCAAAAGTTCATTATTCATTCCGATTCAATATTCATACTCTGGGCAGGATAGTTAGTTAGAAAATTAGATTGGCAAAAGAGTAACAATAACGCTAGAATTGAGAGCTAGGACATTGTCAAGTTTGTAGGAGCACAAAAATTAAGTCTTTTAGTGCTTTTAAAAAGTTTCTCTGGCTAACAGTTTGCGAGTTAATCACATTCAAAGATGAAACTGCGATAGTCTTTTATTCAATTATGGAAACAGATAACTTTATGAGACTCATTTACCTGATGAAACTTTTAATGATCTACCAGAAAAAGCACTTATTTAGAGAAATAACATTTTCTTTTTCTTGTAAAACAAATAAGTTCGATTTTAAGTTAAACCTTGGACATTCTGTAACCGTATGGGTTAGAAAACGTAAACTTAATATTAGTACACGAAAATTGTTGGTACACATTATTGATCTAGGATTTTTCTTAATTTTTGAACAGTTCTCTTGATTTTGGTGATTGGCCTTAAAATTTACTGTCTCGATATTTCGATAATCATAACATCTACAATCACCGTTCTTTCAATAATTTATTGCTTTACTAATTAATGATTAATTTAATTCTATAACTTTCTATTAGTGCGTTTGGGTCATCTTTGGCTTGTAAATGTGCGAAATTCGAAGTTTCAACTTTGAATGCGATTAACTGGAGAACTGTTAGCCAGCGAAAATTTAAGAGCACTAATAGACTTAGCTCTTTATTCTAGCATTATTGCTCATGTTTTGACAAAATAACGTAACTTTTCTGTTCATTGGCAATTTAATTACATCAGTTTGTATGTTTGTCACAGCATTAAGTCAATAGACTTACTTTGATTTAGTTTGTTTCTTTCGTTAGCTTTTCAGTCTTCAAGCGATTTGAACTTGCTCTTCTCTGTTGAGGAATTACAAGATCGTTAGTTATATTATTGCATCTCTAGAGTACGATATCAAATAAGCAAATACTTACAGACAAACACTTCGCTCTTGATCGCCATCATAAGTTTGATCGTAAATACTATTAGCTTCATAGACAGGACCATTAATCCCGATCTTCCAAGTAGGTAAGACTCTGGACTGATCAGGAATTATGCCATCACCAATGATTTGGTTTCCTTGAATATTAAACAGTTCGAGTGACCATAAAGATCCATCCAACTGATTAGTCGATAGCCTTGTTACCCGTTTGATCATAAAGCTAACCTAATAGGGTAATGATCGTTGTCAACTCTGTAAACCAGATTGATGTGTTAGTGAAGCCATTTTCATTCCAAGCAGATATGAAGTTAACTCCGGCATCGGAATAGTGAAGCAAAGGCAATAATCGTCCCATAAAGTGTGAGAAGTCAGGAGCAAGCACAACACAATCATCAACTAATATCAAATGATGAGCATAACGATAGAATCTTTCAACATGATCGAGAATAGTATTGAGATATTGACTATTATCCATTCGAGTTTGAAATACCTCGAAACTACAAACCTTAATTAGCTGATTGATTGAAGAGTGGCAATTGGCTTTTATAGCGACCGTTACTTTGTTTGGCTTAGCTCGGGTTGACGTAAAATTGTCTCTAAAAGTAAAGGGAAATATTGATTATCACAGCGACTATTAACAACAACAAGCGGAGTTCGCAAGATTTCAGGACTAATTGGTAGTGGGTGATATATTTTAGATGTTACCAAAAAATCATTGACCAAGTTATCTGCATATAAACATGAAAAATGAGTTAATTTCAACGATTTGAAGTTATTTTACACTGTTTTGTTGCTAAAAAGACACAATAAACACATTAGATGTCACATTCATGCACATATTGACACAGAGGGACCAAAAGGGACAAAAGGAGGCTATAAATTAATTTCTTTTGATTTTAGACTCAATTGATGTGATGTGCCATAAAAACCAAGTCTATCAGTGCTTATAAAAAGTTTCTCTGGCTATTAGTTCTCGAGAAAATCGTGTTCGAAGTTCAAACTTCGATCGCGTTTTGTTCAATTATAGATGAAGATAATATAATGAAACTCATTTTCCTGGTGTTAATTTTGATGGTCTATCAGGAAATGCACTTATTTTGAGAAATAACGTTTTCTTTTTCTCTAAAACTTCGATTATTCGATTTTAAGACTTCAGATTCTCAGATGTTTTTAAACCTTCTTTATTCTGAGACCGTGTGCGATAGAGAGCTAAAACTTATTATCAGTAGACAAAAATCATGGGCACACATCAAGGATCGATCACTTTTTTCAAAACACCAACAGTTCTCTTGATTTTGGACATTGGCCTCAAAAGTTTGAACATCAGTATTTCGAGAATGATAGCACCTACACTCACCATTCTTCTACCAAATATTCGGTGCTGTTACAGACTATAATATAATGGAATATCAGATGATTCAAGATGCTGCGAAAAAAGTTATACCATTTTGGTGCTGGTAATGATAATGGTAAATTCTTATCGCAAATACAATGTTGTATACGTTATAAAATAAATTAGCTCAGGTTTTTTAATATTTAGTCATATTATATTATAGTCCGTAATAGTAACTAATATTTGGTCAAAGAATGGTTAGTGTAGATGCTATCATTCTCGAAATATTGATGTTCAAACTTTTGAGGCCAATGTCCAAAATAAAGAAAACTGTTGATGTATTGAAAAAAGTAATCAATCCTTGATGTGTGCCTATGATTTTTATTCACGAATAATAAGTTTTAGCTCTCTATCACATTCGGTCACAGAATAAAGAAGGTTTAAAAACATCTGAGAATCTGAAGTCTGAAAATCGAATAATCGAAGTTTTAGAGAAAAAGAAAACGATATTTTTAAAAATATGTGCATTTTCTGATAGTCCATCAAAATTTACATCAGGAAATGAGTTTAATGATATTATCTTCATCCATAATTGAACAAAACGCGATCGAAGTTTGAACTTCGAACGCGATTTTCACGAAAGTTATTAGCCTGAGAACCTTTGTAAAAGCACTAATAGACTTGGTTTTTATGGCACTTCAAACCACTTGAGTCTAAATTCAAAAGAAATCATTTTATGGCTTCTTATTGTCCCTTTGTGTCAATTTATGCATCAATGTGACAACAAATGTGTTTATTGTGTCTTTTTAGCAACAAAACAGTGTAAAATAACTTTAAATCATCGAAATCATAACTAATTTCATTTTCCAATGCAGAAAACATGGCCACCGGTCCTTGGGTAACATCTAAAATATATCATCCACTACCAATTAGTCCTGAAACCTTGCGAACTCCACTTATTGTTGTTATTCACAGCCGATGTGATGATCAATATTTCCCCTTTACTTTTAGAGACCAATTGCCACTCTTCAATCAATCAGCTAATTAAGGTTTTAAGTTTCGAGGTATTTCAGACTAAAATGGTCAATATCTCAATACTATTCTTGACCATGTCGAAAGATTCTATCGTTATGCTCATCAGTTGATATTAGTTGATGATTGTGTTGTGCTTGCTCCTGACTTCTCACACTTTATGGGACGATTATTGCCTTTGCTTCACTATTCCGATGCCAAAGTTAACTTCATATCTGCTTGGAATGAAAATGGCTTCACTAACACATCAACTGGTCCTAATCTGGTTTATAGAGTTGACAATGCTCATTACCCCATTAGAATAGCTTTTATGATCAAACGGGTAACAAGGCTATCGACTAATCAGTTAGATGGATCTTTATGGTCACTCGAACTGTTTAATATTAAAGGAAACCAAATCATTAGTGATGGCATAATTCCTGAACAGTCCAGAGTCTTACCTACTTGGAAGATCGGTATTAATGGTCCTGTCTTTGAAACTAATAGTGATTACGATCAGACTTATGATAGCTATCAAGAACGAAGTGTTTGTCTTTGAGTGTTCGCTTAATTGGTAGTGGATGATATATTTTAGATGTGACCAAAGGATCATTGACCAAGTTATCTGCATATAAACATCAAAAATGAGTTAATTTCAATAATTTGAAGTGAACTTACACTGGTTTGTTGCTAAAAAGACACAATAAACACATTTGTTGTCACATTCATGCACATATTGACACAGAGGGACCAAAATGGACAAACAGAAGCTATAAATTAATTTCTTTCGAATTTATACTCAATCGATTTGCAGGAACATAAAGTCTGAGTCTATTAGTGCTTTTGAAAAGTTTGTTTGGCCAATAGTTCTCGAGAAAATCGCGTTCGGAGTTGAAACCTCGATCTTGTTTTGTTCAATTATGGACGATGATAATATCATTAAACTCATTTTCTTGATGTAAATTTTGATGATCTTGCAGAAAATGTCATTATTATGCGAAATAACGCTGCATTTTTTGTAAAACTTCGATTATTCGATTTTCATTTCTTATTCCATTATACCTTCTTTATTCTGTGACCTTATGAAATAGAAAGCTAAAACTTATCATCCGTTGATAAAAATCATGAGCAAACATCAAGGCTCGATCACTTTCTGCAATATAAACCAACAGTTCTCTTGATTTTGAATATTGGCCTTAAAATTTTGGACCTCAATATTTCAAGAATGATAGCACCTACAGTCATCATTCTTTGACATAATATTAGGTGGCATTACGGACTATAATATAGTGGAATTTCAGATGCTTCAAGATGGTACAAAAAAAGTTATTGCATTTTGAAATTTACCCATAAAATGGTGAATGTTTATCGCAAATCTAATGATGTGTTAAAAGATATTCATTATTAAATGAATTAGCTCAGGTTTTTTCAATATTTAGTAATATCATATTATAGCCCATGATAAAAGCTAATGTCTGGTCAAAGAATGATGATTATTGGCACTATCGTTATCGAAATATCGATGTTCAAAGTTTCGAGGCTAATGGCCAAAAGCAAGAGAACTGCTGATTAATTACAAAAAATGTTCAATCGTCGATGTGGATCAACAATTTTTAATGGTTACATGATAAGATTTAGCTCTCTATCTCAAATGGTCACAGTCCGTCGAAGGTATAACTGAAATTCGGAGAATCGAACTTTTACAGAAGAAGAAAAGTTTTATTTCACAAGCGAGAGCATTTTCTGGTAGATCATCCAAAGTTACATCATGGAACTGAGTTGCACAGAAAAATCTGCTTCCATAATTGTACAAAAAGCGATCGAAGTTTTAACTTTGACCTCGATTTTCTCGAAAACTGTCAATGGGATGAATTATTTAATAGCACCAATGGACTCATTTTTAATGTCCTTACAAATCCCACTAAGTTTCAACTCTTGCTTCAAAAGTTCGAGTCTTTGGCAGTAATCTTTGCATTTCATTTGCAAGCTTAACCAGAAAATTGGTTTATTTACCAGAATATGAGTTGAGAAGTGTTTGGTTTGTTAAATAAGTTGTTTCTCGCACATTTAAAAGCCAAAGATCAAGACCCAAACGCGCAAACAGAAAGTTATCAAATCGAATGGAATTATTAACGAGCGGAGAAACAAATTGGTAAAAGCGTGATGACTGTAGGTCCCACCATTCTCGAAATATTTAGGTTCAAAGTTTTAAGGCCAATGACCAAAAATCAAGAGAACTGTTCAAAAATTGATAAAAGTATTTTATCCATGATTCGAGACAACGATTTTTATGGACAAATATAAAGTTTCAGTTTTCTAACTCTCACGGTCACAGAAAGCGATCGGTTAGAATGAAAATCGAACTATTCAGTTTTACACAAAAAGAAAAATTATATTTCTCAAAATGAATACATTTTCTGGTTGATTATCAAAAGTTACATCAGTACTTTGAGTTTCATGAGAAAAACTTGCTTTCGTATTTGCACAAAAGACGATCGAAGTTTCATCTTCAAGCTCGATTTTCTCGTAAACGATCCATCATAGAAACTTTTGAATCGCACAAATGGACTCATTTTTATGCCCCTAAAGCCGATTTTTGAAAAAGGCCAGACATTGATAAAAGCAATAATTTATCGATAACTAATTTTAATTTGATCATCAAAACGACAGATTTGTGCAGAACTAATCATTTCAAAGTTAAGATTGCCTTTTTATCAATTCATAACGAACAGATGATTATTCAGTTTATTGACGATCATTTTCTTGAATTTGTTTGGTGTAATGAGTAAATTATGTATTTGAGAAGGTTCAACAATTTTCCTCCAAAGATTTATTAAAGCTGTACTTCTCGAGATATTCATTGTTTGATAATTTTAAAAAGCTGCTACAGAATTATATTCGATTATCCTGCAACGTTATATCAGACTAATCATGATTATTAAGTTCTAAATCGTCCTTGAGACTGTTAACAGTTGACTTGTGACAGATGATTGAACAAATTAAATGAAAATGATGATAAACATCCAATTTTTGGTGGTGACATTGAAAAGCATTATAAAGATGCATAAAGTGATTTGTTGAGGCGAACTTAATTTGAAAGCTTCTGATGTTACTCAGAAAAGATGAGTGAAAAATAAAGATAACTGTGTCTATCAAGTTCATGTTCATTGTTAAGCTATTTTTTACAGTTGATTTAAATTGTGATTTACTTATGGCTGTGAAGAGATGAAAAGATCAAAGCTGAAACTAATGGAGATAAAAAATAAATCGTTGTCACTTTTAACCCTATCTTATGTCTTACACATTAAATGTTATGAATAACCTTGGCCTTGGCTGAACTTTTTTGAGTCTGAAACTGATGTTGGCTGCAACTTTGAATAAGCTAATGATTGATTTCAATTTTCAAAATCAGTCAGTCAAAATTTTATGTAGCATTTGATTTATTGTTATTTTGAAAACACAGTTGTCTTCAACTTTACAAATCAAAACTTTTTTTAAATTATTTTCTATGTCATTGTAAATAGAGATTGCAATCAAATTACTTCTTAAATAATCAAACAATGTGAGTAAATTCAACTGTACATATATAATTAGATATGATTTTAAGAGTGAATCAGCGTGATTGCTGGGCAGTAAAATTGAGATCCAAATGAATTGTCCAATAGGTTAACGTGATACAAATAAACGATTCCAGTAAACTGTACGTTTGGCTACAATTAATGAGATGCTTTCCTTGTCAACTCAAGACTTCTTGAATTTTGATGTTTCATGCGTTTTAACCTATAGAACAATAAAATAAAAAATAATTAGCTTGAAATTTTCAGAATAAGAAAACTGAAATTAAGAGATGAAGTAAAAAATCTTACAAAAATATTGTAGCGTCTTCAATATCTACAAGGATTGAATCTTGTTCCATATGAAGTTCGTCTCTTTCTTGAAGCATTTGTACCAGCTCTTCATTTAGGGCTTGATTTGATGAGAGATTAAAATTAAAATTGATTTCAAGTGCAATCGCAAAAAGTCTGAGTTCATCATCAATTTTGTTGAAATACAAACTAGTGTGAAATGGAATGAAATCGTGTTAAAGACGCGAAATTTATATTTCCATTAAATGTATAATTATTCACATTTGCATTGAATTGATGATTCCTTCAGAATATTTTGGGTTATTTAAGCTTACCTTCAATTTGTGAAAGTAAATCATTTACAATAATCTGCAATTTAGGAACACTCATTTCTTTGAGTACTTCCTTATTGAAATGACGGTCCACTGGCAATTGTATTAACTCAGCAACCGGATTGGGCTTCACTTTAGATCTTTCGGTTTCCATTTGCATTTGAGCCATTTCCTTTGCTTGACTAAGCGCAAATCTAGCTTCAGCAATAATTAAATTGTGATAACGATGGAAGGTACTCATATCATTTGGACGAGCTGTATTTAAAATGTATCTGAACCTTTCCATTTTATTCCGTCGCAAATTTACCATTAAATCATGAGGTTTCTCTTTCTCGATATTGCACCTTTCAAGTTCATTTACCAATTGATTCTCGTCCGCAGAAACATCTTCATTGTTATTGAAATCCATGCCTTGAGCTTTTTTATTGAAATCTTCAGTGATACGATTGAAGGCATCTTGACGAAGCCTTTCCAAGTCTCGAGTTTCCTTTAAAGCAAAATAAATAAAAACAAAGATGAACAAGAAGCGACAAAAATAGTAGAAGGGTTAAATTGTGAGGAGCGTAAAATTAACAAACCTCATAATGGTCTGGTGTTTTATTGAAAAAACACAAACGCAAGTCACTTGTATTAGTCATTAATTTATTAAGATAGCCTTTCTTGTGACCAACGGTTGATGATTTCCATCCTTTATTGTTTCTATCATCAAAATCACTCTCCATGGCGAGTCTTCGTCTGATCTCTTCTCTATCCTGCATCTAAAATGTAAATAAAACAAGAGAAACAAACCATTCATAATGAGTCATACAGGAATTAATATTAGTAATATAATATCTGTACTCACCGAGATTGACCTAACTTCGAAGTTGCTCGTTATTTTAACCTTAGACATCTGTGTTGAGTGGTTATAATTATTAGAAGCCATGTTTAGATTAAAACACTTGACCAATAAAGATGGATTATGTCATACAGATATTAAAATACATTGAAGATCCAATCTTTCCGAGAGTTGAAGTCGTTAGGGTTTTGGAGGGAAAGTGTTGAATTTGAATATTGTAACAATAACAACCTGAGCTACAAATAATTAGTTTTGTATAATTGAATTTTTGTTACTATTGGCTTTATTTAATGGTGTTTATTTGGGTGGACCATCATGAATCATGATCATCAATAAATTGTAATTTCTGAGTCGACTCTTGAACTTACATTGCATGTGTATCTAGAGAAGAGTAGTCTCAATAAAAACATGATTATGAATTTATAAGAATTGATATAAATGTTTCAATACTTGTATTGATTATTCAAGCTGCATTCTTAATAAAGATTCAGAGTAAAATGTAGTCAAAATTCAAGATCACTTCTTGTCGGACAATTTATTTAAGATTGAATACCTGCCAACACTTCACTATGGATGAAATTTTACTGTTAATCTTAAAATATCATATTGTGTCGAAAAATAAATTTACATCTGTTCATAGCAATTAAAAATTTCACGTAAAATAAGTTATATCAATAATGAGCAAAATTATTTGTAATACAGTTGTACTTGATAATGAAATCACATCATGTTATAACTTCGAAGCACAATTTTAACCAGCTGGACTTCGGTCATGGTTAGGTTGATGAAGCGGACAATGCAACGTAAACAACACCTTGAATGTTGATGTGCTGAAACTGATGGTTTGATAATAAGGATAACAGTTTGAATGATGTTTATGGTTGTCCAGACCAGTGCAATCAAATAAAATGCTTGACCATAAAACACGATTATCTGAGATGGTTCCAGCTTCGACTCCTTTTGAACGAACCAATAGTTTAGTCCAGTAATCAAGAGTTGACAACAATCGCCAATTATGTTGGCTGAGACTCTAACAGCATCAATCAATAAACGCATGCTAAAATAAACAAGTAACTTCCAACTGGGAGCGATCTTTCCATCGCCCTGTTCATTTGACGGACTGTTGGGTAGGTTAATTGTATTACCAAGCCAAAGGACTGATCCTGGTGGTTTCACTAATTCCCAGACAAAGTTAGAGACAATCTTATTCCAATTATAAGGTGGTTCCAGCGAGAGTAGAGTTGAAATTGCGATGCTATAAAAACGAACACGGTGGCTCAATAGAGAGGCTGAATTTATATTTGATAAGAGCCACAATATTAAGACATAAATGCAGCTATAAAGGGCCCATCGCCATTTACCAAGAAAATTAGATCGAGGTTGTCCAGCAGGAGTCACTGATCTAGAATCACTAATCAAATTATCCGTATTGGAACCTTTCCTGGTGGAACCGCCAACTGCTGTTGATTTTGAATTATCAGCTGATGTACCCGCCTTTGTTTCAGGCTTTTTGTTATTAGGTGTTTGGTCAACATTACTCATTCTTTATTAGAAGAGCTGAAGCTTAATAGCTAAAATAAATCTATGATCCATATAGATTGGACGGTTACATGGGTAGATGTTAATATTGATGGCTAAATAGTTTGTTTTGATTTCAAATCTGGTTTCTGTGTTGTAGCAAGTAGGATAAGTTTGCAATAATGTTGTGTTTTAATTGTTGGTTAATAAACAAAAAACTAGGATTCAATCGACAACAATGACAAGTTGTGAAAGTAAATTAAAATCTGATTCGAATGTAAAAACAAAAAAAATTTATTGAAATCTTCAGTGATACGATTGAAGGCATCTTGACGAAGCCTTTCCAAGTCTCGAGTTTCCTTTAAAGCAAAATAAAATAAAAACAAAGATGAACAAGAAGCGACAAAATTAGTAGAAGCGTAAATTGTGAGGAACGTCAAATTAACATACCTCATAATGGTCTGGTATTTTATTGAAAAAACACAAACGCAAGTCACTTGTATTAGTCATTAATTTATTAAGATAGCCTTTCTTGTGACCAACGGTTGATGATTTCCAGCTTTTATTGTTTCTATCATCAAAATCACTCTCCATGGCGAGTCTTCGTCTGATCTCTTCTCTATCCTGCATCTAAAATATAAATAAAACAAGAGAAACAAACCATTCATAATGAGCCATACAGGAATTAATATTAGTTATCGATAGTATCTGTACTTACCGAGATTGACCTAACTTCGAAGTTGCTCGTTTTTTAACCTTAGACATCTGTGTTGAGTGGTTATAATTATTAGAAGCCATGTTTAGATTAAAACACTTGACCAAAAAAGATGGATTATGTCATACAGATATTAAAATACATTGAAGATCCAATCTTTCCGAGAGTTGAAGTCGATTTAGATTTAAACAGTTGACCAAAAAAGAAATCGCTTCATTGTTATTGAAATCAATGCCTAGAGCTTTTTTATTGAAATCTTCAGTGATATGATTGAATGCATCTTGATGCAGATGGATTATGTCATAAAGATATTAAAATAAATTGAAGACCAATTTTTTTACCAATGTAAGAGTTGAAGTCTTTTGGGTTTTGGAGGGAAAGTGTTGAAATTTGAAAAGGATTATAAATTTCTGGTTTTTTATAAAAATTTGGACTGCAAATAATTATCTTAATGATTAGTCTTGTTTTATTATTTGGTTTTGTTATTGGGTGAACTATCATGATTAACATTTCACCGTAACTTCCACTAACTATTTCATAGCTTTTTCAGTAAACTTATTCTAGAATAGTTTGGTTCTTAGGATTCCCAATATTTGAAACCCAATCTTGTCTTGCACCTAATCGGGTGCAACCATTTCAAACATTTGACGCTGATTAGATTCAATTTTGGTTCAATGTCAGGTAATAGTCAACCTGTACGCAAAGGCTTATTAAGCTCACTTAAAATGTACAGTTTTCATCGATTGAATCCTTTCCACTTTTACAGGTAAGATACGCAACACACAAAGATTGGCTCATTAGTGTGAAATGAAACATTTTAAATTGCGGTAATAATAGTAAACGCTGATATGGTAATGATTCAAATTACGTTAAGTTATGGTAAGTTGACATAACAATACTGGTAAACAAAAAAAACATAAACAATAAAACTGGTTAAAGCGCAATGTTCAAAATAAGGGAAAGAAGGAATGAAAGGGAAAACAGTGAAAGTAGATGGATCAATATGGTTTCTATGGTTATTCGGAATTGTTCAGGAAAAAAACTTCGCTGGATGATTATCCCGAAAAATGATTTACTCTGAAAGTAGACAGAGAGACACAATTCAGATAGCATTAGAATACACAAACTCTCACAAGACACATAGGAAAGAAATACATTTTCACTTAGATTACACATAAACACAACACATCACAACACAAACACAAGGCACATTTACATAGTTTAATTTAATCGTTTCCCTCATTTTTATCAATGTTTATCAATTTTATTTTATCCTTAAATCAACTATAAGGATATTTATCAGTGTATGGTGCAAAATATTGACCTCAAGCGTTTATCTGGATCAGTTAAACAATAAAAAATCGTATTGACCCTTGTGATGATCCTTCCTTCATCAGGTAAGCTTTTTGTTGTTATTCATTTTCAACCTCCATTTTCAGCCTTTCTTTTCAATCATGATCTTTATTAAATTATTGTTTACTCTATTTGAATTAGTTTAATGTAAATTTAGCCTTTTCATTAAGACAAACCATTCAATCGAATCTAAAACCTCAAGTCTCTTAGAAATGGTTACCAAAAGATATATTTTGAACCTGTTGACCTGTTTTGTTTGACTTCATTAAACTCAACAGAGTGCTTTGATCATTGAATGTCTTAAATTATGCTTGAATTGCAGTAAGATTTCACAGTTAGTATTTTAAATAATGCTCTTTTACCTAGTACTGATAAAATATATCGAGTAAATAATAATTTATTTCAATTAATAAAAGGCTTACATTCTGAAGCCTCGTATTGGGCCTTAAGTCAACTGTTTTGTGACCCCCAAGAGCTTCGATGTTTACGTTGAAGCAGATAGACTTAATTTTCATGTGAATTAATACAATTTTTTCAATTTTTTCTTCCAGTGCCACCAGAGACAAGTGCTTTTCTTGGTCTGGTTGCAATATGTATGGTTGGTTTGCTGGTTTTGTATCTTTACCTGAGCAAAAAAGTATGCTTCTCAAATGTTGGTAATTTCCCATGTTGTGATGAACCCACCAAGACTGAAAAATGTAAAATAACTCGACAATTAGGTAAGAATTACAGTTATTTTACAGTAATTATTGCTGTAAAATTTCGATGGTATTCTGAAAGCACTCCAGCTATTTCATACTGGATGAATCCTTGCGCTTTTATCCATGAGTATTGTTCTAGTAAATTGCAGAATATTCAGATTGAGATTGGATTGAAATCAACTCAAATAAAAAGGTTCATTGATATTGACGCGAAGTTTCTTTCAAAGTGAAGTATCGAGACATGTTAAAATCTTCAATCGTCTTTGCAAATATCTAGCAGAACTCAGTTGAATCTTGGTTGGTTGAGTTAATGGAACTAGAAAACTTTCAATTCATAATTTAAAATCAATTTCATGTCATTTTTATATCGATACCAAATTTAGTGTTAGAAATATTGCTCACTATACCTTGACTTGATAAACATGGTCTTTACTTTGAATGGCAATCCAAACATTAAAATATCAACAAACAACTTCAATATTCTTTACAATTGAACTCAAATAGTGACTTCAATCCTTCTAACAGTTAAAAAAAACTTGTTATTCACTCTATTTTAAACAAACAAAATATTCTTCAGGTAAATTCACACAAAACAAATTAATTTATTATTGTAGTTGCCATTGAAAATTTTAATATTTAGCTTCAAGTAATGTTTTGAGCATAGTTTATGCTTAACACTTTCAATCCAATTCTCATTGATAGCAATAGTAATGTAACAATTTAGACAAAATTAGGTCCAAATGCTAAGATTACCTGGACTCAATAAATGAAATTAGTTACATATATTAAGTCATTTTGTAGCCTTGTTCATGTTTGATTGATCATTTTGTTTTGATTAGTTTTGTTTGCCATTTTAGCAACATTAACATGCTATTAGTCTATACTTGAATCCTGGTTTGATTACCAGAAAAACGCCGGAAAAGGGTAAAAATTTTGGTTCACCATTAATTGATACATTATTCAAGATGTCAATTTGTTCACTCAAAGACAATGTTTGACCATTACTATAGACAATTGATAGATTCATATTGATTATCATAATCTTAATTTTAATTTTCTTTTTCTTCCTTGTTATGATTGATGTTTCAGGTTCAAGTTATGGTTATGATGATGATGAAGAAGAATCATCAACTGACAGTGAAAAAGAGGTTAAAGAAAGATTATATCAGCCTGGCTTGGAAACAAATGGATCAAGAAGACAATCATCATTTAATAAACATCACCAACAACATTCAAATAAAAAATTATCATCAACAGGAGCCACATCAAACCATCATCATAATCACCATAACCGGTCAAATGACAAAAAAGAGGCTAAACATTTTGTTAGACAGTCTTGCAGTACCGATAAATTATTGGCAAGAAACGATTCCGTAAATAGTGAAAAAACTGATCAGTCCAGTTTATATCAAGGTAAGGTCAATTGATTAATTTATTAAACAATAACATTAATTTTACCGATCATCATCCTACACTTCATCTCTTCCATTAATGTAACTACATGCATAAATAATGTGTATTCAGATCAATAACTCAGTTTCATTTGTTTCTTCTTAAATTAACTAATAAAACCTGGAAAACGACTATTTTTATCTAAATTGAGCTTGTAACTACAATCGTTACAGTGATTTAAATAAGAAATTATTCATAAATTGAATAGTTAATTTACTTGTTTACCTCTTGAGACTTGAAGATTAACATTTTAATGCAAGTTATTATTCTGGACATTACTCTTTTAACATTAAATGATTATATTCATTGAACTTCATTTTGGTTGCCATTGAAAGTAAATAGTCCTTGAAAGGTTTTAAATTTCAATGGTCAATAGATTTGCTTTTAATTATTCAGATTTATCTGTGTATATGCACGTTTGGATGATTTATTGATTGGTAGATGATGAAATGACGATGAAATATTGGAATCTTTAATGGTGGAAATATTGATTTTCAACTGTTTTTTATTTACTTGTATTTTTTGTTTCATCCTTTTCAGAGCCAGTTAATTGTCGACCATCTTATGATCAACGCAACTATAACAATCAGCGTAAAGAATGTGATCAGGGTAAATCAATGGAAACCAGGCAAAATGGTTCAGAATTGGGAGATTTGAGTAATCAAATTGATCTCATTTCTATGGCAGAGAAAGGTTAGCATCAATACAATGGTTCAATAAATGAATAATTATTATAAAAAGAGTAACTATTCATTTCACCGATCAAGCTTCATTTTAATTGATGATCTATCTTCTTGTTTGTCATATTTTTAGGTAAAATAGGTAAAACTGGTTCATCTGATGCTGCCTCATGCTCAAGTGAAACTGGAAGTCAAGATACTGAAGAGGAAGCTTTGGTTCCCTTCTTACATGAAAAGGCCAAACAAAAGGCTTCCAAATTGATGTGTGATCCAAATAACAATTCAAACGGAATAATTAAAATTGGAAATGGACGGATGAATAAGAGACCCCGAATAAGCTCAAATAAAGAAAATGAATCCTATTTCAATGAAGGTTTTGAAGGTCGCCTTGAATCGGAATCAGGGAATAAATCAAGTGAAGATGAAGATGTTGATACCATGGTGAATGGTAATGGAATTGTCAAATGTGGCTGTCTCCAGGTCAGTCATGCCTATGATCCACCAACTCGTAAACTTCATTTGACCATAATTCGCGCTCGATCCATTCCAACCAAAGAACGATCCGGGAGTAACCAGGTCTATGTTAAAGTTGTCCTAACACCTAATCGAAAATCCAAACAGTCAACTAAACCCAAACCTACTGGAACAGGATGTCCAGAATTTAACGAATCATTTACATTTAACCGAATTGATCCCGAAGAAATTCTTAATTATGGTGTCCGCTACCGATTGTACACATGGGAAAGAATGAAACGTGAACATTTAATCGGAGAATGTCATGTTTCATTCGGAACCCACAAGCCTTTACAGCAAGAGACCAAAATTTGGCTCAACTTGGAGCCTCGCTCCAATATTCAAGTGAGTTATCACATTATACTCATAATGTGTGTACATCATTGCGCTCAATTCATTATTGACACTGAAAGTGTTAATAATTAATACTGGCAGTATCTTTATGGTGCATGCTAATTAGGAAATCCTTTAATCCTCGTAAATCATGACAGAAGCGTTATTAAGTACATTTATTTATTCTGTTTTCACAGTGATTAATTTCCAAGTGAATCTGTTCTGATGAATATTGTTTTGCATAAAAACAAGTTCATGATCATCTAGAGTATAATGGAATAGATAATTTGTAACCATCATAATTTATGCACAACTTTCATGTTAACCTCTTGTTCATTTTTTACTTGTATTGTCTCTAGAAAGCGGATTCAAGGTCTGATGTTTCTAGTATTGCTCGAAGTGATAGCTCTGGGTCCAATAATTCAGTGGAAAATGCATGTTCTCCCGAGCTTTTGATAGGTTTGTCTTACAATGGAACTACTGGAAGATTACAAGTAAGCATTGATTGATTTTTCATCTTCAAACTCTTCTCTTAATTAATCGACTTTTTGATTTCCTAATGTAGGTTTTTGTGATTCGGGGAAGCCAATTCAAGAGTCCAGCCATGAGTCGAGCACCAGATACTTATGTTAAGCTTGCCTTGGTTTCATCTTCTGGACAAGAAATTGCCCGGTCAAAGACATCGGTTAGACGAGGGCAACCTAATCCAACATTTAAGGAAACCTTTCTTTTTCAAGTGAGTTAACCTTTTCAATTTCTTAATCAAAAATATCTTTACATCTGTATCATTGTACATTTTTTTATCATTTCACCCTAAAGGTTGCATTATTTCAACTTCCTGATGTTACTCTATTAATTTCCGTTTACAACAAGAGAAGCATGAAACGTAAAGAAATGATTGGTTGGTTTTCATTGGGACGAAATAGCACAGGCGAAGAAGAAAAGTCTCATTGGAATGATATGAAAGAGACTCGTGGAGAACAGGTTAATAATGAATTTATTGATAAAGTTATGATATTCTGTTATTCTTTCTTCTAATGATATTTTTTCTATTTCCAATCATAGATTGCTCGGTGGCATGTTCTCTTGGATTCATGAGATCTTATGAAATTAAGAAAGCGCAATTTTCCAAGAACTAACCCTCTGTTGGTCTCATTTTCTCATTGTTATGCGATTATGGGCATTCTAAATCGGGAATCAATCGATTTTAAATGGAATAGGAGCAAAGGCAGAATCAATAGAAAATTGATTTAATTTTGACGAGAAGTATCTCATAACACTTTGATTCAAACAATTTAACCAGCAACCCTGAATGATATTGTTTATGGCGTTACTGTTGTTAACCTTTCCATTTCCCTCTCCTTTTCCATTGAAAATACCTTTGCCAATATTTCAACTGTCCTTAGTTGATATTTTAAACCACCTTTGCAAAGGATCATTGAAAAAAATAACCTCTTTTACCTTGAAACTTTCATTTTCCGTTGAACGATTCCAATTCCAAGATTGGAGTTGGTGGATTCAAACAAGACTGAAATTTGTTAGTGAATCAAATTGAATTGTATGGAGATTATTCCAACCACTCATATTCACCCTTTCACCCTTTCACCCTTGCATTCACACTTTCATTCACATTTTCATTCACTCTCACACTAACACTCACTCACAATTAACTCATATTCATTCAAATTATCCTGAAATTGGCCCTTTTTCAATGATCCTCTTTTTTCGATTAACATGAAAAATTTCCTGTCCTCGATCAATTCGTTCCTTGTTTCTGCCACGATCGATTGACTAAGGAGATGTAAACAACCCTTTTGGCCTTAACTCCTTCTTTATACTCACAATTGAATACTTCTCTTACTACAATTAACTCTCACAAATTGACATTTGAAAACTAAAAGCCAAAACCAACTAACCAAAAAACTTCCTCAAGAAACGGCGTCACTAAGAGAGAGAAACCAAATTTGCTAAAAAGATGACCAACATAATAGATATTTAATTATATATTATTATGTGTAAAGACAAGATTAACATAAATATTTAATGACCAAATGGGTAAATAAGGTAAATGGTCAGATTATACAGAAAAAAGAAGAAAATTGTTTTTACTTTGGTGCATATTTAATTAACTTGCTTCAAGTACAATTGTATTGGTTTTCAAATGTCTCCTTCCTTTTCAACCAATCCCTCAATGTCTACCTTATATTATTATCATTGTTGTTTACAATTATCATTATCATGGTTACTATTATTATCAGACACATGAATTAATGTAATTTGCAAAATATTGATGATCTGGTTGAAGCAATATTTTTCACTTGAAAAGATTGTTCAATGTGAATGAAAGTGAAACCAAAAATATTGTTCAATCAAGTGATTTTATATAATTAACTGATGATTGTTTTGTCAAATTGACAAATGCTATTCTTACATGAAATCAAGTAAATTCAATGTTCATATTGGTACACTTTGATTGAATGTTTAAGGTAAATCAAATCATCATTATATAAATATATAAATCTTGTTGTAATACATGTTGAAAGAATTGAAATAGTTTTGTTTATCGAGTCAACTTTTTGTATCTAATGAAAGATTGATTGCAATCTAATTAATCGTCCTTAAACTTTGTTTACCAAAAAGTAATTGATAATGACAATGATAATAACATGTTAATATTAACTGTCATAATCTAAAAATGTGACTCTTAACTACTTCACATTCAATTTCATTTACTCATTTATTTAGGTGCAAAATTTTAATTTACATGAAAACACATCGACTGATGTTCACTTTGAATACAGGCTTACAATTGATTATTGTTTCTAATTATTTCTTATTTTCTTTGCTCTCAGGTTTAATTGTTTGGCATTTGATTTAGCAGATTTGATCAGGAAAATATCAGATAATCATGAGAAAATATTTGATTAATTGAAAATTGAATGATGAAGGCAAGATTGTGATTGCAATTTAAAGTCACATTTAGAGATGACCGATGCAGTAAAGACATTTCAAATTGACCAAGTCCAAATGAAGAGTCTAACTATGATTGTGATGAACCTATTTTAAATGTCATTTTAATTGTTGCTCCAAAAAGTGAACAATTATTATTATTTAACTTTTAAATTGCCCTTTTATTTCAAATGATTAACCCAATTGATTGGTGATTTCATTTGTTCCCATTCATATTTACAAAACATTTTCCTGTATTGAGAGTTGAAAACCCAAACACCAAAACCCAGAAGATTCAAGAAATTTTACCAAAGCAAATCTAAATTATCACCAAGTCTGATTTAGTTGATTAAAAGCTGACTGAAAGGATAATCACAATTAATATTTAAAGTTGACCTAATCAAATGATTTTATTTCAGATGTTGTTTGTTTTCAAGTCTATTTCACTGCAAATCTGTTACAATATAAACCCATACACACAAACCAATCCGTTGAAACTCTATTGACTCAAATTTTAACCTCAAATTGTTACAGTTTATCAATTACCGTTTACAGTATTTAAAAATTCAGATTTAACTCTTTTCTTTGACAGAAATCAACAATTCATTGCAACAATTACATTTGTTTCTGTCTCCGTCATTTAGCATCGATTGTTTGAACCAAAAAAACAAATTCTGTTCAATTTTATTCCAATGACATTAAAGAAAACAAAAAATTACAAAAACATTGTTTCATTTCTTATTTAACCCAAAAGATGACAATTGAACTAACTGTAGTTAGTTCAAGGCGAATTGATTTGGCTCCAAATTGGTGGATTCAAGGAACAATGAAAATGAGCCAAGATGAATCATAGGTTGACAAGAATTAGCTCATTTTTTATCCTTCATTTTCACCTAGCATGGTAAATCAAGGTTGAGAAATATCGCTATCATCATCACCATCTATCTTCATAACAAATGGCAGGATTATTTTTGTTGTATCACGATCAAGAAAACGCTAATGTTTGGTTAAATGTGAAAGACAAATTGGCTTTAAAACTTACACAATGCTTTACTCATTGAACCTAGATTCAATTAATTCTTGGCAGTGTTTCGATGAATCTTATGATTCTGTTTAATCAACATTAAACTAGATTGTAGGTTAATGTTTGGTTAACTTGGGTAGATCGAAGAAAGCAAATTTAAAATTACACAGTTGAAACTAAATATAATGCATCTTTGACACTCTTTTTTCTTGCTATCCAACTGATTTGCCTCTGGTAATGTTACAGTATTATTATTGTAGGATAATTACTGAAAATAAAATATCCAAATTGTATATTGTTTCAATTGATTGCTTTTAAAGTAATTGATTGATGGATTAACTACTCTTTTTTTTCTTGGCTTGCTTGGCAACCTGATTTGTTGTTCATAATGCAAAATTATCTCAACTAAATGGGTTTCAATACAATAATCGGAAATCAATGTTAATTTTGTCCTTGATGAGAAAACTCAGAAAACTGAGAGTTGGTAAACACAGGAGAGAGGTTTATTTACATTAGTGATTCCATTGCACAATTTAATCCGGATTAAAGATTCTATCCACCAGTTGATAGTTAATATTTCAGCTTATTTCCATGTACCAGATTGTATTGAATGAGTCAGGCTGAGCCAACAAATTGCCAATGAGCCATGAATTATTGGTTGATTATTTGACTTCCATTATGTTCAGTTGAGAACTGGCTTAATTGGTTTGGAAAATCACTCAATTTTATAATGATTGAACTCCAAGTCTAGACAAATTGCAACATTTTGATTGTCACGAAACGGAATTAGTGATTACAGATAAATAAATTGTAGATAAATAAAGAGGCCAGTCGGATGATGAGAAGGTGATAAAATCTCGGATGATTTCTTTAAAGAGTTCCAGAGTCCGTGAATTAAATTGATCAGAGTGATTAAGATTCATTCGTGATACAAAAACTTGAAGGGTCGGGGTAGTAAAATAGTCAACCAGTCATTTTCAAGGCTTGTTAAAAATGAAAACTTGAATTCACATGGTTTCAAGTTAAATCTAAAATAAATTTATCAACAAGTTCAGCTGGAGAGCCAGAAACAGTTTACAACAATTAATCATTTAAGTATTACTCGAGATAGTTGGCCACTCTTTATTTATCAATCGAAAATAAACAAGCGAAACAACTCAAATTTTAACCATTTTCCCCATCTTTGATTGCACAGAGATAGTGTTAGAAATTAATGGTCCAGATGATAAAAAAGATGAGATGAAACACTGAACTGGTTTAATTGTAAGTTAAATACAAAGTTTTAATGTGACTGTTGTGGTTAACAATGCTCGTTGATTGTAATCGTCTGTGTGATAGTGTTTGGTCGTCAAAATGTTTGCTTTTAGATGATTGGCAGCAATATTGAAACCAAGTGGAATTATTTTACTAATTCAATTTGATTTTTGCTTTTCGTTATTGATGCATTGAGTGTGGCCGGAGGATATTCCAAAATTATGGTTCAAAAGAGGGAGAGAGAAAGACAAAAAAATCAAAATTGCGAGACATCATGATGATGAACTTTTCTTGCTATTGATGTCGACGTTAAAGTATGAAAAAATATGATTGAATAGTCTGCCGACAATTATGATCTTTCGATGATTGAAGAACGATCAGGCCCCACACCAATCCATTTCACTGTAATGATAATGTAAGAAAAAAAAGATAAGAATATTGAATCATTAGAGGGGAAATTATTGACATAGAAAGCTGATGCAATCTAAAGTTACTTATTGCTATTATACCCTTGAACGAAAGATTTATTCATCATAAATGGTTTACACAATTCATGAGAATAAATATCTTGTTACATCCGGTTGCTGATGAAATATCGATTCTCGATTAATAAGAAAAATTAACTTACCAGGCACGCCACAGAGCTCCTCAATAACAAGAATATACCTTTGAGCTTCTAAAGGTAAATCAGAAAAGTTTCTACAGCTGCTAATGTTTTGTTTCCATCCTGGTAAAGTCTTGTACTTAACAGTCACCCGTTCTAAGTCATTAGCATTGGCTAGAAAAATCAAAAGAGTTAAGAGAAATTTAAGATTCCAGAGCAAAATAATTGAATATAAGATAATAAATACCTGGAGGACTTGTTAAAGTTTTCCCTTCGATTTCATATTCTACTCCAATTTTAATTTCATCGAAATCATCCAAAATGTCTAATTTTGTAACGGCTAGACTAGAAGTGAAAAAATGGATTGTAAGAATAAGTGGATTTTGTAATGAGATATAGTTGTTACAACTAATGAGATCGATTAAATATTGAGTGTTGAAGTTCAACTTACTGTGTATAACCATTAATCATATTGGAATATTTCAGAAGAACTATATCGAGCCAGCCGCATCTTCTTTTCCTTTTGGTTGTGACTCCGATCTCCTTACCACGTTCTTGAAGCAAAGTTCCAATTTCATTCTTTTGCTCCGTTGGAAAAGGTCCATCTCCAACTCGAGTACAGTAAGCCTTGACAACACCGTATATGTCATTAATTATTTTTGGAGAAACTCCAAGACCCGTACAAACACCACCAACGGTGCAATTAGATGAGGTAACATAAGGGTATGTGCCAAAGTCAATATCCAACATAGTTGCATTGGCGCCTTCAACTAGAATTGATTTACCCGTTTTAATACTTTGATGAAGAAATGTAACAGTGTCAGCAACAGAGCCGCGAATTTCTTCAGCATAACGACGATATCTCTTTAACTCTTCATCAACGTCAATATTTAAATCTGAGAATTGCTTTTGATACGTAACAGCGAGAACTTTAAATTTTTCCTCAAAATTGCTAAAGTCACCCAATAAATCAGCCATTCGAATACCAGTTCGACTGACTTTCGTTGAATAGGTTGGTCCAATTCCTTTTCTTGTAGTTCCTAGGCTTTTTTTACCCTTCTCCAGTTCTTGTAATCCATCAACTGATTGATGGAAATCGAACACCATGTGGGCCCGGTCAGAGATTATCAATTGCTTCTTTAGATCTTTCAATCCTTTGGCCTCATTACGAGTAATCTCGTCAAATAACTGAGGCAAAGATATAACAACTCCATTGCCAACCACAGCGGTACAATTCTTGTTAATTATACCACTTGGTAATAAATGAAAATCATACTCTGAGTCACCAACTACCACAGTGTGTCCAGCATTATTACCGCCCTTTAAAGTGGTTGAGATGGAAATGGGGGAAAGTGGAAATAGACTAGTCAGGTTAAAATGGCGGGTAAATGATTAAACTTGATGAACTTACCTGACACCGACACACGATATCAGCCTTGTCAGCCAGTAAGTCGACGAGTTTTCCTTTTCCTTCATCACCCCATTGGGTACCGAGCACAACATTAAAATTACTCGGCATGTTGATATCACAGAAGTAGTTTAGAAGAGAAAGTCAAGACAGAGAGTAAACTAGTCTATCACATGAAAAAAATGAACAGAAGCTTCAAGCTTGAAGTTTTCAGCTCCATCTCCTGGTAATGTACAATCAACCCTCTCAAGGATCTTACAATCTTGTTAGAAACAGGTTTAACTCCACTAGATGGCTATACTTTAAATCGACGAAATAGTTTAAATTGCACACGAAACTATCTAAATATCACAAAATTACTAGGATTTAAATTTTAAGGCTTAAAAGGAACCTCTTCGTTAAGAGTAAGGTTTTAAGGACTAAGGCGGAACTTAAAAATCTCACACTTTCGCTAACCAATGGTAAAATTAATAATGAATACACGAACAGGTGATTATTGTGAATTCATTTATGTTTTTTATCTGAGATTGATTATCAATCAGAATTTTCTCTTCTCTTTCAAAATTCATGGATTTGCTGCAATAGTAGTTCAATCATAAACCTTAGACTTAATCTTAAAAGATTAATAGATGCATCTCAATTTAAATGTTTCATGTTGCCCCTCCTTAGTTCGTAAAACCTTACTCTTACCGGAACTTCCAGTTGAGAGTTTAAGTTAACGACTTTTCAAATTTGAGGTAGGTCTTATAAACACCTGATGCTAAGCTCAAGAGAAAAGCTAACCACGTGAATAACAGAAAGAAGTTCAAAAGTAACAAAAGATGAGTTGCATTGAGAAAGAATGAAGAATCGAAGAATAAATTACACTGATATCATCACTTTAATCATTTATTTTACATTTTTCGTGTTTTTTGTCTAAAACTTTTCTGTAAAAACTGTCTATTTTCCTAAGTAGGCTTTGTTCAATTCACGTCCGATTAACCACCGCCTGATCTCACTAGTTCCAGCACCAATTTCATAAAGCTTAGCATCTCTGACCAATCTTCCAACATGATATTCATTAGCGTATCCATTGCCTCCTAAAAGCTGAACAGCATCAAGAGCAACCTTAGTTCCAGCCTCACCGGTGTAAAGTATGACACCAGCACAATCTTTGGTATAAGGCGAGGGTCCTTTGATATCGATATCTTTTCGAGCATAATAATTTGTAATCGCTCGAGCAACATTATAAACATATGCTCTAGACACACTAAGAGCAACATACATATCAGCCATTTTAGCCTGAAGAATCTGGAAAGTACCAATAGGTTTGCCAAATTGATTTCGTTGATGAGTGTAATCAAAAGCTAATTCACAGGCCATTTGCATGATACCAACAGGACCAGCAGCTAGAACCAACCTTTCCTTATCAAGACCTGAAACATTTAAAGTGATAACAAATGAATTAGTTGTGATGTTCACCCGATCGTATCCAAAGAAATGTGTAAGAAACGATAAATACCTGACATTAATACATAGACTCCATTGTTCAATCCACCGACAATGTTCTTTTCAGGAACCTTCAAATCTTGAAAAAGTAGTTCGGTTGTTGGCGATCCTCTCATTCCAAGTTTATCAATTTGTTGTCCAAGCGAGAATCCTTCCATTCCTTTCTCAATGATAAAGGCAGTGATTCCTTTATCACTTGTTCTAGCATACAGGAAAACAACATCAGCTTCAGCACCATTGGTAATCCAAAATTTGCTTCCATTAATCACATAATAGTCACCTGAAGAAACACAAAATGAAATGAATTCAATTTAGGCACTTATTATCAAAATCAACTTTTAGTTGCCTTGTGATTTATTCACATATGGGTCAAAGCTTTTGAGATCATTTCAGCATCTCTAACGAGTGTAAACACTGTAAATTTTGCTTCTTGATCTAGCTTGAGTACCTTTTTTCTCGGCTTTTGTCTTCATTGACACAACATCACTTCCAGCACCAGTCTCAGACATGGCTAAAGAGCCAATCTTGGATCCATCAATTAATCCAGGTAAGTATTTAGCTTTTTGTTCTTCATTTCCATTAACAAATATTTGATTTATACACAGGTTTGTGTGAGCTCCATAGGAAAGTCCAAGAGCAGCACTGGATCTGCTTATCTCTTCCATGATTATACAATGATCAAGATAGGTTAAATCAAGTCCACCATACTCCCTGGAAACAGTTGGCCCTAGAAGTCCCATTGAACCAAGTTTTTTAAAAAAATCCCGAAATCCAGGATAATGTCCATCTTTGTCAATCTTTCCAACCAAATCAAGTGGCAACTCTTTGTCTAAAAATTTCCTCACTGATGACCGTAACTCTGCCTGATCAGGAGTTAAACCATTAATAGCACTTGAGTGATCCGAGATAGAATCAGTAGAAAAACGTTGAGATGATATGGAGGTCAATCGTCGTCCAAGGCATTGTAATCCGGTGCTGAATCGAGATAACATGGTGACACAAATTTAAAAAATATAATTAAATATGGCAAATTGTTAAATGGCTAGACAATAAGGAAGAGTGAGTTCAAGTCATAAACTGTGATACATTCAAGGAGACTTCAATTCTCATATCTACTTTCTGTGATGAACCAATTTTCAGATAACTTATTATCACTGATGAGTTTCGGAAAAAAAAGAAAAGATAAGCATCTTATCGCAGAGCTAATTGATTGATAAAAGCTTTTTCTCAATAGGACTTTTGCACCTGAAAACAGTCAAAACACAATGACCGAGTTGACAATAGCCAAAGGGATAATCTATCTGAATCCAAACTAGTCCAATCCATCCTAACTAATCTAGCTGTAACTTTTACTAAACACCAAGAAACTGAATTAGAACTAAAATTTTTTCAGTTTCCTTTTCTAAATTCAAATTCTCGTTAATCTAGATTGTCGTTAAAAGTTGGAAGTTTTAATATTACCAACAAGTTTGAAGTATAAAAACAAGAATCGTTCACAGAAAGCTTTGATGAGATAGAGCATGGTAAATTACCCTGAACATCTTGAATGCTAGATTGTTTCACAGTTTAGATTGTACCTAGATTGGCTTATTAGGAAATAATATTAGCAAATTGTATTAAGTAATAATTTACAGTTGTTAAGGGCTGTAATAATGATACTCTCTTGGAATAGCTTATTCGCACTATTCACCGGGCAGCGTATTTCATCATTTTCAATTTACCTTAATAGACCAAATTAAACCTAAATTGATTTAAATTTAATTGGGTTAATTAAGAATCAAAGAAATCGAAATGAAACCCGATAAAACTCTGATTTCAATTGAAAAATTCGTTGAATGATCAACTCAATTATTGCTGAAATGCGATGTTTTGCGATTTTCTAGTTCAGCGATGTTATTTAATGTAATTATATTGCAATTTTCATCTTAATAATCAATTTTAAAAATTTAATCGGGAAATCAAATTTCGGAATCACATTTGGAATGGATCGATATTTTCTTGCACGCATATGCAGCGAAGCTAAAAGAAGTTGTTTTCAGTTTAAGTTTACGTTTGTTACAGTTAACCATTTTTATAATTGATTCCCTCTCCATTTTAATTTTATTTTTATTATTGATCAACTAATTAATAATTATCTATGAACAGATAATTTAAGACTATCAATAAATTGCTGCTAATTGGCAAGATTATGGATTGGAGCCAGAATCTTTGGAGCAAAGGCTTACTCCTTTTGCTGTTCGTTGCCTCGGGTAAGTGATAAATTTATCTTTACATTATATAATTAATCTATCACTAATTGTGATTTTAATTCTGCAAATAGGCTATGATTGCGCTGGAAATAAAACAAAATCAAGTAAATCTGGTAAAAAAATAAAAGAGGTGAGAGAAGATTCTACTATGTTTAACCTAGAGCTACATATGATCAACCGAATGTATTGTTTATTTCAAAGTCAACAACAACAGCAAGTTACCAGGATGAAAATTCAAATAAGCAATCTAATTTAATGGAAACCGCTCCAAGTTTCACTTTTTTTGGTCGAGATGAACATGGGAAAATTTGTATTTTAGCTAAATTTGAAGCCATTTTCACCATAACTTATGAAGCTACCTCAGGCTCTCAGGTAAGTCAGTTATAATCCCAAAACATGTTCGTCCCTATAATAACCAATCTCTTTTGTTACCCAAAAATATAGCAATTAATCGCTAAAATACCCCGGGATACTGAAACAAGAGCACACTGCGTCAGCCTACTTGACACCAACCCATATCTGGATATTTCATGGCGAGGTGGATTCACATTCCGAATGGTTTTTAGCAAAGTACGTAACCTGTATGAAAGGGCTAACAATTGACCGTCATTGACCAAGTTGAACAATTGATTTACAAATTTCAAATCTTGATTAACCACTCCGCCATGATATAATTTTTATTTTATTGTACTAACCAATGAATTACCTTTTGTTTTATTCGTAACAGCATGAATCAACCAATTCTTGGGGAGTCAAAGGAATGAACCTTGTTTATAATACGAAGGATTCAGCTTTTACGGAATCAGTTGACGGTGAGTTTCACAGATCAAGTTTTAAACAGTAAATAATAAATTACTCTAAAAATATATTTAAATCTGACACCTTTTTGCTTTGTTTTTGATAACTATAGGTAGAGAACTAATTGTTAGAAGTGATCAGGATTCCCTCAACCAATTTGAAACTCTGCTTGGTAAATCATATTATTGTCCAAGTCCATCAATTATAAACATGTACAATCCTGCAGGAGAAAGAATTGTAATTCTCAGATTATCCAATGTTCAACTTCAAGCTTACGAAATCAAGACTGGAAAATTTTCTCCAAGTAAGTTTTCATGTTGAAAATGTTTTTTAGTCAAACGCGTAACAGGCTATATTTACCAGCCATTGATTAAATTATCAAATTTGTCTGATTTAAACTTGATTTTCATCCATTTCCATATATTTCAGTGTCTCGATGTGGTTTGGTTGGTTTCGGATCAGGTGTTATTGCTCCTTTCTATCTGGTTAGTTATCATGAAGATGATAGTGCTTCGATGATTGTTGCTGTTATTACAATATTAGTTTCGGTTCTTACTGTTGCTGGTTATGCTGTTTATCGAGCCTGGTTCATCAAAAAAGTAGATTATGATACAATGATATAACTAAAATCCAGCTAACTAATCAACTTTAACGTGAAATGAGAGTTATTTGGTTATCAATATTTCTCTCTACAATTCTTCCAATTATCTCAATCTTACAGAAAACTGAATCAAGAAATTAATCAACTCAACTCAAGTCTTTCAAGATACTTTTCAAGTCATCACACATTTCGTCCAAAGACTTTAATTGCTTTTCAAGGTTTACCCTTTCATTAACTATTAATCATACTCATGTCTTTCAATTATCGTCATATTATCATGGACAAGTCTTTCACTTTCAATTTTTTCGTCTTCTGTAAACAATTAACATTGTTAATTGTAAAGAGCAACATATCAAAGATCTCAGACAAGTTAAGAAGCTTCAGGATTTCCTTAACACAAATTTTAGCTGACTTAATATCAATTGTCTTCCAATTTCTACATTAACAAATCATAATAATTATCCGGAAATTATTGTGCTAATCTAATCGATCTATTAATTACTTTTCGTTTTAAACAAACCTTTTTTCTTTCGAGTGTGTTATGTCATTTGAGAGTACAAATTTACATCGAAAACAGCTAAAGATGTATAAAATTCAATAAAATCAAATTTTCTTCAATTCTGGTCTCAAATAAATAGCAAAATTACAGTTTGTAATTGTTTACTCACCGAGAAAGATCAAAGATTTTAGTTTACATTGAAATACATTAATCATGTACAGTTAATCATTGCATTTATATGGAAACTGTGAAGATACTTAACTAAATAGCTACTTCATGGAACCTTGGTGTTGGTTAATCATTAAATATTGATCCGGAACCAAATTTTCAACAAAAAGATGGAAAACAAACAAATAATCTTAAAAAGGCTTATCATTACCTTAACCTGTCTCTGTGAAGACTTGGAGACCATGCAAATCATTAACCAACCGATCAAAACACAAATAATTATTCAGCATTTCATAGTTCAGCAAAAACAGAATCTTAAACAACCATGTTCAATTTAACTAGAGATTGGCCCAGAATTGTGGATCGGTCAACCATTTATTACAAGTTAACAAAATAATCAGGTTGATCAAATAGCAACATGAATGAATCTTAGCATCAAACAGCATTTTAAATATTAACTCCAAGAGGTTTTTATTTTGAAAAGCTAACAATTGACAATTGAAATAGTAACCAGAAAACCTTAATTCATTCTTCCATTCCAATGATAACTAACAAGATTGCAATTAAATATACAATTAAATGGTAGGAGTACAACTTCAATGTACAAAATTGATCACCATTAAAATTACCAACAGTTGACAAAATGTTATCTCAAATGAAAGAACCATTTGTACTTAATTTAGTGATCAATGTAAACTAAACTTTATTTTGAGATGTTACCAATAATTATGTGTTTGTTATACCTACACATAGACCCATCAATTGAGTATCAAAACTGTTGTAATTCAAACAGACAGTTAACTGTCCAATCAATAATCAAAAATCCCTTACCTTTAATAGTCAACTCACAAATACTTGAAGATCAGCTGAAACCAAAACCAAAACCAGAGGAATCTGGAAACACTGAATCTCAATCTGCCCAACAACCACCACCACAACAGCCAACAATAATCACCGAGCAAAAAGTAAACACCAACAAAGCCAGTTCCTATGACATGATGCCAATGGTTGAGTTTAACGATTGGATAGATTACCCATCACCAGCCGTTTACCCACCATTATCGACTCGTCCAAGATATGATTATGGCTACAATGGTTTCCATAGGCCTTACCATCCTCCACCTCATCACCAGCCATTTTTAGCTTCAGCCTCATATTCACCACCTCCACCTCCACCTCCGCCACCTCATCCAGGCCATCATTTTCCACCATTTGATTTCCCAGATTTGACATCATCATCTTCCTCTTCCACTAAATCACACATCGAGGAAATAGCTCTGTTCATTGTTGTCTTAACAATCGCTGGCTTATTTGGTCTTTTAATTGCTATGTTTATACCCTTTATATTACTACTTCAAGGTAATCGAGGATCCGTATTGACTACAAATTCAATTGTACCAGCCACAACAACTGGTGGAAACATGCAAGGTCTAGTCGGTAAACGGAGGAGACGACATCTAATGCAAAGTTTAAAGATTTTGAAAACTATCCATGAAACATCTCAGCTATACAGTAATTAGTGTATCACCAGTAAATTGTGAGTTTAACACTAAAACGGCTTCATCAACATTATCACTAGTTATTGAACAGTCAACCAAGTTACAAGATGTTTGAATACTCAAGCCTTTCAATTATCGTGCCATAAGCAAACACAATAACAATACCGAGTGTTAATTTCAATTTTGTATCAACCTAAATTTTACCCAAATTGCTAATGTCATCTTCTCAAATCCAACTGTTAACCACCTTAACGTTGAGTCTCTAAATCATCAGTGATGTGACCATTGAGATTTATGTTTAATCATAACGGACAAGTTTGTGAAGTGTTTATCAGTCAAATAGGATTGCCTATTGAATACAATGAAACCTACTTTTGTTTCTCGATTAAACTGCTGTTAACTTTCAAGATTACCATGTCACAAATTGATGACAATTATCATTATATCGAGAGTCATTCTGATTAACTTCAGCTCTCAAGGTTGATAAAGAAAAAGGTGAAATAAAATAAACATAAATATACTTTTCTAGGTTGAAGCTGATCTTTCATCAAACAGTTGGCTTGTTTCTGGTTACCTCACATTAATTGTATGTAAATATGTGTTCAGGAAAATGTGGTTATGACTATTGATGATTGTTTAACTTATTATTAACAAGTTGAGTTACACCTCAGAGTCAAAGCTTAACGTTGACAGAAACCAACAATTATTCAAATCAGTGAACAACTTTATTATTCCCAATGAATTTAGGATAGTTTATTGGTGGTAAAAAGCAATTTCAATTGAATGTATGTAATAACCATTATCAAGTGAGTTGCGATATAATACAATAAGGATCAGCAACAATTAAGTGAATAATGCTTTTTGATTTATGGTTTTAAAAACCTGAACAGTGTAAGGTTTGAACACTTGAATCGTTAATCAGCTGTAAGTAAATACCAATAAGTGTAACAATTGATTACAATGATAATCAGAAATTGAGTAGTCATTATTGTATTGCGGATCGATGAATCACATTTACTGGTTTTACATTGTTAACATTTGCTGCCTTTAATTTACTTAATTACAAGATAATAAACGAATCTCATGAATGAAGTCTTGTTCAGAAACCTAAAAAAATTGATAGACAAGACTGCAACTCACTATCAGGTATTATAATCATATATTTATCAATTCATTTTCAGTTGATTCAATAAAACTTCAGGAAGCCGATCTCTTCCTTTTAATCATCGCCTGTATCCTTTTTAAATAAACAGCCAACCATAAATTAAAACTTAATTTCATGAGACTGTAAATAAACTGAACAAAAATACAATCTAAAAAACAACTAAATTTGAAATTTGAAGGTAAACATTATGATATCATCTTTTGATCATAATAAACAAAAGGGACAAATGAATGAGATAATGTATTTTACAAGCATCTGACAATTTACTGCTGATCATATGAACAATCATGACCTTCCCTGATTGATTTGGATACCAAATTGGGTTCTAAATTAAACCATGGAAATGTAAGAATCTAATCGGTATTGTGATTTTGCTATCTTTGGCTTGTCTTTTCATGCACATTGGGCTGTGGCATGTATTAGATCATCATTATCATTAACATCAACAGTCTATTTGATGTCAACCCAAAATCGGATTCAATGGATAACAAAACAGGAAATCGGAAATGTTTCCCATTTAAAATCAGGATGAGATGAAATGATTATCTGAAAGCAAACAAAATAATGATCAAGAAAAAAAAAGTTAAATATAAGGTCGATACACTTGCAATTTACTGCTAGGGTTAACAATTTAGATGAGAAAAGATCAATTTTTGTTTACTTTCAAGGTTTGTTGACAAATATTGATTGAGACAAAATAAGCGTTCATAATTAACTTGATTTGTTCACCAATAGATTCTGTAGGTTTTTTTTTCAGTAATCACACAAACTTATTCAGGATCATCATCAATTTGTCTCACTAGCTAATGTTGCTATCAACTGAGCGTCAGAAAACATCCTTTGAAAGTTGATTAGTTGTCAATCATAAGGTTAACTTTGGTTGAGAAGTTAATCTGTAATATTACAGGTAACTTGACTTTACTTTTCAGAAAAGCTGATGAAAAATTTGTCAAATTAAGTTAATTGTGATAAATGATACTTGAATGACAAATTTGTTTGCTTGTCAAAAAACAAAAACAAGAACGAGTTAACAGATTTGGAATAACTTTCACATTTGAGAAATCATTTCACAGTTGATTCTGTTGACTGGTTAACAGAATCATTAGAATATGTCATTCTTTTGGGTTGAAAGGAAAAAAGAAACGGAAACAATTTGAAAGAAATGCGATCAACAATTAAACTGTTTCTGTAAAAACACGTCGCAACAAAATTACTTCAATCCCTTGACGAGTTGCATGCTAAAAGAATCAAAAGCGGGAACAAAAGAGATTACAAAATAATTTCTAAATGAACTTTAGGCATACAATTAGAAATTGAATAAATTGAATTGTTGATCTCGTGAGGAAAAGCTCAAGAGTAACTGGATAATGAAATACTAAAACAGATGGATCAAACAATATGAATGACAATTAGTCATAACTGAAAACTTTTCTTTCACTTTAATTAGCAATGCTTTGAGTATTTTTCTCTCATTTTTTGAGTAGCTACTTATTTCAATCCCATCAGGGTTTCATGAATACGATTGTAATGGTGTCTGGTGAAAATTGATTTCAGAGATTGACTGCAACACACGATGTTAAATAATGAGAAAGGAGAGCAGTTTAGAGAGTTTTAACGACCATTTTTAATGTAATCACACACACATGGTTGTTGCTGAATGGTCTTGCGATTTTGATGGCATAATAAAAAGGAATAGAAATAATAGTGATAAGTGGAAGTAGAAGTAGTAGTGATATTAGCAGGATAAAAAAATGGCCATAAGCTTCAAGAAATTTCCCATAATTTGTTTTTTAGCTCTTCTTTTATTCCTTGGCTGCTTGTTTCTCCTCTTCGATGACATCTTTTGTTGGTAGAACAACTTTCTCCTGAGTTTCGGTTGGCTTTAATTGAGCTTTAGCATCAAAATTGGCGATTCCTTGGAGCAATTCTTGTTGAGCTTTCTCCGTTTCAATTGCCTCCTTTGAGGGAAGAGAATTTTTCTCCTTGGTTTCAGCATGTTTCAAATGGTGTTCCGAGGTAATCTCGCTTTTAAGCTCATCAGCGATAGTTTTAAGATCATCCTTGGTTGGAGAAGACATCTTGATCTTAACAAGTAATTCAAACAAGTAAAAGTAAAATATAAATCAGATTGCTGTTGATACCAAGAAAGTTTGTTGGAAAACACCGAGAAAAGAGAAACGAGAAAAGAGAAAAGAGAAAAGAAAAGAAAGCAAAGAAAAATAAAAATATTCTTACCTGATTTTGTTGTCTGTCACAAGTTTCACAAAACTAAATGAGAAAAGTTAAAGTTGTTGGAATAATAAGAAATGGCGAATAAAAGTAAAACTTATTAAAGTGATCACAAAGACAAATTGAAGCCAAACTTACTGGACTGCTGTAAAAACTAATTGTGAAAGTTGATATTTAAATAAAAAAAGCCAACACCAATGAAGATTGCCACACCTCTTTGCCCCTCACAATAAAAATACCATACATTACACCCCCTTTATTGATAGACAGAGAAAAAGACAGAAAACTGGATTTTATTAAAAATATTCTGAAAAGTGAACAAAGAGAGAAGACAGAGAAAAAGAGAGATAAAAAAGGTGGCAGATGGAAGAAAGAAAGACTTACTTATTAGAGACAGATGGAATGAAAGAGATGATCAGGATGATGATGATGATGTAAAAGGTAGACAGAGAATAATTGTAAGAAGAGAAAGAAATTTTTCCCGGTAAACTCTCCATCTACATTTTTTTAACGCAACCTTTGGACGCGTTTCAATCTAACCGTTTAATTTCCTGCTTAGACTGTAACAAAATGTGACTTTATCATCATTAACTAGCTATCATCATCCCAATCATCATCATAATCATCATCATTTTAATCATCAACCGTCAACGGCATCGTTTTCATCTAATTTACCATCATCTTGATCAATGTATTTCTTTTTAAGGTTTAATTACTTACATTTCCTTTGAGTTGCACCAGAATTATCTAACCATAGCATCGAAACACAACCAATTTAAATTTTGGAGTTTAATTAACTCTAAACAATCATTATCTAATTATGGAACTCTTTATTAAGCATAATTAACAAAGGAATTAGTTTACATTAATTTTTGTTTACCTTAAATGTATTTACATTTTAACCTTTTTTGGTGCCATCTTTTGATCATTCATTGTTTTATACATTTCAGCAGAAGATGCACATAAGTTTCTTATTGACTCTTGTCTTGTCAATCCTTTTCCATTCCTAAGCTGAATTTATTTATTTCCAATTAATGTTTATCAAACATTTTTAATCAAAGCTGTTCAACCAGACATTGATAACGGTTAATTCACTTTAAACTTATCATTAAATCCTTGTGCTGTCAAAAAACATTCACAAAGAGGAGTTTCACAAATCGCAAGTCTCTCTCAATGAAATTATTGAAATATTGTTTAATTGAAGCTATTTATAGACAGCGTCTTGATCATCATTTAATTTGATTAAGAAATGAGTTGCTCATTTTTATCGTCGTTTTTAAAGTGAACAGATTTTGCCGATTCAATCATTGACTGATGTTTATGATACAAAATGAAAGATTTATGACATTACAATTATGCTAATTGAAGACAATCAATCCTGTTAATTCCTTAAATAGATACAAAGGAGTCAAAGTGTCTAACAGATTATCAAATGGCTGATAATAAATGGTGCAAGTTGAAGGGAACACAATAAAAACAAATTAACCATATTTAATAATCATATCAGGGCAACGATTACCTTGAAAGGTAATAATAGTTAAACCAAAAGCTTTGATTGTCCTCCTTTTAAGGATATTTAACCATTCAATCAACTAATCAATTCATATTGATTTAGCTTTAACCTTTCTTTGTCTAACCTCAAATTAGAAACAAATCATCATCAAGCAAATCTCAATTGTTGCGGCTAATTTCGGCATATAACACGTAATGTTTTGTAAACTCTTTCCGATTAATCAGCAAAATATTTCTCACCAGATAATAATGATTAAGGAATCAATTCATTAACTTTGCTAATTTTAACTCCAATCTTTTGATCAAATCGCGAAACAGGATACAGCAGTCATTTGGTTAACGCAAATTATGCTAAATTAACAGCGAAAAAGACTTGATTTCTTGATTTAGAAATTTCAACGCGTAAACAAAATTCCAATTCGATGATGAGTTCATTTGATTGAGAATCCAGACGCAATTGAAAGAAAAAATGAGAAAAAATTATAAGTAAATGGAAACAAAAAGTGATTAAGATTGTAATAAGATGTATTTTTACAACGATTAGAGATGCAAATATAATTTTTTGTTGTTGCCATCTTAACTAAAGCAATCTTGGTATTTTTTGGTTCATTTAAAGCGCTAATTTTGTCTGGTTTCGTTAAATTATTACAATATAACATCATTTGCATCTCCTTGGTCCAAAGGATGTTTTGGTTGTCTTTTTTAAATGATTTATCATAAAAGTTGAATAGGATTTGTATGTTCAATTTATGATAATATCATCATCATCATCGAGAGAGAGAAAAAAAGGAAAAGGGAAAAGAGTTATTACATAGCATTTACTTTCAAGATCATTCAAATATTAAACTTTTTGGGTGAAAAAATGATTTTTTTCTCGGCATTTTTTGGGTTGCTTTGCGTCTAAAATTATAGTTTACAGAGAGTATAAGAAGAGGATTGACATTTGTAATAATATAATAATCTTGAGAGTGAGAAAGGACGAGAAGATGAGATTAGAAGATGAGAAAATGTTTTGTTTTTTGTTAACTAAATAGTCTAATAACATTTGCTTGTTAATTAATTTGACCCTAAAATTAATATAAAGTGTGTCTCATACATTAATAGATTCATTTATTTATAATTTAGAGAATATAATATTTCTTTATCTGAATAACTGGAAAAATAATTATTATAATAACTCTTTTTTTGCTCTGATTTGTTGTTTTTCATCACTTTCATAAAGATAAACAAAAAATAACTTGTAAAGAGATGAAGATAATCTTCATATATGCAATGGGAAAAGAGAGAAAGAGATGATGATGGCGATGGTGATAGTGATGAGTAGGATGAGACACACTTTAAATTTATCATTCTCTAATACAAAAGAAAGATAGATTTGTTTGATATTACCGATTCTTCAGATGAAACTATTTCTGAATCAAATATTTTTGACCCACCTGTACATATACTTTTAAATATAAGCATATTATCAATGTATATGTACAAGTGAGTTTACATCTAGAGAGCAAACTGTCTCTCCCACTGTCATTGAAAATGTATATTATAATTAGATAACTATATTTTTTTGTTTCTCCTTTCCTCTCTTGACAGTCTTTAGTCCATTCGCTTGTTTGGATCAGTTTTTGCTTGATCTTTGTCCACAATTTTCAATTTTAATCGTCATCTTCGTTAGCGCTTTCCTTGGCATTATTATTATCTTAATTAGCATCTCCATAGTGGTTCATTTGGTGAATTAATTTGAGAGTTTCCAATTGGAAGTTTAGACTTTTAGATTGACATCGGTTTTACTCGTTCACACGGAGAAGAAAGAAACCAAATTGTTTTAAATGAGATGGCCATGGTTAAGGGTCCGTTTTGAGTAAGAATAAATCATTTTTTGCTTGAAATTATTTCGTTAGAGTGGATTTGTTTCTTCATGAATTGTGGGTTGTTGTATATATCTGGGTGAGATGCTGAGTTTACCTCCAGTCCAGTTTATATAAGATAAACCGTCAAATATATTTAAATATAATCATATATAAACTTTAAGATTTAAAAGGAGGAGAAGAAGAGAAAAGATAGAATGAAAGGAAAAATAGAGACAGATTTTCATGCGCAGGCATTAGACATTAATAGCTTTTCTTGTCTGGAATTTGTTATTCACGCATTTATTTGCGTTCTACTAGATAATTCCTGTTGATTTTGTGTCATTTTGCAGGCGATACGATATGATGAGTGAATGTGTATGTTGGTGGTGTTTAATATTTTTGATGATGTATACGAATATGAAAAAAAATTAAATGGGAAAAGGAAAAAGGTGAGAGGATGCCAATCAAAAAAAAAATGAATGGAGTAATGAAAAAAAAACAACTTTCTTTTCTGACAATAATAGTAATAATTACAAAAAACTATTATTAATATTATCATATTAATAATTTTGATTCTCAAATTTTAAATCTGGACTGAATCTTTTAACTTTCGCTTTTTCACCAACCATGTACAGCAGCACTCACCTTATCAATACATTCCAGATCAGAGCGTAACTGTTGCTGTAACTGTTTCAATTGGTTAATAGACAAGTTTTCTAATTCTGATGCTCGATTAAGGGTATGTAAAAAGGGACCACCGGTCATTTGTTCAACTTCCTTTCTCAGGGTATTGATCGTCATGAAAGCCTGCATGTGAAAGATATGAAAATTCAACAATTAGTTTAAAAAGACAAAACCTTCAAATTCATTATCAATCATTTGATTGACAGTGAATTGATTCTGTGTTAACAATGGAAATGTGATTAGCTTAAGATAGAGTAAGAGTGGGAAGGAAAAATGGAGGGAAAATTTCATTCAATAAGAGAGAGCAAAATAAAAGGATTTTGAGCAATTTTCATTGTTAACACAAATGATTAAGAATGTAATGAAAATGTGTTACGATCATCACCTCGTCTCTTTGTTGTTCCAAAAGCTTTTCTCTTCTTTTAGCTTCCTCAGCTTCTCTTTTCCATACTTCAACCGCCTGTGAATGAAAAAAAATGTAAAAAATTGAATAATCATTAAGTTAAATCGTAAAAATATAACATTTAAAAAAACTGATGACTGAAATTATTTAGACATGACGAAAATGGAAGAGCAAAGGGAAATGAAAAAGAATTGAACGGAAATACATAAATGAGGTAACTTATCAAGTTTCAAATTAATAGATTAATAGTTAAAAATTAAAACGATTAAAGTGAGTGAATACTTACATTACTAGCTTTAAGCAGATTTTCTTCCCAGTTACTCCATTTAGCTTTAATCAGAGCTAATTCCTCTCTTAATCTCTGATTTTCTAACATTGATGCTGCCGCTTGAACGACACTACTGGCACTACCAGTTGATGTGGGATTGACTGAAGATGGTGACATATTGGCTCCACTGGTAAAATCATATAAGCTAGAAGCAGCTGATGAAGAGACTCCATGAGCATTAAGAGATGTTGTCCTAGTGTAAGGGGATACTCCGAATGCACCCACTGAATGAGCTCCTAAAGATGCTAAAGGTGACGCATTCATAGGTGGCGAAGATAAATTTGCTATTGCGGATCGGTGACCTCCTAATCGGGCTCCTAAAAGTAGAATGAGAATAGATTGAATAATTATTAGTAAAATTGTTGTTATTTGATTTGATAGTTAACTTACCAGGAATATTTACAGGGGCAGTCGAGCCTATCAGACTTGGCTGGCCGGGACTTCGACCAAGAACACAGTTCGTATTAGAAACAGGGTCAACTGAGTCAACTAAACTATTATTAACTCGATTTTGAGAGCTTGGTCCTAACTCTTTCTCTAAGGATGCCTCTAAATGAATATCATCAAGACTAAGATCTTCAACAACATGACCTAAGCATGATTCAACCGTATCAGCTGTTGAAGGAAAACCAGAGCCCCCAAAGAAACCCCCATTGTCTCTGTTGCCCGTTAAACTACTAAATAAACTAGAATTGTTAGCTCCAGAGGCGAATAAGGATGATGAGGGAGTTGAAAGTTTTCTATTTGATTGACCAAATGAATTTTGTTTCTCTTCAACATTCTTGAAATACGATGAAAGCAAAGTTTCTCCGATATGATTATTGGCAGCCGCAGCCATACTTGATGTATGTGCATTTGAAGATGAATATGATCGAGGTCGTGCTATTGGTCCAGGACCAGAAGTTGGATTCACTGATGAATTTGAACCAGAGTTAGTTATGGAGTTGGTTCCTTGACCATGATTAGCTTGGGATCCGGTAGTAGGTGCTGTTCCCAAATTACTCATTGGTGAAGCTGTTTCTCGATTAAACAATTGTGACTGAAGGTTACCAAAATGGTTTGAATCGAAACTTGTACCAAAATGATCAGGTAAAGAAGAAGCAATACTGCTACTTCCAGTACTAGATAATTTAGATTGATTGTTATTGTTATTGTTATGAATAGGCCTAGCTATTGTAATATTATTAGTTTGTATGCTATTAGAATTTGATGAAGCACAATAAGAGTTAGAAGTGGTAACAGAGGTTGTTGTACAACTTGTCGCATTGTTTCCCGTTGATGGCGTCGTCGAATTATTATTATTGTTATTTTCACATTCTCCATTATTGGTACCAGAAGAGTTCGATGTTGTCGTGGTTGTTGTTGGTGGCAATTTACTTGACAATAATGTAGCTAAATCTGTACTTATGTCCATATTCAAATCTCTGGCGGCAGACATTTCATCTTTAAAAAATAGAAAAGAGTATAAAATTAATTCAATTCGGAAATAAATTAAAAAAAAGATTGAAACATACTTTCTATGTGAGCAAAGGCACAGAAAGGCCCTCGCGGACAATAGTTTGTTTGTTGCATATCATTACACTTAGTTGATTTGTATATTTCTGGGTGAAATTGCTGTTCTGTTCTGGTATGACAATAAGCACATGCATCACCAGCTTCGCAATTTGTTGGATCGCCCCATTCATCACCTTGTTTTACACTGGGACATGGCGTTGAACGGTATTTATATTTCTTTGGAGATCTTCGTCTATCTTTGTTGTTATGGTACTGTGGGCAAGCATACCTGATAAAGATAAAATAAAACATATGATTAAAAGAATTAGTGAAATCAGACAATTTAATTCAATAATCTGAATTAATTGATTTACCCTTGGCGACAAAGTCTGGGAGGTCGTTTACAAACTTCGGTTTTATAATTAGCAAGCACATAAGTAGTATCAAGCCAACGCGGATCATCTGTGAGAGCATTTCTTTCTTTATCTAATGAATTAGGTCCAATTAAAGCACTAAGAGCAGAAGTTGCATCGCCAGGTGTTCCAGAGTTTTCTCCGGTGAGACCAGTGGTATTACCCAATTCGGCTGATCTTAATTCACTAATATCATATACAGGATTTCTGAGGTCATGCATGCCATGAGCAAAAGCACAATGAGCACCATTTTTAACACAAAAACCACGGCTATCGGTATCATAAACACAAATACCAGTTTTGTAATACCTTAAATGATAACGCCTTTCAGTGTCACCAGCAGTTCGATGGAGATGCGGGCATCTGCAATTTCATGAAAGTTGACAAAATATATAAATATGAGATGAATTATTGTAAATAACTGAATAAAAAAATGAAAGAGTAGAAAGTTAGAGGAAAATACACTAATAATCATCATATGATATTTTAACAAGTGAGAAACAGATTGTTTTAATAAAAGGTTTACTAGTTTATGAGTAACAAGTAGGCGTGGAGAGCTAGTTGGTGGTTAATAATTGAAAATGTGATTAAATTTTGTTCTTTCCAGCTAAATGAATGGCATAACTCATATGATACTGACAATTTGAAAGTCTTTCGAGAATCTTGTGAGAATCTCTTACAACACTTAATATGAAAGAAATGAGCTATCACCATTTCAAGGGTAACAACAATTACGAGCATACTTATTCTTTCTTTTTAATCTTTTAGCATTATGATTATAATCAAGAACTTTTGCTTTGGAAAAATATTATCAGTGACAAAATTGGGGCTTAATGATGATAAAACATCAGATTCAGATAACGCAATTCATTGACAAGATTTACTACATAAACTGTCAAAATTAGATCCCTCCATTTTTCAAAGGCAATATAACTGTTATAAATATGGCATTTCCAAAGCAAATTTTGTTGTTCAACAAAAATTTAAATAAAATAAATCAAACATGTATCACATACTCATCGCCATCCGGACAAATGCCAGTTGTCTCATCATATTTGGTACAATAGATATCAGGTGAATAATTAAAGCTCCCATCTCTTTTTCTAATGGGTCGACGTCTTCGTTGATTCATGAAATGCCAGTGGAAACAAGTAAAGGGTTTATGGTTGGTACACTTATGTTGAAGAAACTGTGGACATTGGTCGCATCTAAACTCTTTTAAATACCTATTGAGATAAGAGAAAAAAAATAAAATTTTGCTTGTTAAATTGGTGCAATTTAACTGTAAACTAGTTATTGATCAATCCAAAATAATAACATCAAAACAAAGGGAAGAAGGAACATAAAGAAGAAAGACAGAAAGAGACAGAGACAGAGACAGAGGCAAAGGAAGAAAGTAAATGAAAGAGAAAAAGAAAGACTTACGAATAGTGTACAGGTTTTTCAGGAGCTCTCTGATCTTCAGGTCTTTTTTCGCTCTGAGAATCGGAATTTTTTGTATTTTTATTGTTTACGCACGAAACTCGAAGTGGTGGGTTAGCACAGTCTTCCATCATGGAAGATATTATGAAAATAATATGAAGAAAAACAATTTGATGAAAAACAGTTTGAAAATGTTTAGATCCTGGGTAGTTGTTCAGACTGGATGACAACAGGTATTTTAACCATCACAAATGAATATGTTTCCATAATATTCCCATAATAAAAGGGAACTAAAAACTATGATGAAAGCGATGTTTAATTAACTAAATAAAATCAAAACACTTTTAAATCAAATTTAGTTGAAAATAATAAAGAAAGGTATTATCAAAATTAGGCTGCAAAGAAAAATATCTTTTGTTGAAAATAATAAACAAAAACCTACAAAACCCGCGCATGTCAATTGGGAGCTTGTTATTTCATATCATTTCCAATAACAGTATTTAGCTTAATAACCCCTAGATGACACTAAAGTACTCATGATGTAATGTTTGTAGCAATTTTCTTAATTTTGGTTTACCAAAATGTAATCTAATAAATCAAATTAACTAATTTCCCTTTTATTTGTGCCACAAGTGACATTTAAATGTTATTTTCAAAAAGTTTAATCTTCCATTTATTGTGCCAGTAAAAAAATTGAGGTAAATTAAAATGTTAAATTTCCTTAAATTTTAACCAAAACAGCCAATAAATGGAAGTGAAAAATTGCCTATCAATTACCCGATAGAAGCTGCAAGCTTGTGAATTTTTTCAATTAACTTACCTACACAAATAATTAACATTTTGTATCTCATGAAGTATGTAAATCATCGACACTGAACTAAGAATCGAATAGGACCAGGAATCTAACCAGGACCACCAAGAGAAGATTAAAATACAAAATAATGAAATCATTTATATCAACCAAAAGAAAGTAGACAATCCATTCGGCCCACTGGATCTATTCAATAATCTCGACTTTTAATTCTTTGCTTTTAACCTTTTTAATCTAACAGATAACTGTATTCATCTAACCTAAGCTCTGGTAAATCCTCAACACTATCTTTACTTCAGAAATGTGAATTCAAATTCCCCGATCATTCGTAAATGCATGTATCTGTTTGTAATTGAATTTTTCCATTGGGATATCAGAACTCTCAAGTCTGTAATTAGGTGTTGAAGCAAAACACTGATTAGTGCATTAATTTTGTAATAATGTTAAACCGATCTTGATCATGTTGAATTTACAATCACTTTGATTCTTATTTATGCTAAAATTTGATAATTATTTTGATTGAACATTTGAACTTTAGCTGAGTTATCTTTTAAAACGTGTATGTTATCTAACATGTGTTCACAGTGTTAAAAATAGTGATGATAAACGTAAAATTGACGTTGATTTGATTGCTTGTCACACAGAATTGAAAAACTCAATATTGCCAGTAATTTGAGATTATTTTTCCATTTATTTGCCAATCGAAAGTATTTAAATTATAAATGGCAAATATTAACAGAGAAAAACATTAATGTACATATCAAATGAGCTCAAATGTATATTAATTGTAACAGTATCATTAATTTTAGTTTTTTTCTGGAAACCAAAAAAACAAGGCAAGCTAAATTGAACAATTCACATTTACCTAGCAATTAAATGACAAATGGTAGATGTATAACAACCAAAGAATCAAATGAATAATGAAAAAAAGAGTAAATCTTTCCAAAATTAATCGTTTAATTGATCTTTTTGTTTCACAATTAACATTCATCAAATGAAGTTATCATTAGGGATGGAAGCAATGACTACAAAACTAATCACCCTAATGATAACTTTCAATGTTTTTTTGTCAATTTGAACAATTATATTTCCTAGTGAATGTGTTGCGATGATTAAATGGCAGTGAAAAAAACATGAAACCCAAACAAAAGTATCAAAGGAGAGACAGAAAGAGACATCAAATAGCTTAATCATTTTGTTCCTCTTTTACTTTCTCTTCATCTCTTAATCAACATAAATATTAGATTTGCAAATGATCATTAAGGGATCCTAAATAGCCTACCACCCTTTGGCCCACTCACTAAATGTTTCACTTTCAATTAAGAGAGGCAGAGAAGAGCATAATAAATTATTCTTGGGTTGATATTTTTTTTGTTTCATGTCTTTCCTCTGCCATTGACACAATCAATGCTGAAACCATCATTGAGGATGAAGGAGGAGAAGGATGAAAACAGGAAAAGGAAAAGAAGATGCAAAATGATATTATTTGCAATAGAATCAAAATGATTCTTAAGGTAATTTAAAAGATTTTTTCCTCCTTTTTTTTGCTTTCCATGCCTGGCTTTGGTTACAATTGTCTTGAACTTTTTTCATTCCTGGTGTCTTCATTTGCCTGAATTTATCATTTCAATCTATGCGTCTTGTTTCCGGCGAAAGGCATGATTATCATCATCACTGTCATCATCATTACCAATATTATTAGCATGGTTAAATGTGATACAAGACCAGATTTCACCTAAAAATAGAGAAAAAGATAAAGTTAGTTTAATAGTTGGAATAACAATTGAATGTAAGGAAATTATTTGTAAACATGAAACAACTCTTTTATCTCATTTGTCCCTGCAAATATCATTACAATAAAATATTTTACACATTATTATGATCATTACTAGTTGATCGATAAGATGAAAATTTAACAATTGATGTTTACCCAATAGAAATGGCTTTTTTCTTTGAAATGGTGAATTTTGGGTTTTGATAGCTATTAGGAGATGAAAAAGGATGAAACAAAAAAAGCTATCAATACAAAGTGTATATAAAGTATTGTTATTAAAAAAATCAATTGACTTAAAGTTTGAAAGATACTTAAAACAACTGATTAACTGAAGAAGAAGAAGCAATTAATCATCTTTTTCATCTCAATTGTAAATGTATGAGCAAACTTCATTTCTGAAGACAATTAAATCTACCAAGCTACCACATTATCAACAATAATGCTAATAATACAACATGAATGGAAGTAAAGGAGAAAGAAGATGAAGATGAAAAAAGAAGACAATTATTAATGATTCGTTTTGTTGCATTCAGAATGATTAACTAGCTGTTTGAAATGATGTTTTTTGTCTGACTATTACATTACACTGGGAAGACAATTACACAAGAGAATTAACCTCAACCATAATATATAATTCTTTATCATTAAATCGATAAATGGTTACATTAGTTAGTTAGTTGGAGATAATATTTTATTATTATCATCATTATCATTATCATCATCTTCATCCAAGTGCTTGATCTTGAAAAAAAAAATAAACAAACAAGCAACAATGATTTAGAAAGCAAAACTGTCACATAAAACAACAAAGGCTGATATAATTGAGAGAGTGAGAGAAAGTATAAAACAAAGATGATGATGATGATGATGATCAGGATAAATAGTAAGATGATAAAAGAGGGAGAAAAAGTAGAGATAACAGTAGACATTAAAGTTAAGGTAAGATGAATGATTCTATTGGGATCATCATTCATTGGAAAACAAGAAAAGTCTCTAAATCTTGGTGAAGACAATTATTTACTCTAATGTTTCTACGAATACATCAAAAGACAGTTTCACTTTTTCATCCTTTTCATCCTTATCCTCATCTTACTCTTTGCTTGCCTTTTTTCCCTTGAATCTTCCTCTTCTTTAACAGTTCTTCAACATCATTAAGTTAAATGATATAATGTTCAGGGATTGAACTTTATCCATCTTTTGCACTTCTCTTTGCATTCTTGTTGGCTCCTTGGCTCCTAAACTTATCCAATTCACAGTTTTCCCTCCCAGAGACAATTCTGGCATCCGCATGCATGGAAATATATATTGGTATGCTTTCCATTATCATATCACAATATGGTAAAACTCTTGATATCATGCAACACAATCCCAGTCTGGATTCCATGGAAAACTGTGAAAAAGAAGAAAATTGTTATCAATTTTTTGCGAAATAATTCAATATTATGATACAAATAATGATGATGATACTGATGTTGATGATTAACGATTAACCTGAGCATTAGTTTGATGAGAAAATATAATTTAGCAGAAGTATGAGTAAGATAATAACAATAATAATAAAAATAAATAATAACAATTGACTGATTATTATTGTTATCATTATTATTATAACAATGATAAACAAGATGATGATGATGATGATGAAAAATATAATTACATTTTTACAGGGAAAATGATATTATTATTATTGTTATTATTATGAGTTAACTTGAAAGTAATTTGAGTGTAAAATATATATATCTGAGAAGCTAAAATTATTAACCATAAAACAGCTTTTATGGTTTATCTTTAATCATCAGGATGATAAAAATTTTGACAGAGCCAACAATTTTAGGCCAATAAAGATTACCAGTTAAGGTAATAAAGAATCAGTTTTGTGTCTAAGGAGAAGAAGATGAGAAAAAACAACAAAATAATAATCATAATAATAATAATGGTAATGGTAATAACTTCTCAAAGGGACTCTAACATTAAATAATATAACAATCTTAATGGTATCAAATTTTCAATGAACAAAATGAAATGAATCTGACGAGAGGTGCGAAAGTTTCACATAAATTTAAGTTAGATAAATGTTACCTTCTAATGTTAGTTGATTTAAGTTGACAAAATTTTAGATGTAATTTGTACAATTTGTATAATTTACTTTCACAGTCTATTGATAGGTGGTAATGTAGCCAATTGTTGTCGTTTTTTTTCTCCTTCATATTTTCGGCAATTGTGATGCTTGTTGACTGTCGCTTAAGGCATTACATAGTTGAATTAGGTTCAATCTTTGGATCCATGTTAACCATTGACAACGATATTGAGAGGTAACAAAAAATAAATAATATAAAAGCAATAAACATAAACATGGCATTAGAAATAAGATGGAATGAAAGAAAAGCAAAAGAGAAAAAAAGTTGTGATACGGAAATTGTTGTTCCGATGGTGATGACGATTATGATGATTATGTTGATGGAGAGATGATGGTTAACTTGATAATGTATAACGTTAAACTTACTTGGAAATGATTCAGGGTAAATTGAGTTGCATTTTGATATCCCGGGTGAAGTCATGTTGTTTAGTTAAACATTATTTCCCGAGGCTTTCCAATGATATGCCAAAAGAGATGTATTTATTTCATCAAATAACCAAACTGTTGATGAATTTTACATTTATAACTAATAAAATGACATTAAAATTGACAAATTAACGGATTAATTAATTCAAACCTAAAGCCAAAAGAGGTTGTGAGTTGATTTAAACAGTAATGGCTGACTGTCTCTCCATTGGGTAACATTTTGGCGCTTATTAATCAGGTGGTCGTAGCTATTTTCAGAGCATTTGATTTACATTTTTGCTGTGACAATTGTCATTGTTTCATTGATTTTGATTTATTTTATTTTATGGATTTTTTTCTCGTCTTTTTTAACATTGTTATCAATATTATTAATTTTATGTCCATACAGTTGGTGATATAAAACCATATAAATAGATGATTGTGCGTGTCTCCTAAACAATTTAGATGACTTGTAACATTACGATTTCATACTTTAAACTCCCTAAGGTCGACATCTTTCTTTTCATCATCACCTTCATCATCTTTACTCTGTTTACATTATTTACACCATTAGTTTTGCTTCTGACGGGAATAATAATTTTGTATATGTTAGTGTTTATTATTATTACCTCTATGTTGACTGTAAATTTTCAACATGAAACTACAGTCACTTTGATAAACATTATCAGTTACTTGAAAAAGCATTAAATGAAATTTAGGAAACATAATATCTAGGTAAGGTAACATTTTTTATTTATTTATTACTATTCTTCTTCATCTTTTACAGTTTTTTCGCCATATTCTTTACATAAGATTTAACTTCTTTCATTCTCTCAATTGCTATTATACTTTTATTATTATTACTTTTGATAAAAATACAGCATAAATGGAATTAGGCTTTTTGCCTTTCCTTACCTCTCAGACCTGCACACACACACTTTATATGGCTTTAATCGTTAATTTAATCAAGTCAACTGCAATCAACCTTATATATGGTTAAATCATAACTTGGGTTATGTTTATTATCAGTTTACTGTAAAAAAAAAGATTGAAGAAAGAGCTTAAATTAAGTTAATTCGTAACAAAAAGGTAACAAGAATCCGAAATAAAAATGAAACAAACTTTAAACAGGTTAACATTTTTCTTGTTTTTCTTTTGAATTTCAATTGATACCGCATTATTCAATGCTATTAATTGCTTGTTTAACCATAAATTTACTAATTCCAATAAATAAACACGTTTAATTTAAATGTGTATACAGTTATTAAAAGTAGCTCAATAAAGTAATGAAGTTATGCGAAAGCCTTTAATTAGTTTCTTATTTCATTACTGGATGGCGTTGTTTGCCTCTAAAAGTAAAAAATTTCTTGAGTTGATTAAAAGTGAATAACAAAAATCAGAAAAAAAGTTAATCAATCAATGAATTTTCTGAATTTAATTATTTAATTTCTCTTGAACAAAAGTGTCTGTCCAATGCGTTAAATTTTTGTCCTTAAAATAGATTGAAAAAAACCTTGGATATAACATTACAAAGTGAAATGACAACATCAAGTTGGTGCAAAAATTTTACTCAAGTAATGAAATGAAAATAAAAAAAACGATCAATAATGATTAATTTATCATAATTTGATCATTTGAGATTTCAATATTAATGAATAATAAACTAATAAATCAATGTTATCGCTTAAAGTGAAACAAAATAAGTTAATTTACAGTAAAGTTGTTATTATTTTTTGTTTTTCATCGCCATATTTTGTGTTTGTTATGAAGCAAACAAAAAATGGTAATGATGTTGATGGCAAGCGTCCAATGGTGTTTTTAAAACGCCATTAACATACTGAAAGAGTCAACTGTTGTCAGCTTGATTATTGCCTTTTGTAATTTGTTAAAACCAAATTGACGTTAAAAAGTGTCTTAACTGGCAAGTTTAACTGTGAAGGGGAACCCAAAGTTGATATGAACACAAAAAGACGACTGAAGGCCCAAAATAAATGGACATTTTATTCAAATGTAATTCATTCCTATTTTACCCTGAAAAGCAAAGCAAAAAAACTTGTTACAACAGAGAGCAAAAGATGAAGAAAGAAAGAGAAGACAAATAGATAGACAGATAGAAAGAAAGATAAATTGTAAAACGAGATGAAGATGATGAAGAGAGTTAATGGTTACTCCAAGGCTAGTTTAACTAATGACTCTAAAGGTACCAACTCATTAATCAATCTGTAAACCTAATTTAGATGACTTTCCACTTTCCACTGGACTCACTTTATTCATCATCTTCATCATCATCATAAGCTTCTTTTTCATCTTCTTCAATCAGTGAAACTTTCTTCTTCCTAAGGGTTGATAAATTTGTTCAAGAATCTGATAATTTGATTGCTTCAACTCACAATTAACTTTGAATCATTTGTAATGAATCAAAGTGAACCCTTGAGCTAAATTAAAAGCTATTTTGTTGGTCGATTGAGTTGATAATTTGATAAAAAAACAACAATTTGCAAAATGAAATCATTTAAATTACCAAACGTAAAGATTGACAAAAATCAATTGAAATGACCTGAAAAGAGATCAAATTAATCCAATCTTAAATTGTTATTCATTTAATTAGTTTAAATCATGAAAAGCAGCAAAAAAAATGCAAATTCAAATTGCAAGGAAAAGCTGTTTAAATTTGTTAAATCAAACAGCTTCACGGAAATTTTGATGTAATTAGAATTGCAAATTTTGATTGGAATTATTTATTGTGTAAATCATTTACATTTACTTTAATTGATTGTTACAATTGAATGATGTGTGTTTGAGGTTTGAAAAAAACATCTTTTGTATTTTGGTTATTTGACAAAGAAAACCCGAAATGGAGTTTGTTCACAAAAAAACATTTCTGGTCATTTGTCAAAATTGATGACCGTATTTGCCATATTCAGGGCAAACCTTTGCCTTCCCTGTCATCATCATTACCATCCTGGTTCCTCTTTCATCCGTGCACAAATAAATGACCTTAACTCCGCCTAATTTCGACTTTTATGTTTTTTCATTTGTTTGTTTGCTTCAAATAATGATACGATTCCCTGTCCAACTCCCAGTTATCTTGAAGCAATTACATACATAAGCTTTTTGTAAGCTGTAAACACTTCATCATCTTTTACCACTGTTATTACAATAATATCATTTACTGATTAGTTTTTTGTTCCTGTTGTAATCATTACAATTAGCAATCTAATTTAGAGAAGTTAAATTGCAAGTTTAACCTTTCAATTGAATGTTACAATTTTTACGTTTCTTTTTAACCATTTGATAAACTCACAGTTGTTGGTATAAATATATATTTTCAGCATTCAGTTTCCCTTTGAATTTCTGGTTCAATGATTTGTTTAACTTTATCTTGTTTCTAGTCTTTTTGTTAAACCTTTCAAAGTGTATTTAACCTTATTATTGTTATTATTTTATCATGTTGAACATATTTCTTCTTGTTGATCAACTATATCAGTTGTGACTACAAAATGTATATTTTTACTAGTTTGTTAACAAGAGAAACATGATTTACTGACAAGATAAGTTGAAACTTACTCCAGTAACTTGAGGATTGTAATTGTTAGTCTTATCAGTATCAAGGATTAAGGTCAATTATCATTTAATTCACCAAAATCGGATTCACTTTCTACCTTGTTGTTACCCTGTTTTTACTCGGCTTAAATGGTCCAATGCCTTTTCAATAGTCTGTCAATCAAATGTCGAGTTACATTTAAGTTGTAGTTGTTGCTTATGAATGCAAACAATGAATTTACAAAGTATGTACATTACAAGAAACAAATTATTATAACATAAATGTTGTCATTTGATATCCACCATTTAAACCACTAATTGTATTTATTTGTGTTTTTTCATGTAAAAGACCTTTTGATTCCAGTGAAGATGAAACGGACAAACAGAGGAAAAGTAATGATCAAAGGCAACCAGAAGAAGCAGGTAAACCAAGGAAACCAAGAAGAGCGGAAAGACACGGAAAATAAAGACCGATAAGACCGTAAAGGCCAGAAAGATTGATTCAAATATTGATAGGATTATTGTTTGTTGTACAAGAAAGATTGGAAAGATTTACGGCATTTTCTTGGGATTCCTGGATAATGGCAAATCTTTCAAGAAATCCTCAAGATTAAGGTATGAACAGTAATGTTTTGGACTAATTTTTCAAAATTTAATTGCGACAGTTAGACTAGACTTACAGGTACCATGTAATCGTCAAAATGAAGCTGAACTTTTCAACAACGTGTTGTGAAAAAATTGTTTAATTTCGAGCAAAAAATGTCAAGTTATGGCCTTAAATAGAAAAAGGCGTCAAAATCTGATTTTACCTTTCGTCAAAAACCATATTTTTCAACTTCATACCAGGTTTCTGGAGAATCGAAAAATGGCCAAATTTGGTCTCAAATTTGTTTAAAGGGAAGTAATTCACCTAATATAACTTCACATAGATCGATTGAAAGATTCAGGTCAACATTGAGACGCAATTCGCAGACATTTGATTTGATTTGATGATTTTTCGCGGATTGAAAAAGGACCTTAGGAAAAAGGACTCAGATTTCGAATATTTCAAGAGATTATTCCCAAATAAAAGATCAGAACTTCATCAATAGAATAAAAGTGACCTTTTGGCCTTTTTATTTGGAAATAATCTCTCGAAATAATCGAAATTTAAGTCCTTTTTTGAAAAGTCTTTTTTCTATTGAAAATATATGGTTTTTGACGAAAGGTAAAATCAGATTTTGACGCCTTTGTCTATTTAAGGCCATAACTTGACATTTTTTGCTCGAAATTAAACAATTTTTTCACAACACGTTGTTGAAAAGTTCAGCTTCATTTTGACGATTACATGGTACCTGTAAGTCTAGTCTAACTGTCGCAATTAAATTTTGAAAAATTAGTCCAAAACATTACTGTTCATACCTCATGATTTGGATCGATTGGATGTTTCCTTATTCACTTGTTTTGGATACCAGAAACTGTTGACCAAGTCCGAATATCGCTGTAAACCGTAAATGTCTAAATGGACCGTTGAATGAAAATGACCAGAAAATCGTATCGTCATTTTGTCCTTTAACTGCAAAGTGGTTGCCAAACCAATGGAGCTGAGATTTAATGTTTAACCATCACTATGAGTGTGACAGTTTCAAAATGGTCAACAAGATAAATGATCAATTGTTTGGGAAAATGTAATTTAACTTTGTTTCTCCCTTGAAGATTGATTAATGATCTGTTGATTATAATGGAAGTGCAGAAACAATTGAAATGACTGATGCAGAGGTTACAATTTTTGTTCAATTGATTTCTTTTCAATGTTATTAAACATTGACTTTAATTAATTGATTTTATTCACAATTAGAAACATTGAAGTAACTTGTGAATCGCAAGAGCCAAGCATTTATTAATAGCATCATCTGCAACTCCGCATGTTCATTTCATTGCTAATGAGACTGACAATTTGATTCAAATGTTTACAATTTTAAATATGAAACAATTAGTTTTCACATTAAATTGAGTTTCAAAACAATCGCTATAAAATGTCAGGTTTGAGGTTTTTTTACTTGCTCAAGATGAATGGTTAAACGGAAAGTGTTTAAATGAGTGAAAATTAACTTTAAGTTAACATTTATTAAAACCAACTTTATTAATAAACTCATTATGAATCGTAATGATTAATAATAATGAGTGAAATAAAATGGTTGCAAGCAAAAAAAGCATGAGATGACAATTTAATGGGTAAACAGCAATTTAATGCAGCAACTGTGATCATTTAGATTATTTTGTTAACACATTTAATTGTATTACCGAGTTGAATCGTCAGTTAAACTGATTAATTATACAACCAAATGAATAGACGTATGTAAACATTGTTAATTTCAAACTCTACTTTCCTCCTAATAAACCTAATCACTTGTAGATCATTTGTGACAATTTCAATCAGTTTAATATTGAACCTTTAAATGTTGATTGTAACACTTGATGGCGTAAATTAAAGGCCTAAGGGAGTTTAGTTTTGCTCGTTAATGTTTATTAACCAGTTTCACTCATTAATTGTTAGACAGAATCATCAAAGTAACAATTAACCATACTTTGAATACTTAAATGTACAATCTCAAGACAAGGTTACAAAAGATTAATTTAAATAATTAACAATTTGTCGCAGATCTAATGTCTTTTAGCTCAGTAAAGTTGACAATCTCAATTGTCCAATGTTAATTGTTGAATATTTACAAATGAATTAATGATAATCTATCTTTTAATGTTGATTATGAGATGGGAAATGGTTTGCTTGTTACTTGTTTGTTTGATGTTAAGTGCATAAACATAAACACTGTTAACCCGATTTTTCATCTTAATCATTACTATTAAATTACAGACCACATTGACACTAATTTTAGCCTCAAGGTAAGACTGTTAATAGCGTTTATTTGAAAATTAATTAACTTGACAGTGAGAGAGAGTTACAACAATTTAATCATTTAATACCTTTACCTTATTCAAAGTTAATAACAGGTTAGCATTAAATTAATGAAATGTATAATGATAACTTTTCAATCCATTTCAATCTAACCTTTTCTTACGCTTACAATCATTTATTTAGTTAAAGGCTTATTATACGTATTATTATTATTAATTTTTTTCATCATCATCATCATCATAATGTTAATTATGATTAGTGTGATGGCAGAAATGATTAATGGTTTGAAGTTTAATCTTAAACACAGCAAAAAGCTTTTGCGTTAATCGTTGATTGCTTTTAAATTAATTACAATTATTACTGTTTGTTGGGCTGTTAATTTAATCTTTTTTGTTTCTTCATCATCTCATCAGGCAATCAATAATCATTTCTGGTCATCAAGTTACGAGTTAAGCTATTTGTATTAATCATTATAATTTGTTAGATCAGTAACAAAACAAAAACAGGTTAATGAGTTATTAAAGCTGAAATGGTGATTCAATTGAAACGGTAATTCAATTGAAATTTTGATTGCAATGGTTAACTTGTCATGTTTTAACAGTACTTTGGTTGATTGTGGTTCATTTTTTATCTCCTTTCACTGTCCAATTGAGTCCAATAATTAATCAGCATCCATTTGAAATCATCTTGAAAAGAGGCTTGGAAATATGGCAAATGAAAGTTGATTCAGTAAAATGTCATCCATTTGTAGCTGTGATTATTTTTCCTCCTTTGATCAATGATTAAGTTGATGATGAAGCTGAAAATAATGATTCAAATTGATGAAAATGATGTTTAGATTAATGATGGATTTATATAAAAAAAAGAGACTCGACTGATGTATAAAATAGACAAGCAAAAAGTAGGTACAAAAGGCATATAAGAATTGCTATTTTCTTGGTACTTTTTTTGGGTTCCTTTACAAGGTTATTACTTTTTTCTAGGTTAAAATAATCAATCTTGTTCTCTACCCTAAAAAGGATAACCTTTACTGTTTTGGACATATTTTCCTTTCTATTATTTTCAACCCAATCACCAACGATATATAATCATCATCAACATCATCAATATTATTATCATTCACTTTAAGATTAACGAGTTTTGTCCTGTCGTGAATCTTTTCTCTCCTTTATATATAATATTATTTTGATAATAATATAAGAATTACTTGTGAAAAGTTATCATTACACATTGTAATATTAATAATAGTAGCAGAGAGATGATAATGAAATGAAAATGACAATGAAACCTTGAAGATAAAGGGAATTGATGATGATGATGAGAAGAGTGTTCATTACTCAAATGAATAATAAGATGATGTGAAAAGAAGGATTCATTAATCAAGTAAACAGTGAAAAGTATCACAATTTCACTGCAAAGTAAACTTGATTGTCACACGGAATCATTTAATTAACGTATTCAAGGGTTGCAAAAAAATGATGAGAACATGTTTAACCAATAGTTGTATTGTTTAACAGGTAAGATGTGGCTGTTGAATTGCAAAAGAATGAGAAAAATCACTTTTGTGCAATTACAATAAAAACATAACATGAAATGTTGTGTCTGTATAATCAATTATCATTTTCACCGGCAATTCAACTGTTTAGCAAGTAGATTGATTCAAGGTTTATGAGTTGAACCCTTTGAATGAGGAGCCAAAAAAAGCGATTGATTGATGCAATTGAGGGTGATTGAGATAATGCTAAAGGTGGGAATAAATTATTTTAACGACACTCATGGTAAATGGAAATACGATGTAGCCATTTTGGTTCCGGTTATGATAATTGTCTGATCAAATTTGCATATTTCCTGCCAACAGTTAAGTCATCTTGTGTTTATAAAGCAACTCCTTTGGTGATTTTACCAGGCAAACCATTGACATGTTGGGAAGACAAAAAGAAAAAGAACACAAAATAAGTAAACACACATATGTGTATATTTATAAATATATAATTATAATAAAAACATGATGAATGATTCCTGTCAACATGAAAAATAGTTTGTAACAATAAAGTGAGAAGAAGAAGAAGAAGCAAAAGTTACCTTTTTTTATCATCATCAAGACATAACCACCAAGAAATGATAAAGAAGCATGAAGTTGAAAAATGGCAAGTAACCGTGACCAGGTAAAGAAAAGGTGTTCAACCGATCAACCAGTAACACTAATAACAATCAATATTATAATAACTTAATAGCTATCAAGCAGAAACTAGAGAACATGTAAAATTATCAAATTAAAAACAAGACTTAATCAACAGCGGGTTAACAAGCAAAAATTAATTAACGCTTCAACATAAGTCAGAAGTAAACGTCTGTTTAAAATTACAAACAAACGGTTAAATGTAAACCAATAGAAATGAGGGAAATTTTAAAAGCGCCAAATATAAATACCTTACCAAAAGCTTGTAATTCCTTGATTAATTGTTTATAATTAAATTATTTATCGACAACAATTGCACCAATTGTACTTATTAATTGCTTAACAACACTTGACTTGATTTGGAGTTTTTTATTTCATGTTACTCTTTTTATCTTGTTGATTGTTTGATTCATGTAACTCTTGTTGTTGTCCATTTGACATGAAAAAAATTTGGTGGTCGTCCTGATGTTGCCACCCTAGTTGTAGTTAAGTTGAAGGGTGAGGTGAGGGAGGAGGAAGATGATGATGATGAGGAGGAGGAAAGGGAAGAAAAAGAAGAAGAAGAAGATGGATAAAAAGCATAAAGTGATCAATCAAAACTGACAGAAGCAATCATAGAATCAGAAATACAAGCTCATCAAATGGTCATCCATTATAATCGATAACAATCAATAATAATAGACCCTGGTTAGTTTGGTCAGTAGAAAGATGATGATAATCATCATGATGATTATGATGATGGTTATGATGATGATTGGGATGAGAAAAGTAATATTTTTGTAGAGAAAAGGAAAGTAAAGTAAAAGCTCAACTATTCAATGTTAATGTTAATGTTGATCATTATCCCTTTTCATATTGTTACAATTGTCATTGTCATTTTTAACTTTCTTTTCATTACAATTTGGGTTACAATTTAAACTAAATTATCATTGATCATCATTATTATTAACAATAATAATCGTTTCTCAACTATTTGACATCAAGACTAACCTCCTACATTAATAAATGATATACAATCTCATCCATCTTTATCCATCTTTTCATTGCTTAACCATTCAATAAACATCCTTGACCAACCCATTTCTCATCATCATCATCAGCCTCACAATATAACTAATAATATTATTGTAATTATCATGTCTCATTAATCAACCTTTCAATTTGATTATGTTCACAGTCTTAAAGGTTTACCAAGAAACAAATTACAATTACTGTTCATTATCGTTACAACAGTTTAATTGTTTAAAAAATTATCAACTCAGACTCACGATTTGTTGTTATTTCATTTCAAAATGTTACCTTAAGTTAATGATACTATTAATGCAGCAATTAAACGTTTTGCGTTTATTTAAAAAATATTTCTTGTAAGCCTTCACTTGCTCCATGTAATATCATGAATAGGAAACCTAAAAAATCTGAGAGTATCAATGATTTTTTGATTGAAATTCCTGTTGATTAAATTCCTGGTATATAAAAAAAAGTGTGAACCTTTTTGTTTGCTTGTATTCATCATTAAATTAAATTAACATGAAGAAGAGATTAAAAAAAGCTAAATCAACAGAGTTGAGTAAACATTGAGTTACCAGATACTTTGCTAAGGCTCAACAACCCAAAGGAATCTTGAAAGTTAATAGGGAACAGCAATTTGTTCACAATTAACTTGCTTACTGGCGGTGGTGGTATAATCAAGTGTTAAATTATTGACTATTAAGAAAGTAAATAGTGAAAAAATCAACAATAATAAATATATTCCCTTGTTAGTTGGTTAACAGAGGCAAATGAAAAAAAACAGGATCAACCTTTTCATGTTAACCTAACCAGAAAAACTTGTGAGATTATTGTTTCCTATTCAAATTGATCAGTGATGGGTTAAGAGGGTGAGAATTGACTTTCAGTTATTCCTGTACAATAAAAAGTGATGCTGAGGGTACTGTTGTTGCTGGTGATTATCAGGCCAAATTAATACAATTTAATAATAGTGGATTTACCAGGCAAGAATTTTTGGGTAGGCATGATGATTATCTAACTATTATTATTGTGGACATAATAATCTTGAATGATTCCTGTAAATTCCTTGAATAACTTAACGCCAACTTAATTTATCAACAGCAACAAAAAGTAGGAAAGTTAATTCACCAAGAATTCATCTTATTCAGCAAACTGCATAAGTTACATCCAAGTTTAACAACCAAAGTTTATCATCCATATTAACCATTCATATTCATCATCCATTTTAGCCATCAATTATCCTCACTCGTATTCATGTTCATAATCATGTTGATAGTTTCACAGGACTGATCCAATCAGATGAACAAACAACCTGAAAATGGTCTTTAAAGGTCGTTTTGGAATCAACAACTGATCTTGAAATTTCGCCCTCCAAATCTCAAAGCATACAGTTCCAATATGAGCTGTTGGACCAAACGTGAAGAGTTTGAATTGCCATGTATAATCCAAACAGAGAAACCATGGAATTAATCAGTTGAATTGCTCCGAAGCTGTCGATGGACTAGTCATAATCATCTCACAATCGTTACTCTAATGAAAGAAGGAAAAAGAATGATTAATGAATACATTTTTAGGAACACAATGCGATAGTCTAAAGATATACAATATTTGTAACAATGAAAAAAAGCAAAGTATCTTGAGGATTGTTGGTAATGAGTGAGAGTTAAATTGTCACTTAACCACAATATTATTATCAACATTTTGACCTGGAATGGATGGTAGCTCATGTTGTACTGTGTAAGATTGAATACAATGATATTGATATGAATACAGAGGAAAGTAACAATAATAACAATAAAATACACACACATACACAAAAAACCAGTGAAAGAGGATATTCAATTGGTTTGTGGGTATCAGTATATTATTTATAACAATATCAAGTTTTTTTTGAAGAGAGGAGAGAATCAGAAGATCAAGGAAGATGAGAAGAAGAGGAGAAAAAAATAGAGTGGAAAAGGAAATGAAAAGGGAAGATAAATTGAAGATGAAGATGGCTATTATGTATTGATGAAGATGCTTACTGTGTTTATAAATATATATTATTTTTATCATCATTATCATCTTTACTTTTTCTCTCTTTTATCTTCATCTTGTTTTTTTTTCAATCCGCCTCTTTTGACATCTTGCCTACATTAATCTCTTTGTATCTTTCTTGTCATCAACATATGCTTTTCCAGGACCACCAACATCATCATCTTCATCAACATTGCTATCATCATCATCGTCATCATCAATATCATCATTATGACAGCAAATAACCAGTGACCTTTAGCCTGGTTTAACATCAAGTTACCTTTTCATAAGTGAAAGTGATAATTTTTCAATTTTGCCTCTCTTTCTTCTTCTCATCTGTTCATCATTAAATTTATCATTTTTGTTGATCATGCAACATGATCATCAACATCATCTTGATTCAGAAGCAAATGTCACTTGTCAGCTTATTTATTTACTAATTCAACATGAAGATCGTCATCATTAATGTAATCACGCAATGTTAACATTGTCAATCAAAAGATGAACAGGGAAACAACTTACTGTGTTTACCTTTTAATTTGATTAAAAAGTCAAGTTATTCATTGTTATCGATACTTGACCAGAGTCATTTGAATCACAGCAATGCTGTCATCTTGAAGAGTCGTGAAGAAACGCCAATTTGTTGATTAATATCTATTGGAGGTTTCAAGAAAAAAATCCTTCCATTATCATCTGGTTATGTATTGAATTATCAGCAAAATGGGTTGAATGATCGGTGAAAATGGAAATTAGAATGATAAGGTTACAATTGGATGGATAAATGATGTTCATCAATTGATGGGAATGGTGATGATTAAGATTGAGATTAAACAATGGGTGGCCAGAATTTTCTCATCACCATAATCATAATCAAGTTTAACTTGTTAGACTTTTCAATAGTTATTCAGTCAATTAGATTAAGCAAAAGATGAATAACATGTTAATGATTGAAAAAGAATGGATTTATCATTGAGCTTTTCTGGTTCCAATTGGCTTCATCAGTCATTCAATTCATCAAATTGTTACTTCATGTCCAAACCTTTTAACAAGAGAAATAAAAATTAAAATTGATTTGCCATGAAAATGATTTAACATGTTAATGAATGTTTCATGTTTTTTTCCCTGTAGTTCTCCTATTATTCACTTACCTTCATCATCATAATCATAGTCATGACCATAATTTTCATTCATCTCAAGCTCATTCTTCATCTCTTTATCATCAGCCCTTTTTAATGAACATCAAACTGAGTAACAAGGTGTGATTTGGGTTCAACCTTCTTGTCAGATAAATCACCTCAACTTTTTTCTTCTCCTTTGATTTACTCATCATTTTTTATCATAATCATTATCTTTACCATTTTTTATCTTCCAACGCCTTCATATTTCGATGATATTTTCTTTCTTCCCCTGACATCACCAACAATTTTCCTTCGAGGTGCTGAGGTGTTGCTTTTGTTTACTTCCCAACTTAATTGTACCTCTTGTAACTTAAATAATTATGTTGACAGTTTGATTGTTTCTTATTCAACTATTCAATTATCCCTAAAAAAGCAAGAAAGATAGATAAGTTAATGATGATAACGATAATTATGAGCATAAATTGGAAGAAGAAGCGAAAGAAAAGACTGAAGAAAAGGTAAAAAAAGGTGAAAAAATAAGTAAAAAGGTTGAAAGAGTTTGCTGTCAAAGTGTATTGATAAATTTACTTACACTTGAACATGATGTTAAAGCTGTTGTTGACTTTCAATCCCAAACCAGTGTTGATAATATTTCAGTTTGGATGGTGATTTAGATGAAGTAAACCAAATCAAAAACAGAGGAAATCAAATATTAATTTAAAAACAATAATTAACACTGAAATTAAACATGAAAATGAAACGATTTGAGTTATTTTGAGCAAAAAAGTTTGAGCAAAAACCTTTTGCGCTAAGACATTTAAGAGCAAAACTGATTAGAGCAAATATAATTTTAAACTCAGGTTTAGTTTTCGAAAAAATCGAGATCAAAGTTGAAACTTTAGCCGCCTTTCGTTCAATTATGGAACCAGATTTTTTCATCAAACTCAATTCAATGATGTAACTTTTGATGAAAAATCAGAAAATGTACAGCCGATCACTTCGATTTTCAATTAGATCGACTGCTTTCTGTGGCCGTAAAAGTTAGAGCTTAAAATGATCATTCGTCGATAAAAATTGTTGGTACAACATGAAAATTATCAACAATTTTTGAGCAAAATTTGCAATAATTGTCAATTATCATTGTTAACCTGGTAACATGAAATATTATCGCTTCGATTGTAGCTTATTAGTAATCAATTGATTGATAAATCAACAATAATTAAGCTTGTTAAACATGTTATATGCTCAACCTTATTTCCTTTCATCATATTGACATGTTTAACACGTTTTTTGACAGCTTCAACCATGTTTCTTATTTTTACTTCCCGCTGATTTAACTCAAGATTTGCTTTCAATTTCTTCATCACCATCACCATCATTATCATCATCATCAACATCAACATCATCTTCTACTTCATTATCATCAACAACTTCAACTTTCAACCTTCTCATATTTTTATCAACATTGAACGCCTCTAATTTTTACCAATTTTAACAGGTAACCTTCAAACAAGTTAACTTCTCAATCAGCCGAATGCTTCTCATTTTTTTTTTCTCGTGTAATCGTGAAAAGGTGCAAATGAAAAAACACACTCACAACAATACCTTTTAGATTTGAATAAATTAACCATTAATCAATTGTTGTCTCTCATTAAAGTTAGACCTTAATTTTACAGCGTTACACAGTCAACATATGGAAACGTGTCTGTGTTTTACTCACCTGGAATATGTAATTGGAAAAGCCAATAAAAAGGTGAAAATAGTCTACAAGTGAGAATATCAATTCACCGAGAGAAACAATTTAATTACAATTGTCAACTGAATTAACCAAGTAAATCGTGAAACAGATTTAACAGCTTAATTAACACATTTCCTCTCTATTGATATATAAATTATCCATTACAATGTTGCCATTACTCAAGTGATTCAATAAACTGCAAATTCAGTTCATTTGGCAAGTGTCTTCAGTATTACATCTATTAATAGCAACAGCATTAAAAATTCAATTATTAAAAGGTTTCAATATATTGTGATTACCTGGTATTTAAAGTTAATCATTGGATTATTGATAATTTTCATTCTAATTTTCCTTTGCCTGTAAACTCAATGGAAACCTGAATCTTTTGCATTATGCTTTTTTTGTTCACAAAATGATTGACATTAATCCTTGTTGATACCAATTTTTATTGAAATATTTTAATCTTTTTCAAGTGAAATTCATGACAGTTGATGATTTAAGACTTAAACTCTAATCATCAACATAATCATCATCATTATTTCAATTTATTACTTACCATTAGAGATCATCAACTTCTCTCAAGTTGCCATCAACTTAATAACCGAATGTTAACAAGTAAATACTGTTTAAATCAATCAGATTATGGTTAGCAAAAAAATAATTAGCTACCATTAAATGTAATACTCTGCAAATACAAATCCAGGATAATAATAATAAAATACATTGTCGATGTTATTAGGTAAAATAAAATAAGTTTAGCTGATTAGTTTGTTTTGCTTCACCAACACTTAACGTTAATACATTTCAACCATCAAATTCAATTAAATTTAATATCATCTTTTCTTTCTCGCACTATAACTATTATCTAATCTCAATTTCACTTGTACTTATTAATGACTATTAACATATTGATTGATTGTTTGGTGAAAACACTGGCAATAACAAATAACAGAAAGCAAGAGAAGGTAAAAAAAGTCAAGTAATAATTACATATAACATTTCATTATTACCATTATTTGCCAATCTATCACCTTGCAGGATCAATCAATAAACAATCATAAAATACACATGAAAAAATAAGTCAATAAACAAAACAAACAATCATCTAAAGATATTTAGCCAGCATTCAACGAGTTATAGTGATGATGACCAGCTTTGCAACGTTTGTATTAAACCAGAGTTTGGTCACTTGGATATCAAATCAGCCACAGGCAACAATGATTATAGCCTGGTTAGATTGGGATGTGAATGATGATATTAATGATGGTGATTTATCCAGAATGGAGGAGTAGACTAATGAGAATGACCAAAGTGAGGTTCACTTGTTTTCCTGTAAAATTTGAAATGAGAAAAAAAACAGAAAGAAGTAAATGGAAGGAGAAGATGAATATGATGATGGAGAGGTATAAAAATTTTCTTGTAACCTCATGAGAGACAAGCCATTAGAATCTGTTGACCGAGGACATTGATCGATTTCAAATTGTAATCTTGATGGATGAGATGTCTACAGTCAACAATCAATAATCTGTTAAACTGCAACTTTTACCATCATCATCATCAACATCACCATCTCAACTGTAACTTCACCACACTAGGCACCATCGACTTGACTCAACTGTTCGTTCCTTTCTTTTTTTGTGTCTTTCTTTTTCTCTCCTCTCCTTGTTGTTCACTTCTTTTTTGGACGGGCAATCAATTTTAAAGCAAAATCTCTTTTACAGATAAGTATATTTACTGTAGGAGTTAAAATGGATCATCAAAAGCTAAGGGTTACCAGGGAAAACAATGAATCTATCACTTTCCTGGTGTGAACATCATTTTGTTGAACAACAGAATAGCATTCAAGTTTAACTGGTTGGTAAAAGATGATGATCATCATCATCATCATCCACATGATGATCAAGGGAAACATTTCGGCCAAAGAAACCTAAAGGAGGAGGAAGAGCAAAAAGGATGATAAGTTAGTTTGACAAGGAAACAAGACTTGAAAAAAACAGAAACTGGTCAAAAGAAGAGAAATTAAGATGGATGTGGATAAGTTTTTTTTCTTGTCTTCTTCATCTTCTTTCAACTTTTCTTCCAAATTATTACCTGTTATCTTCCTAAACAATCTCAACAGCAACAACTTACGACACATTTTCACGATTTTGTTGGCTCTGTAAAGGCGTTTTGAACGTTGTTTATCACCACCATCATTATCATTATAATTAGTATTAGCATCAAATTCGTCTTCATCTTTTATCCTCATAGGTAAACATCATTCATCATTTTCATCCCTATTCACCATCGTCTTCATCATCACCATCATCATCTTTATCCTTTTTAATGCACCATTTTGAAAACTTACAGCATCTGTTAGCATACAAATATAGATAATGGTTTTAAGCAAACTGATTTATATATTCAATTCAATTCAATTGAATAGACGAGAGAAGAGAGAAAAAATTGATTAAGTTTAGCAAGTTAATAGAGAAATAATCTGACATGTAAAAGGTTAGTTAAAATTTATGTTAAATCTTTGGACAATTGAAATAATCGATCATCCGGATTATTAGATTTTGAGTCGATGGAGTGAAATTGATGAAAAGGTGGAGAGAAATGAAAAATGACTAGGAATTAGGATTCACATAAAACAATCAATCAACTTGTAAAATGTAATTTCAATGACTATTTAGGAAAAACAAATCAATCTTTCAATGTAATTATCCCAATCAAGGTCAATTGTTGATAACTTGTAAAGTGTGAATAAATTCAACATGAAATGATAAAATGCAAAAAAGGAAAGTCAAACAACTTCTATCAATATTATGCTCTTGGGATGAAAAGAGTCACAAAATATGAACAGTTTTTTTGCCACTGATAAAAAGTGACAAAAGCATGAACATTGAAAGGTTGATGGTTTACATTTAATTAACCTTAATTATTTTGTGTTTTGACTGTGACAATAACATTTAGAGAAGAGGGAAACATGATGGGTTCTATAAGTTGTTGGTAATATAACAGATTGCTAGGTTGTTTGGTTTACTGCAAATTAACTTGATTTATACTGAAAGCTCAAGTTGTAGGGAAAAAATCTCATTACAATCGTAAGTAACATTATCAACATGAACAGATAATTTTTTTTCCATCTTAACCAGATTGTCTCTGTCTAATGTCAATCTTTTACGGCATGCAACCAAAGTCTATAACCGTAGACATAGACACACGCAGGACAAGGGATAGACATTAGTAGGCGTCTCAAGATAACAGTTTGAGTGACAGCAAGCTCTAGTAGGAAAAGAGGAAGAGAGAAATGGATTAGAAAGTAAACTTGATTATTAGGTTTCACTAAATTAACACTAAACTTACAATCTTCCTCTTTGTTCATCTCGTATTTTGTACTAACTATACTTATTACCTTACTGAGTTGTCAATCTAATCCGATGTTAGGGTTCAACTCAAAGTGTTTTAATCAGTCTGTTAACCGTCATCATCACCATCATCATCTACTTGTCTTTTTTCCTTAATCTCTTCTCCTTACTACACAATGAATTGGCTCAAGCAGCTTAAAATCTGTGTTGTTATCTTAAACGTTCAACAAAACTGCATACAATGTAAGAAAGTAACCAGGTAATTTCCGTAACAAAATACAGTCAAGAAACAAAAAACATATTGACATGCAGACAAACAGCCACACACACACACACGAAAACACATACTAACACTTACATAGGCAGGTACAAGAAAAGATGGAAAAGAGGAAGCTTGCTCTGTATTGTCAACATTAAATTGGAAAACAATCTTTTGCCAATCAAACCGTCAACCTTAAATGTACACAATGGAGATGAACGAGAGAGAGAGAGAGATGATGAAGTCTTGTTGATGTTGAGTTGAAGAGGACTTTTCCTTTTCTTTTCCACTTTTCATCTTTGTCAGTATAAGTCTTATACGTTACAGTTTTGTACTTTCCACTTTCAAGTTGATTTTGTTTCTTCTCTCCAAGCTAATTCCGTTTATCGGCTTAAAGCTCAACTGGATTATCCAAGATTTGTTTCTCTTTCTTTTCCATATTCCTTTTGAGCCTCCTTTTGAATCACCAATTTAACCTTCCTATTGAATATCCTTGTCAATCTCCTTATGAGTCTTATTATTCCTTTGTCTCCTTTGAATTAATGTACTGCAGTCCAAAAGATGATGAGTTGAAGAGATATACATATAAACCAGAACAATGACAACCTACAAATAAATAACAATAATAAGATAAATCATAATTGTCACAACAAACATAAATATAAGTAACTTAAATCCAAAAATGATTGTTAAATTGTGCAAAGCTAAATCACTATTCACAAGTAAACCCATGTAAATAAATAGGCGCCAATAGGAAAGAGGGAACATTTCTTAATTTCATTTTTCACTTGACGCGCCAATTACAATATTAGACACTTAAAGGGTAAAATGTTTCATTTTCAGATAAAATTCATTTACTAACATTAACTTTCTTTACTTACATCAACTCATATCATGTCATGTACATCTCCAGGTTAACCACTTATTATCCTTGATTCAATAACCTAATAATAACAGTTTACCGATGAATAACCAGAATTTGATTCATTCACTATTAATATTGTTAGCTGTGAGTTTAACTGACTATTGATTCAGACTAGATCATAGGTTTTATATGAAACATCTCAATCATTTACAAATGGCTTTCATGGTGATTCACCAGATAATTCAGTTGAATGTTTATGAAACAAAAAGATAGACCAACAGTTGATCCAAGTTTAACCTGACAACCTTTTAATATCGACAAATTGATTGCCATTAATTACATTTGCCTTTTCCTTCATCCTATTAAGTTCAACGATTTACAGATTATTATACTATTTTCATCCTAATTTATCCACAAACTAATAATTTAACTTGAATTAACTGTAATTGATGAGACAATAAATATCACAGTTTAATAGGCGATACACTGTAACAATAAGAGTTGATTAAAACTAATTACGTTTAATTGTTGTTTCCAACAATAAATTGAATTACATGTGAAACATTTTCAACACAATTCACAGTTAATTGAATTTTGATCATTTCACACCAATAAATGATTCTCAATTGTTTAACCTTAAAAGTTAAAAATGTTTAGTCTGTTCAATAAACCCAATTGAACCTGAAAACCATTGACGAGTAAATCAATGTTAAAGCATTCAGTGAAAAATGTTACAACAATTAAACGCTTTAACTAAATATCTTAAATTGTTAAAATATCCAACAATCAACAATTAAAAGAGTAAACAAAAGGTTAATTAGAGCAGATTGAGAGAAATATTTGGATAAAATTGGAAATTTTGACCAAAAAAAGAAACATTTTTTGCATTAAATGACAACAAAAGTAGGATAAATTGATGAATTTGATCATTTTGATAAACATTTTTTTCCAATGGAAAGGTTAAATAGATTGACTTTGATTGATAACATATTATCAATTGAACATTGGCTGGTTGTTGACAGTTTATTAATCTATCAGATGAAATGAAATCAATTGAATTATAAGTAATATCTGACAACAACAAAAGTAATAGTAAATCAAAGTATAATCAAGTTGACCAAATCATTTGATTGTGTTGTATAGAGCAATGTTTTTTTGTTTGTTGTTTGTTTCATCAACAATAATCACAACCATGGATTGGTTAAATTATGTTCAATGTTCAATATAATAATACCATGGATCGTCAATTGATGATGGTTCTACAGATGGATGAACTGAATAAAAAGAGGAAAGTTAATACAACAAATGTTATCAATTGTTATTGTCCTGCAATTGTCATGGATTGTCAGTCAGCTGATTGATTGATGAACCTCATGTTATTGGTACAACTAACGTTCAGATCAAAGATTCACTGGTCTATAGGGATGAAACAGTCAAGAGAAGCGATTCCATTCCATATAGCATGATCATCTTGTAACTGTTGCAATTGTCTAATGAACACTGTATCAACAGAATGACATGAATTTACCAAAAAAACCGATGGTTCAATCAAATTGTTTTTAAAGTCAACCAACAAAACAGGTTAACTATTGAGCTTTTGACTAAATTGAAAGCAATCAATAGTTTCTAAATTTATCCAATGTTGGACTGAATCATCTTGTAATATCCAAGTCAAATTTTGACTCATGTAAAGGAAACCAGAAATTTATTCAAGCTGAGCTATTCAATTTCACGGTATCAGCTTTTGTAAATAAAGTCAATTTTCAGGGAAATTAATTTTTCTCTGTCTCAACCTTTCATCATCTAAACTGGCTTTCATTCAATACTTGAATTCATGAAAAATTTACTCAACAATTTCAAGATTATCAATCAGAGCACTGGAAAAGTTGTGAAATTTATCAGAAAGCATTTTGATAATGATCGGGTTAAACATCAGTTTTCATGGTTGTGATTGTTTTTTCATTGAGTAACATCAGTTTAAACAACAATTAACCAAAAAAACTGGTAAAAAAATTGAATCAAAGGTAATGGGCTTTGGAGTGAACAAGAATAGCGTAAAAAGGCGTTTATTGTTGAGCACAATTTTTGTTGGTTTGGTAAGGTTTTGCAGTAAATTGAAGAGTTGATTTAACGTGCTAATGCTGTGATTAAGGGAAGGATGAAAAGTGAAGATGAAAATGATGAAGTGAAAAAGTAAAGTAAAAAAGGCTTACCAGTGTTTCCGATGCAATTTAATGACTCGGAATGAAGAGAGAAGAAGAAAAATCACACAAAAAAAGAGAGAGAAAAGCTGACGATGAGGATGAAGATGAAGAAGAAAGAAGATAGATGGAGAAAGTAAGAGAAATGATCCTTTGTTCAGAGGATGATGGACGACTTGACATGATTTATAATCTTTCCCTTTCTTTCCATCTTTTTTTTGTGATGATCAAGATGATGATGATGATGATCAAGATGATCTCTCTCTGCAAGATGCTGAGTAAAGATTAATTGCTTGCCAAATAGTTGGCAGACAAAGTGTACATAAAAGTTGGTTGATTCAAAGAGGATCAAGTTGATGTTGATGATGTTGATGCTGATGATGATGGTGATGATGAAAGAAGACAAAAAAGGATCATTGTAATGCTGATGATGATGCACAATTGTGGGTGATGATAGTGGTTAACATTGTCCTTTGTATGTTATTACAAAGTACTGATGATGATGAGATAAAAGAAGGTAAAAACGATTAAACTTTGGATGTGAATCAATTTGCTTTTTCCATAGTAAATATAATGTTCATCATTTTTCATCTTTTTTTTCATCTTCTTCTTCTTCTTCCATCTTACAATCCTCTTGTCATCATTAACTTTCACATCAATTTATCCTTTTCTCATGTTAAATGTAATAATTATTGTTATTATCACTATTAGAGTGGAAGAGGAAAGTTGAATTACTTACAGAGTTAATAAATTATTTTCTTTGCTCCAGTTGATTACATTAATTAACCTTTTTATACTTATTGGGGCGCATTTTGGCTTCATTTGTTGAGTATTTTTCTGGTTCAATCAGTATTTACCAGAAAAGACTCACACTGGACTCTTGATTAACATCTCGACTCATTGGACAATCAATTTAACTGAGTTAACAGTTTAATTAACATTCCACAAAATTTCCAGGTTTCTCCATTGTAACCTTAAAATTTGGTGTCAAATTGTTTCCATCATTTTCTGTTGATATAATATTCCTGTTGTTGATTTTGGTTGTGTAATTGTAAAACAATTAACAAATTGGTAACAAAGTAAATAGAGAGCTGTTTAGCTGCTGATAACAATTTTAACATTTGATTGTTAGATTTTTTCATCGCTATTATAGCCATAAATATAAATTTTGGTCCTTTTTCCCTGATATTAACATTGAAAAATGACTCTATCCATTAACTAAATTTGACAAAAAATGAGCTTACAAACTATTAACCATTATGTTTGATGATGGCTATGAAAAAAGGAGAAAATTTTTGCATGCAAAAAGACGATGAGCCAGTTGAAGATTTACAAATAGGTTTAGAGACAAACAGTTGAGTATTTTTTTGCTGCAGAATAAGAGTAATGATGATGATGATTATGATGAAACTGATAATAATAATACACAAAATAATAATAATAATAATGATAAAATGAACAGTTGTAGAGGCAAGTGAAAAGATAAATTGAGATCCTATGGCACATCATTTATCATTTTTCTAATCGCTTCTATGGGTTTGTCTTCATCACCAGAGTCATTGATTATTATCAAGCGAAACAATATGATAACCATTAATAACAATTAATGATCAACTTTACCTTTTAATTATATAAAAGTAAAGACAGTCAATAATGATAAACTTATAACAATTAACGAAAAGTCCAGAACAATTTAGTTAAATAAAACAAAAAACTCAAATAAAGAAATAATAATTTCACCTTTTACTCAAATTGAAAGACCAGTGAAAAATGCCTTTCTTTGGGTTGTTGCCATTGGTTTTAAAATTGTCTCAACAAAAGTCCGCCAATTTCAATTTAACCATAAAAATTAATTAATTTATTACTTTAATTATCTTACTGCTTTGACAATATCATCATTAAGGTTACAGTTAATTTGGCACAATTACAGTGTACTCAAGTTAACCGTGATTTTATACATTTATTGATTATACAATAATTAATAGCAATGTTTGGTGACAAAATAATAAAATCAGTGATTAGTCCATTAGTTAATTGCAAGTCGATTGGAGGTTAAAATGAAGCTGAGAAGCCGACTGAGTTAACAATTGCTTAGTAAATTGTAACAATTGTTCATTAATTATTATACATTTTATATACCTTTGATAATAAACAAAAAGGTTGTTACAAAATAACCTTTTAATTGTTGGCAATCATTATTTGCTCTAGTCTTGAAGCTTATAAATTGTCATTAAACATCATCAAACTGTTAACAACAGCAATATAAAAAAGACCAAGAAAGTTAGGATATTTTACAATGAGCAAATGTTTACAATGACATTTGATTACAATGATTTAGAAGTTAAAAGCTGGGAAAATTGATGATTGGTCGTTTCATCGTCTCTTTAGGTTTGCTTTATATTTGCTATTGAACCAAGAAAATGTAGGTAAACCCAAAAATGTTGACATCATCAACACATATCAATTGATCATTTAAAGAAGGCGTTAAACAGTGACAGTAAAATAGAGAAGGCTCTTTGATTGTTATGGATAAAAGGCTAAACATGTAAATCAAGGGTAAACATGAATAGCGAATGAACACAAATCATTTCAATCTTTTGCTTCTTCTTCATCTTCTTCTTCTTCTTCTATTTTCTTCCTCTTGCTTTTCTCCTTCTCCTTGTCATCTTCATCATGTTGTTATTGTGGTTGTTAACCATACAATTGATCCTGCCATTTTTACCAATCATTATAACCCAATAGTGTTAGATGGTTCTACTTTTTTTTATCATTAGCTTGTATTTCCAGGGAGTCTTGATGATTAAAAGCTCCATTGACACCACATGAGGTGTTTACATTTGAAGACATAAAACTTGATCCTAGGGCAAAGGGGTCCAAACAAAGGTAACCCTGAAGCTTTCAGGATGAAGGTAACACTAAACAAAATAAATGACATCTAATAGGAGAGTCTTCAACTGCAACTTTATCAAATTTATTGGTCCATCAGCCTCTTAGGTCCAGATTTAACAGCGGAATCCAAGAGTAAGGTAAAAGAGAGAAGCAAAAAACCAAAAGCAAAACCTCAAACAAGCGGAATCGTTTGTCACCTTACCAAACATTTATCTATCCATAAAGAGGGAGGTTGATGTTACAAAAAGCCCAGTAAAGTTATCATCTCATCAGGGGTGAAAGAGAGAACCTTTTGATCCGTATTATCTTCACCTTTCGCCTTCACCAATTGTTGGTTTCCTGTGGACTTCACATACTTTCCGTTCAATCTCTTTTTTAAAGGCCCATTGTGTTGTCGAGGGATGAAACCATTAAAACATTAAAGGTAGGATACCCAAGGCAGGAACCAAAGTCAGCAACCAAAAAGCAGGAACCAAGGCAAGAGCCAAAGGCCAAAAACAGCAAAAAGGTCGGAGGTGGAGTGCCATTCATGGTAATTGATGGTTCAAACAGCCAGGCCAAAAAAAAACATAATTTGCGGTTGCTTAGTTTTTACTAGTTACTTACTCGTTTAAGCCACAACATCATCAACAACAACAGTTCAACACACACAAAAAGGCCTTACATGGACCATCGAAATACTTACTTTTTTTGGACATCAATCAAGCGCCCTTTGCCCCATCACAGCTAATTTATACCTTTTTCTTACTGTGTACCATTTGAACAGGCCATTTATCCATGTCTGTTGTAAAGGTAAAAGGTAAAGGCATTACTTTTGCCCTTTTCCTCTCTTTCCTTGCTTATTGTTAATGTTGTGGCCTTCATCCCTTAACTGTGCCGATGATGAGGCCGATTATCGTTTCACAGTCTAATAGCAAAGCAAAATAATAACAATAATCATTGTAGATAAACACATTAGCACACACAAAGTCATATCATTTTACTCTTGAGTAAATATTTTACCAAACAAACAACCTTTTCTCTGGCTTGCTGTTATAACCTAAAGCAAAATATCATTCACAGTGTTTAACCAAAATTCAAATGGTTAATATTAATGTTTACAGACATTGAATTAAGTTAATCAACGCCAATAAAATGATTATAAAAATGAAATCAAACAAAATGTTAACCAAAAACGACAAAATCAAACACTTCATTTGCCTGTTAAACCCCAAGCAAAACCAGTTTATTTACCTCTCAAAATAAAACCCAATGACAACTGGAAACAAACATTAGCTAATTAATTCAAAGGTAAATCAAAATTGATCAAGATTGACATGAAACTGAAACATTGAAAATATATAAACAGTTTGAGAGAGAGAGAAAATGAATTTTTGAGCAAAAAATTAATGACAAACTAATGAGCATTGAAAAAAAGGGCAAAAATTGAAGCTGTTTCTTTGCCAAAGAATGACTTCTCAAGACACTTTTGCATTATTACAACTGTATAATTCACTGTTTGTTGATAGTTAACGTTTGCCTTGTGATTTATGGTTCTCTGTCAAGTATAATGACGGTAAAATGCCGAATGAAAATTGCCTTTGACAACTTGCAATTGATCACTTTTGATCACTTAAAGTCGCCTTCATCTTCCTCCTCCTCATCACCATCATAAACATTCAACATTATCAACAGCATCTTTTTTGGCACAAAAAAAGGCACAAATTTTTGTCAACCTTTTACTATTGCTATTAACCCTGATTACATTTCAATCTGAACATTTCCTAAAGTTAATCATCTTCAGAAGGTTCATGCTCATAATGAAAAGTGCAATTAGATAACAATTAAAACACATTTAACGGAATTAACTGAAGCTCCTTGAATGGCAAAAAGCTTAATGTTTCAATAATTTTGCTTTAAATTACCATTTAATTGTCACATGAATGATAAAATCAAAATCTTCTTAATTCTTAACTCAATAAAAAACTACGCTTAAGGTAATGAACATTTCAAAGTTTCAACTGTCGCTTCCAATGAAATGATAATAAATTGATTATATTGATTCAGTCTCATGACATGACTGTTGAAATATGTATTTAAACTTCAAAAGCTGAACCTTTTTTTTGCTGTAAATTTTGTTTGACACTCATCAGTATTGAAATTGTTTAAGGATCCAACATAACTCAATTTGCCTGAACCTGTGCCTCAACCTAATTAGTTGATTTAATTACCAACATAAGTCAAGATAATTCAATGATAATTGTCCATCATTAAACTATTAATTACAGAATCTAAAGAGAAATAAAAAAAAGAGTTTCAAATGAAATCTTTTTACCATTTTGTCAAAGTAAATCAATGAAACATTTGTTGTTACATTGAAGGTAGTTGGGTTGCTTTGGTAGCTTGATGATGACGATGATGATGATGAAGACAGTGCATTAACAAAAGGCATCAACTGATGAATACAGTTTACACAAAATAAACATCAAAAGTGATCCATCTAATCTGAATGATTGATGAGCATGAAATCCAATCGAGCTTTTCAATCTTATTGATTGAACCAACTGAACAGTAAAAATAACAAGGCAAAGGTGAAGATGAGAATGATGATGAGGATGATCAAGATTATTAATGTTCATCTATAGTGCCTTTGAAAAAACGTTGAAAATGTGATTGTTAACTTGTTGACCTGCTATTATGATCAATCAATGAAATTGGCCGACGATTCAAATGTAAAAAACCTGAAAGCCTTATTCAATCATTTTGTATTAAAAACAGTTTACCTTTTTCAATTAAACTAATCTTAATACCAACTGATTATAAAGGTAAATAGATGAGAATTCAATTTTTGTCTTTAAAGTATTAAGAAAAGGTTTCAATTGAAGCAAAATATTGCAAACATTATTATCTGTTTAATATTCAATTAAAGGTATTTTCAATTATCTTTTTCCCTCCTCATTATATTCATTTATCACTTGATCTTTCTTGTTACCTGTCAAGGTGAAAAGCCCGAAAAAAATGATATTTAAGTAAAGCCTTTTGACCATCAGTCAAACAGCAAAGTTAAATTGTCTTAAATTGTTTCCTTGTGATTGTTGTTAGTACAAAACTGTTAATATATTTGGCGAAAACACTATTTTCAAATTGAGTTTTGCTTGGTTTACCATGTTTCCATCATCATAGCCATCATCATCATTATCATCATCATCGTCTTTAAACATCGTCAGATTGTCTTAATATCACGCATCTCTAACAGGTAACAACCTTTATTCATCTATTTTCCCGTAATCCAAGTGTTTCACCTTAATCACGATATCATTCAATTACAAGTTTACCTTTCAATATCTATACACATTTATAAATAACATAATAATGGACATCTTATGGTCTCAACCCTCAACATTGTAAAGGTTGAGGTAACAAAGGTAACATGAAGGGAAGCAAAAACACACAATAAAATGATAATCACAGTTATCATTAAATCTAGATGAGAATCTAATTGTTGGCCAAGCAAAAAATGGAAAATCTGTGAAATAATTATCAAACCAGATTCAGGTTTAAGGTGAGAAAATTAAGAATTCAAATTTTTCTTGAAATGCAACTTTGAACCCAAATTTATTGATCAACCAATTTACATTGTTTTGTTATCTCATTCATTACTGTCACCTTCAATGAGACAAGAAAGGAAAAAAGAGAAACATGGAAAATTCTGACTCGAGAAAAAAAAGGATTTCTCTGTTAAATGAACCTTTGATTATCGTCATTTTTTTGCCTTCTATTATCATTTTTACTTATACAACTTGCCATTACTTTTATATATTGTTGTTGTCCTTTGATTGATGACTTTTCCTCACTCTTCAATCTTCAATCTTCATCATTCCCTGTCTCTCCCACTCTCATGGCAACATTTTTAACCAGAGGTGAAGAGAAAGAAGAAGAAGATGAAAAAGATGAAAAAAAATTGTAAGGCAAAATAATATAATAGACGAGGCCATTATTTGCGCTTGTCTGTCATATCAAGGGATCATCAATCAACTCTGTATTGTCGTTAACATAGTTATATAAATGGTAAGAATCAGTGAAAAATATATTTATATATTATGTAAGATAAAATGAAAAAAAAGGTTATCCTAATCAATCTCTCAATTGTTCAGCTTTTACTTGATCCACTTTTTGTGTTGGTGCCTTTCATTGTTCATTATTAGCATAATATTAGTTGGTTAATTGTGATCAACATTGTGATCATCTTGTAATGTGAATCATTTTCCGTTGTGGTTAGTTTTACCGATCAATAACAATTCACTAATCAATCCAACTTGTAACCTTTTTGGTGTTAACATTTTGTCAATACTTTCATTCAACATTCAGCAACATTAAAGATTATCAAATTTTATGAGCAAAAATGTATTTCTATTCATTTGGTTGAAGGTTGACCAATGAAATTATCATTTGACTATCTTTTTGATGGTTAATTGCAAGTTGAATGGGATTTCAACGAGAAAATGATTCCTAATGATGAGATGTTGCTTGATAAACTGTATTTGACTGTATAATCACCCAAAGGTACAAAGATATACACAAATATGATCATTGGGAGTGAAAATCATTCAAATGAAAAGGTATAATTTGAATGTTGAATGAAAACTATCAACAACTAAACCGATATTTAAAGTTTGCATGAAAAAAAACTAATCATTTCTGTATCATCAACAACAATAATATCACAGAAAACACGTTTTGATCATCATTTGCAATTCACTATCATCATCATTATTAAATCTTTATTATCACTGTAATTGTAGAGACAGAGAGATGATGAAGATGATAGCTGAACACACCCAAAAGATCAGCTTTTCCTCATCATTTTTACATCATGTTGGTCATGTTGATGATACTAATCAAAAGATGAAATGACCTGTAATTAACCTGTAAACCTTTAGTTCAAGGTTGAGATCTTTTCAAGTCCAAACCTCAAGACAACTGCAATGATATTTAATTGAGATGAAAATGATTGACAAAAAGGTAACAAAACAAGATAAGTGAACTTGAAGAAACCTGAAAATGAAAAGTCTAAAGTCACTAAAAAGTCAACTTCAATGGACTAAGCTAGCATTCAGTTTCTGGTAAAGTTAACGTAAAGTTAATATTGAGCTTCATCTTTTCAAAGCGATTTAATCCAAAGCCTTAAAATCTTAATCTCATCGGATTCGGTTGAAATGAGCAAACAAATATGAGTAAATCAATCTACAGCAAATATCCAAAAGCAATTTAATTTTAACAACTTTTAGATTCAAGTCTCGATCAGTTTAAGCAAAATCAAAAAATTTTTCTGATCGACAGTTTTCGATATCTCAATGGCCAAAGCTCGCACTTTTATCCAGTTATGTAACAGATTTTTGATTAATTATTTTTATGTAACTTTCAATGGCCAACAAGTAATTTCGCTTATTTCAAGGAATAAAATTTCTGAAGCTTTCAGGTCGATTTGGTTCAAAACGGCAAAAAGTATCACTAATCAAATTCACACTTCTCATACAATTTATGGAAGAGCTGAAAATCATTTTCATGAATAAAATCGGACACTGCTTTCGATTCATCTACCACAAGTTAGTGGCCATAACTGCAAAAGCGGTTTCATCGGAAACGATCGATTGTAAATTTTTTTGATTTGTCAAATGAACTTCATTTGTATGCTCACACTAACTAACAATTGATTTAATACCGATTTCTGTAACAAACCTTTCCATAGATTCATATTACTTTTAAAGATAGATTTGCTATTTTGTCATGTAACATTGGAATCTCACACAAGCTAGAAGTTCTGACGAAATTGATTGTTCAATACATTTTTTGATCTGATTAAAATGGAAAGTAAAGGCAAAAGTCGAATTTTAATTCAACTCTTGCATTGAATTTGAAGTTTAGTTATTTTCCGGCATTTAATTACTTCTCAATGAAAGTGCGATTACCTTTCATCTTGATTACTCTACTTTTCCTCTTCTTACCTCATCTTTCCATACTTTACATCATTTGCTGCATCAATGGAAACGGAAATGACTTTCATTTGGTCTACAATTTTCACTTTGATAATCACTGTTATCATCTTTGCAAAAGTTAATCAAACCTTGAAAGTTGAGAGACAAAGAAAAGAGCATTTGAAATGAAATATCAAGCAAAAAAGGAGATAAAATTT